GCCCTGACATCTTAAAACAGTAAGATGATGTCAACCATAGTTCGTACCAAGGGTGAGTGGTCATGTGGCCCCAGGGCCTTAGTGTTCCCAGTGGTGGCCGCCGGCCACGTGTGACCACTGAGGCTGTGGAGCGTGGTGTAAGACACAGACTGGACCCCGCAGGTGAGAATGTGAGAGTCCCCATGAGTTGGGTTCGCATGGACCACGCACTGACCCATGGGCTGCTGGGTTAAATAAGGCGGGTTATTAACACGCCCTTCACCCGCGCATTCCAAGCCAGGGAGTTTACAGTCACGCACACGCACTAGATTTCAGTGGGCCGGCGCTGTCTTGATCACGCCTTGTGGCTCATGGCGGTATCTGAGGACTGGACTCTGGTCACCTGCAGGTTACAGATGGGGAAACTGAGGCCGGGTCTCTGCCTGTAGCTGAGCTGGGATCTCATTTCAAGGGCACTAGGGAGTTACAGAAGGGTTTAGAGTAGCAGCTGTCGACTGGGGATGATGATGCCCAGGGCATCCTGGGCCCTGTCTGGGAGCATCTGTGGCTGTCACAATTGGGGAACTTCTGGTTCCTGGAATGGATGGAGGCCAGGGGCACTGCCTAGCACCCTGCAGGGATGGGGGTGTGACCATCCAGAGTCAGGATTAATTAGCCTCCCAGTGAGGACGCTTAGGTAATTCACCTACAACAGCAATTTTTGAGCACTGAGGGTGTGCTAGGCCGGAGGGGACGTTATTGTAGACATGCCTGGCATTGCCCTCACTGGGGAGCAGTCCAATGGACAGACTGGCCATTACCGGGTGACAATATTACTTATTTGGGGACAGAGCGTGAAGTGTAGCCTCTCAGACCATGCTACACACCCCGTCCTGGGAGATCTCGCTGAAGTGACTTGCCTTGCTCGAGTGACTCCGGGAGCAGCCAGGGCTTCTGCACTGTTGCTCACAGCTCCCAAGTGATGCCGAACCGTGGTCAGAGGGCCACACTTGGACCAGCAAAGCACTGGCAGAATAAGAGGCTCTGAGAATGTCCCATGGGGTGGGGAGGGCCTCCCAGGAAGGGCAGAGGCTTCTGTTGTCCAGTGTGGTCAGGGTGTCCAAAGAGGTGACATTTTAGCAAAGATCTAAAGTTAGGAAGTGAGTTATGTGAGTACCTGGGGGAAAGCAGAGGGCACAGGCTGTGCAAAGGCCCTGGGGCAGGACGAGCCTGGGTGATGGAGGAGCAGCGAGGAGGCCCGTGTGGCTGGAGCAGAGGGAGCGAGGGGGACAGAGGGAGGAGGAGGCAGGGAGGGGACAGGCAGGTCGTGCAGGGCCCTGTGGGCTGCACGGAGGACTTGGGCTTTGACCCTGAGGGAGGCGGGAGCCATGGAGGGCTGTGGGCAGGAGAGGGAGGGCCTGGCTGGACTTACGGGTGCCCCCTTGTATCTAGAGACTGGAGCAAGTGTGGAAGTGACAGCTGGTGTAGGATGACCAGTCTGTGTGACCAGATTGTGGACTGGGCCCTAATGAGAATTCCCGATGCATGGGATGGAGGCAAAGCTCACAGGACGCACCGGTGTCACACGTGAGACAAAGAATGGGATAGGGGACAGGCGTGAAGGCACAGCCTGGGCTCTGCTGTAGACACAGCTCGGTTCTGGAGAAGACCGCTCAGGATTTTGTTCTGCCTGTGAACTTAACACTTGATCCTAAAATTCATACCGATGTGCTGGAATGACCGGTGTACGCCACCATGCCAGGCTAGGGACCACTGCCCCCGACATCTCCCCCTGTTCCCGGCCCCGTGGGCACATGTGCACAGCCCCAAGGCTTTGGGCGTGATTTGTCACAGGCACGAGCAGTTCCCTGTGGCCAGGTGCTGGGCAACCCCGGCCTGGCAGGTGGCAGAGCTGCCTCTGGGTGATGGTGGCAGGTGGTACAGCTGCCATGGAGAGAAGCAGATGGCCTTGGGAATGGGGAAGGGTCTGAGGTCTCTGGTAACCCCAGGTTGAGGGGTAAACTGAGACTAGGTCGGCGGGTCGGCCCCAAAGTGGCCCAGACTCCCCCTCAAGGTATGTAGGGTTCAGTTCTGTGTTATCGTCAGTATGAGTCAAGTTCATGGGCCAGGTTCCAGTCTCAGCTCCCTGACTATAGGAAAATGTCTTTGCCACTCAGTGCCTCAGTTTCCCCGGCTAAGGGGCCTGTTAACAGCACGCACCTCTTGAGTGTGCTAAACGAGTTAAGTATTACGACAATGCCTGGCAAACAGCAAGTGCTTCTTAAGTGTTTGCTATTTTATCACTTATTGAGCTCCTGCTGTATGCCAGACCCTCAGCTAGGTGCTAGGGACAGAACAGTGGACAGGTAGACAAGCTGTGCCCTCTCAGGGCTCACATAACAGGACAAGGTGATGAGGTGTAATGGGGACACAGACATTTGAGGGAGAACTGAGAAGCCCCTGCCACAACCCCACCCCCACTTGTGATGCCTCAGGGCAGTGAGTGGAGGCTTTTTAAAGCTTTGAGGTTTTGGCAGTACCGGGGTTTAAGCACTTGCTAGGCTGGTACTCTACCACTTGAACCAAGCCCTTAGTCCTTTTTGCTTTAGTTATTTTTTTGAATAGGGTTTTGCGTTTATGCTCCAGCTGGCCTGGACTGCAATCCTCCTATTTACGCCTCCCTCATAGCTGGGATTACAGATGAGTGCTGCCACACCCAGCCCTTGCTTGAGGTGGGGGCCTTGCTAACTATTTGCCCTGGTTGGCCTCAAACTGAGATCTTCCTGAGCTCTACCTCCCAAGTAGCTGAGATGACAGACATGAGCCACCATGCCTGACTTAGTTTTGGTTTTTTTTTTTTTTTCCGCAGTACTGGGATTTGAACTCAGTGCCTTTACCTTGAGCCACTCCACCAGCGCTATTTTTTTCTCTGTTGTGTGTGTGTGTGTGTGTGTGTGTGTGTGTGTGTGTTGATGGGTTTTTTTTGAGATAGGGGCTTGAGAATTGTTTGAACTGGCTTTGAACCAAGATCTTTCTGATCTCTGCCTCCTGAGTAGCTGGGATTACAGGTGTGAGCTACCGGCTTAAAGTTTAAGTTAAATATTAGCCAGGTGCCATCACACACGCCTGGGTTACAAAGTGAGACCCTGTCTCAAAAAAAAAAAAAAAAAGAAAGAAAAGAAAAGAAAAGGAACTAGTGACGTGGATGTGGAGTGTCGGGATCCTGTCCACCGCTGGTGAGGACACAGCGCAGTGCAGCCGCTGTACAGCAGTATGGAGGTCCCTCAAAAAACTAAACAGAACTACCGCACAAGCCGCCACCAGCAGGACTTGAAAGCCAGGCTGCTGAGACATCCGCACCCCGTGTTCGAGGCAGTGTGACTCACAACCGCCCCGGTGCACATTGAGCAGTGAGTCTGTGTGATACATAGGCTGAGATGTCATTCGGCCTGAGAAAGGAAGGAAATCCTGTCACCTGGAGGGACCCTTGAGAACACGGTGCTCAGAGAAATGAACGGACACAAGGACGCACACTCACAGGAGGTCTGAGAGTCACAGAGACAGGAAGCAGGATGGTGGTGCTGGGAAGGGGAAAGGGTTTGATTTGATGTGGACAGAGCTGCAGCTTGGGGACACGGAAAGTTCTGGAGGTGGATGCTGGAGACAGCTGGCCAATAAGGTGACTATAAATGGCACTTAAGAGCTGGGCACTTCAGACACTCAGATAGGAAATGTTATATCGCCCACATTTTGCCACAATGTGAAAAGAAGACACAGGGCAGACAGCACCTGGGCAGGTGGTCTGGGGGCCTGGCAGGGTGGGCTGCAGCGGGGTCAGAGGTCAGCCAGGCTACAGTCACTGGGAGCCGAGGCAGGCTGGGCAGCAGGGGAGGAGCTGGGGAAGGAAACCCTTAAGGAAGCAGGGCTGTGTCCCAGCACACATGGGCCTGGCGTCCGCTGAGTCACAAATCCTGGAAGCCCAGGGTCCTGGAGAGGACACCCAGCCGTTCCATGCAAGGCCTTCCTGTTTTTTGGCCGTGACCGGTGGAGACAGCCACTCCAGCGCCCGTGTTCCTGAATCACCCTCACCTGGAGTGGCCTTGGAGTCCTGAGCCACCAGGCCAGGCTGAGGCTAGGAGCCATCCCTACAGCTCAGACGGGGAAACTGAGGCCAGGACTTGCTGGAGATGTCTCGGAGCGCTGAGTGAGGCAGTTACGATTGTGACTTGGGCCCCCTGGACCGGAACTGCACCCCTCTCTGGTAGGGGTGACCAGCACTGGGGTTCCGCAGGGCGAGACCTGCTGACACCGGAAAGGCTGGGCAGTTGACCTCCGCTGGAGCGGGAGGAAGCGGGGAGGTAGTGAGGTGCCTGTCGCAGAGGCATCCAAGAGCGGGGAGGACAGAAAGGTGGGACTCAGGAAGGAAGTCGGACATTGTTGCCCCTGAGGCCTCTGGCTGGCTGGAATATTCTGTGACTCTGAGACTCTAAATTACCGTCTAAGTTGTGGTTTATAAAATTCCAAGAGCGTTTGACCATTATTATTTTTTTTTTTTTTTGCAATTCTGGGAATTGAACCCAGAACCTTGTGCTTGCTAGGCAAGTACACTACCACTGAGCCACATCCCCAACCCTTTGATATTTTTTGAGCGTTTGAGTTTAAGGCTTTTGTATTTTAACTCTAGGCATTTTTTAATTTGTTTTAAGATGTATCTGTTATTACAATTATCGTTATTAGTTTTTAATTACCTAATGCGTTTCCGTTTGAAGTCTTTTCCTAGGCTTTCACTCACACGTGGTGATGAAGTTGTTCTGTGAATTGAATTAGTGCTGGGTATTTTATTATTACAGCCATTACTGTTATTTGTATCATTGTCCCCATGGGAAATTTTTCTGAGCATGAGGAACTGGTGGAGGTGCGCGCGCGCCCTCTGCTGGATATGGGCGGGACTTCAGGCAGCGCCGCTCACGTAGTCCTGGCCCTCGCCCGCAGGTGTCACCTCTGGCCACTTGGCCCTCGCCATGCGGACCCCTCGAGCGCCCCCTCCCCGCCCGGCCTTGCTGCTCCTGCTGCTGCTGCTCCTAGGGACTGCCCACGGTCTCTTCCCCGAGGAAGCGCCACCACTTAGCGTTGCCCCTAGGGACTGTGAGTCATGGGTCCTGTGGGGGAGGTCGTGTCCCAAGGCAGGGTCTGCTGGCCCCATCAGGAGGGAGGACTTACCAAGCCAGGAGCCATCCCTGTAAAAGGGGCATGACCTCAGGCCACCCCTCTTCTCTGGAGAAGGTGACCCCTCACCCACCTAACCCCTTCTCCTAGACCTGAGCCACTACCCGGTGTTCGTGGGCAGCGGGCCTGGGCGCTTGACCCCCACTGAGGGCTCTGACGACCTCAACATCCAGCGGGTACTGCGTGTCAACAGGACCTTGTTCATTGGGGACAGGTATGGGAGATGTCCAGGGTGCTCAGGATAGCACGTTGGGATTTCTGCATGATGGTCTGTTGTTTGGCTGGGGTGGGAATGTGTGACCCTGGGGTGCTAAACGCTGAGGAACCTGAAGCTGGCTTAGGTGGATGATTAGGTGGGGACAGCTCTGGGGTCACAACTCACTGATAATTGGGGGTGATGGATGGGTGTCCTGAGGTAATGGGAGCCCATTCAACCATGATGTAACTATACAGATCAGGAGGCCTTCTCTGAGGAGGTGACATTTGATTTATCAGCCATAAGGAAATCTGGGGAAGGTATTCTAGGTTGAGGACAGTTTATGGAAAAGCCCTGGGGCAGGACCCAGACTGGCTTGATAGAGGAGCAGTGAGGAAAGCAGAGTGACTGGAGGAGAGGAAAGGGAGATCGGGTGAAACGGAGGGGGAAGGGAGGGGACAGACAGGGAGGGGACTGGGCAGGTCATGGAGGTTCCTGTCTTTAACCCTGAGGGAAGTGGGAGCCATGGAGGGCTGTGGGCAGAGGAGGGAGGCAGTGCTCACAGGAACCCTCTGGTGTCTGCTATGGGATGAGACTGTGGGGACAAGGACAGAGCTGGGGTTCCAGGGCCTGGTCCAAGCTGGCAGTGGATTCTGGACTAGCTTTGAATGTGGAGCCTATGGTATTGGCTGATGTGTTGGATGTGGGAGGAGAAAGGAAGAGGTTGGGGGTTCCTTCCAAGTTGTGGTCTGAGCCCTTGGAAGGACAGAGCTGACCTCAGCAGATGGGAAATTGGGAGACAGTTTGGGGGCCTGGTTAGGCACAGCATAGTGATGTTGAGTGTGAGTCCTTATGAACCCCCCACGTGGGGACACCCAGGGAAAGCTAGCTGGACTCCAAGCCTGGAGCAACAGAGGCCCAGCATGGAGATGGGTTCGTGGGTTATATACAGAATTTAAAACCCAGAAGAGTGGACAGGGCTGCCCAGGAGAGGTGGAGGTGGAGGAAGGGAGCATCCCAGCCCTGGACCGGTGAAGGAGGACACGAAACAGGGTTCCCAGAGAGGCAGGCGGCAAGCCAAGCAAGAGTGGGCGTGGAGACTGCTGGAGGATGGTGTTCCCAGGGAGGGGTGACCAGCTGGCTCAGACGCCTTGTAGAGGATGAGGTGGCTGGAGAGACTGGACATTGACCTTGAGCAGAGCATTTCCCTCTGAGGGAAGGGACAAAAGTGGGAAGGGTGGCTACCTGGGGTAGGCACGCCCTTGGGCACAGGGGTGTGTAGGCTGCTAGGACATGAAGTGGCTGTAGCTATGGGGAGGCCAGTCCCAGCTTGGGGACTGGAACCTTAGGAGAGGCTTTGGGTGTCCCAGTCTGTTACTTGTTGGCAAGTATGGCAATATTTGTGGCCGGGCTGATGGAATGCAAAAGGGATGGTGGGAACCCACAGTCTCCCCCGCTGCGCCCCTCCCGCAGGGACAACCTGTACCGGTTGGAGCTGGAGCCCCCCACTTCCACGGAGCTGCGGTACCAGCGGGTGAGGAAGGGGCGCACGAAGGAGGGAGGCGCAGGACCTGGGGCTCTCCCAGGGAGAGCTGGGGGCCACGCGGATTCGGCTCTGCCCAGAGTGGGGGATCCTAGGGCTACTGGGGATCCCTGTCCATCACCGGCTCTCTGCCTGCAGAAGCTGACCTGGCGCTCCAACCCCAGCGACATCGACGTGTGTCGGATGAAGGGCAAGCAAGAGGTAAATGGGCCTGGCCACGCCCTGAACTCGCCTCGCCCCACCCATGCACCCTGGTCCCGCCCCTAGCCCTACCCCAACCTGCCCTGGCCACGCCCAGAGTTCTCTTCATTCCAGTCCAGGACCCTGGTTGCCAGTTATACCCAGAGCCTGGCCACGCCCCTAGCCCCGCCCCAAAGGGTCCTGGCCCCATCCAAGGTGATCCCTCCTCCTCCATCCCAGTCTAGGACCCTGGTTGCCATAGTTACACCCAGAGCCTGGCCACACCCCCAAAGTGGTCCTCAATCATGGCCACGCCCACAATCCTATACTACATTTCCTTGTCCTGGCCCCTCCCTTGTCCCCCACCTTGTCTGCCGTGGCCACGCCCCCCCATGACCCTCAGTGCTGACTTCCCCCACATCCCTGGCCCCCTTTGCTCCCCTACTCAAAATCCTGGCTCCGCCCCCACCCTAGCCGTGACCACGCCCACACTGGCTTCCCCTGCATCCCCAGGGCGAGTGTCGAAACTTTGTGAAGGTGCTGCTGCTTCGTGACGAGTCCACGCTGTTCGTGTGCGGCTCCAACGCCTTCAACCCGGTGTGCGCCAATTACAGCGTGAGTCTCTGCCGGCAGAGGCCCTGCCCGCCTAGGCCCACCTGCTCCCTGCCGTGCCCTTCCTCCAGGAGGCCTCACTGAATCTGTCCCCCACCCTAGCTCAGGAGGTGACAGTGTTTTCCAAACGAGGCTGTGCAGGGCTCAGGGACCCTGCAGCTAGTTCAGTTAGGAGCCAGTCATAGGAGTGACTAGGATTGACCTGGAGACCCATTTACAGACCAGCAAACCAAGGCCCAGAAAGGTGAAGTGCCTGGCCAAGGTCACACAGTGATCCCCGGTGAAGCCAGATTCTTCCTGCAGTGGAGGGTTGGGCAGGCCAGGCAGCCAGGAGTGCTGTCACTCAGGCCCTATGCTCCCTGCAGATCGACACGCTGCGGCCTCTTGGGGACAACATCAGTGGCATGGCCCGCTGCCCGTATGACCCCAAACATGCCAATGTTGCCCTCTTCTCTGGTGAGTGTCCCCCACTCCTACCATCTCATCAGCCCAGCCCTGGGCAAGGGCTGGCACTTTCCATTCTTGAAGTCTGGGTCACTATTTGAAGCTGGGTGACTATTTGTTCAGCTGCAAAATGGCCCAGGTCATGGGCTCAGCAAGGCTGGGGGCTTAGATGGAGTTGGGATTTGGATGGAGGCTAGCTAGGTCCAGCCTGCGGTCAGGGACTCATCCTCAGATCAAGACTCAGCCAGGTTCAGCCTGTGACAGGAGCCCCCTAGGTGGCTTGGTTCTGGTAGATTGACATTTGACCCTCCGTGCTGGCTGAAGAGTCTAATCCCCTGCCTGCCTTTTCCCAGACGGGATGCTATTCACAGCCACAGTGACTGACTTTCTAGCTATCGATGCTGTCATCTACCGCAGCCTTGGGGACCGGCCCACCCTGCGTACTGTAAAGCATGACTCCAAGTGGTTCAAAGGTGAGATCTGGTAGGTCAGTGAGCCTAGACCTGGTGGGCTGATATTCATCAAATCCCCCACCAGAATAAGAGTCCCACGAGGAGCCACAGAGGGGATTGTCGTCTCATCTGTGGAATTATTGGCCTTTTTGAACATAAAGCTACAGGAAAGATTTGGATCTAATGTAGAACGTGCTGGGTGGCTTAGCCTGAAGTGGCAGTACAGGACCGATATCCCAGGAGTTCACTTCTCCAGCTCATGAGGGAAGAAAGTGAAAAATAGCCATTTGGACAAGGGGTGAACATGGTGACTGTAGGCTTCTGACCTTCCTCCCCATTCAAAAAAAAATCAAACTTTGAGTCTCATTCATTTCACATGGGTAATCAGCGTAGGTCCCCCTCACCATAAAAATGACCATCCAGGTGGTTGTGTTCCCAGACCCAAAATCCCTTTGTGATGACAAGGGCTGGGTCCTGACCCCTCCTCCTCCCACAGAGCCCTACTTCGTCCATGCAGTGGAGTGGGGCAGTCATGTCTACTTCTTCTTCCGGGAGATCGCCATGGAGTTCAGCTACCTGGAGAAGGTGAGGAACTTTCCTCCCGAGCCTCTGCAGTAGGACTTGCAGCCGTAAGGCCAATTGCAGGAAGTGGGTTCATGACTCCACCTGGGCCAAGGGGGTCCTGCCGTCCTCCACTGGAACCCTCCAGCCTGGACCAGGCTCCTGAGGCTGGACGACATTTTGCGGCTAGCACACCCTGAGCCAGAGAGACATGCTAAAGTCTGTCACATCCCCTGGGTGACTGTTGCTGACCTGTGACACCCAGCTTCTGTTCACTTGTCCATCCCTTACCTGCTATCTGTCCATCTTCCCACCACTTCCAACTGCATAACCTTCCCTCTTATACATCTGATCTGTGCTTGGCACCTGCAACTCCGTCTACTCATTTATCCGTCTACCCGTCTACTCTTTGGCCGCCCACTGACCACCTTACATCCATCTACCCACCCATCTACCCATCCACCCAGCCATCCATCAATCCACCCATCCATCCACCCATCCATCCATCCACCTATGCATCTATCCATTCATCCATCCATCCATCCATCCATCCACTCACCCATCCATCCATCCATCCACCATCCATTAATCCATCCATCCATCCATCCACCCATCCATCCACCCACCCATTCATCCACCCACCCATTCATCCACCTATGCATCTATCCACTCATCCATCCATCCATCCACCATCCATACATCCATTAATCCATCCATCCATCCATCCACCCACCCATTCATCCACCTATGCATCTATCCATTCATCCATCCATCCATCCACCCACCCATCCACTCATCCATCCATCCATCCATCCACCATCCATTAATCCATCCATCCATCCACTCATCCACTCACCCATCCATCCATTCATCCACCCATCCACCATCCATTAATCCATCCATCCGTCCACCCATCCATCCACCATCCATTAATCCATCCATCCACCATCCATCTACCCAGACATCCAACTGCCCACCCATCCATACACCCATGCATCCATCCACCCACCCATCCATCCATCAATCCATTCACCCAGCCGTCCATCCATCATCCATCTCCCCAGACATCCACCCATCCATCCACGCACCCACCCACCCATCATCACCTCCTTTCTCCTACCTCCTCCATCATCCGTCATCCTTCTTCAGATTCATTGCTCCCCAACCCCCCACAATCGTCCCTCACTTCCCATTTATCTGCTCATCCACTATCCTCCAGCCATCCCACCATGAACCATCCCTCAACTTATCCAGGTGAACAGAACAAAAGCAGCCACTTATGACTTGTGGAACTCTGGGTTACTGACTGCCCATCGGCGTGTGCCTCAGTTTCCCCACATGTGTAGTGAGCCATGAACAGGCCATCCCCCATCCCAGCCTGGACAGCAGGCAGTGTGGCTCCCCGAGACTCAGGGCTCAGGCTCCCATCTGTCACCTCTCCTGGGCAGGTGGTGGTGTCCCGTGTAGCCCGGGTGTGCAAGAATGACGTGGGGGGCTCCCCACGCGTGCTTGAGAAGCAGTGGACGTCCTTCCTGAAGGCACGGCTCAACTGCTCTGTGCCTGGGGACTCCCATTTCTACTTCAACGTGCTGCAGGCCGTGACTGGCGTGGTCAGCCTGGGAGGCCGGCCTGTTATCCTCGGGGTCTTCTCCACCCCCAGCAACAGGTGAGCACACCCACGGGAGCTGCCTCGGGTGTGTGATGGGCCTGGGCCAAGGAGTCTTGTATGCACTTGCCAGATATTCCTCTTGGGTTGGGTGGAATTCCACCAAGAGCCTCAGCCCTAGGATGGGATGGGACAAAGCAAGAACACTCTGTGTCCCCTTGGTCAGAACTAGCCTTCATCCTCAGTATAAGAAGGCTGGCTTCCTGGAGGAAGCAACATTGAGCCAGGCATTGGGTATGAGATAGAGAAAGAGGAAAGAGCATTCCAAGTTGAAAGGTCCTAAGGCTGCATGAATTTGGTGTGTTTTGGTCACCAATGTGGCAGGAGTGGAGGGAGTCAGGGGGACAGAGGGGGATCTGACAGCAGCAGAGTGATAGGATCAGGCCACAAGAAGGAGCCTGGACCTTACTAGGGGACAGCAAGAAGCAGGAGACAGACAAGGTCAGACTTGCATTTTTAAAGAGGTCCCTGAGGAATGGGCTGACAGGCAGGCCATGGTGGGGGCCAGGACGTGGGCGTGGCTTTGGGGAAGCTAAATGGGGAGTGTCTGGGAGTCTAGGAGCTGAGCGGCCGGATCCAGCAGGTGAGAGGAAGGGGTGCAGGAGACTTAACATCCAGCAGCCCTGAAGACAGGGACTCCTGCATGCTTACCCAACATGTCCCCTCCACCCACCAGGCTCACCACAGTCTTTCCTCCCAAACCCCCACAGCATCCCAGGCTCGGCTGTCTGTGCCTTTGACATGACACAGGTGGCTGCTGTGTTCGAAGGCCGCTTCCGTGAGCAGAAGTCCCCAGAGTCCATCTGGACGCCGGTGCCGGAAGATCAGGTGCCCCGGCCCAGGTGAGAGTCCCGTCAGACCTGTGACAGGAGCCCAGAGCTATCCTAGTCCCCAGGATATGGGACAAAGACTTCCATCCAGGCTGTCACTAAGTGCATCGGAGCCCATTATACAGATGGGAAAATGGAGGCTTTCTGGTCCAGGCAGCAGCTTCCATGGTGAATCCTTTGGTGGCATCCCCTGTGCCCACCATGACTGCCCTTTCTTCCTCCCTCCGCAGGCCTGGCTGCTGTGCAGTGCCCGGAACACAGTACAACTCGTCCAGCGCGCTGCCCGATGACATCCTCCAGTTTGTCAAGACGCATCCACTGATGGACGAGGCGGTGCCCTCACTGGGCCACGCGCCCTGGATCGTGCGGACACTCATGCGGTCAGTACTGGCTGGGCGTGGGTGGGGACGAGCCCAGGCTGGAGTGGTAAGGAGGGAGGACAGCAGCTCCGAGTGCTGTTTCTGGCGGGCCTGTTTTTACTGTGTGCCCACGAGCCCATGCATCTTCCATCCGTGTGCGCACATAGGCACTGTGTCCATGTGTAACTGTGTAACCACGGCACGGGTGGTTGGTGCCCCAGAGGTTGGCAAGGTCAACCTGACCTCCTGCCCACCTCGGCCTCCAGGAACCAGCTGACACGAGTGGCCGTGGACGTGGGTGCCGGCCCCTGGGGCAATCAAACCGTGGTCTTCCTGGGCTCTGAGGTGGGCACTGTCCTCAAATTCCTTGTCCGGCCCAATGCCAGCGACTCAGGGACTGCAGGGGTCAGTGTCTTGCTGGAGGAGTTTGAGACCTACCGGCCAGACAGGTGAGGCTGGGCAAAGGTGGGGAGGTGGGACCCGCAAGCCAGAGACGGGCTGACCCCCGAGCCTCACTCACCACCCAGCTTGCCCCAGGTGCGGCCGATCCGGAGGCATTGGGGAGACAGAACAGCGTCTGCTGAGCCTGGAGCTGGACACAGCCTCGGGTGGCCTACTGGCAGCCTTCCCCCACTGCCTGGTCCGTGTGCCCGTGGCCCGCTGTCAACAGTACTCTGGGTGCATGAAGTGAGTGGTCCCCCCCCGCAATGCAGCTGTGGATGGGGAGCAAGAGACTTTAGCACAAGGAAGGGGGAGCACCAGGCTAGAGTTAAGGGCCTGGTAGCATCCTGATTCATTGAGGGATGAACTGGACAGAAGCACAGCCTGTGCAAAGGCCCTGAGGCAGGCCAGAGCCTGGCATGTTGGAGGACCAACATGTGATGTGTTTGGCTGCAGCCAAGAGAACACAGTGGGGAGAGACAGGGGTGAGAGCGAGGGGACGGGGCAGGTTGTGCAGGGGCCTGTGGGTTGCAGAGAGGACTTGTGCTTTGTCCCCAAGGGAGATGGGATCCTTGAGTTGCGGGCAGAGGGTGGGACCTGACTCTGTGATCCTGGGCGCCCTCTGGTGGCCTCTGTGGGGAGAGCAGACTGATGAGGCGCATGCAAAGGATGGGATCCCGGTGGAGGCAGGGTCCCTTGAAATGGGTGGGGAGATGGACGCTATCGTCCAGTGGCTAACCGCAGGCTCAGTGTGAGTCCTCAGCACCCAGCACCCGCCCGTGCCCGCCGCCACTGCAGTTGTGACCTAACAGTCTGGAGCCCAGGACAGCCTGCCCGGGCAGCCCATTCTTGCCCTGCAGCTTGGGCCACAGAACTTGCCAAGCCTGTTTTCCTCCTGTAAGATGGAAGCGAGCAGCCCCCACTTGTAGGTCCAAGCCTACGTACGATTCGATTCGGGAGCTGCTGCAACCTGGAAGGCCCGGCACACAGTGGGGTCACCTGAGTGACTATTGTTTGCTCATTTAGGAACTGCATCGGCAGCCAGGACCCCTACTGTGGGTGGGCCCCGGATGGCTCCTGCATCTTCCTCCGCCCAGGGACCAGGTACCAGGGCAGGTGGTGGGTGTCTAGCCCCAATGATCTGAGCTCTTTCCCTGCCCTGCTGGGCATGGCGCCTCTGCTGACTATGCCTCTGATCCCCTTAGAGCCACCTTTGAGCAGGACGTGTCCGGGGCCAGCACCTCAGGGTTAGGGGACTGCACAGGTAAGCTGGGGGGCTGGGGGAATACCAGGCTGGCCACCCACTCCCCTACAGTGCCACAGGGAGAGGACCCTCAGACCTGCGAAGGCCTGCCCTCCATCATGGTCTCAGAGGGTCCCACTTCTTGGGTGGGACAGTAGGGTAAGAGACAGATTCCAGAAGACAGGGGGACCCCAAGAGACAGATGCCAGGAGATAGCCAGACAGGTGGACTCCCAGGATTCCCACTGTAAAGCAGACAATAGACAGACTTTGAAATGGGGCTGCGGTTCAGTGTTGAGTCTTTGTCCAGCTTGCTCAAAGGCCTGGGTTCATCCCCAGCACTGCAAAGGAAAGAAGAAAGAGGGCTGGGTGTGGTGGCTCCTGCCTGTAATCCTAGCTACTCAGGAGGCAGAAGTAGGAGGATCATGGTACCGGGCAAAAGCTCTAGAAACCCTCTCTGAAAAATAACTTGAAAAGGACTGGGGACGTGACTCCAATGGTAGAGCACCTCCACAGCAAGTGCGAGGGCCTGAGATCAAACCCTAGTACTGCCCCCCAAAAAAGGAAGAGTACAGACACAGAGGACAGCTCTGAGGGAGGCCTCGGGAGCACTTTTTGGGAAGACGTGGGGGGGGTGGAGGCGACGGAGGTCCGTCAGCCTCACCGCCCCCCTACCCCCACCCCGGTCCCCCCAAGGACTCCTGCGCGCCAGCCTGTCGGAGGAGCGCGCGGGGCTGGTGTCGGTGAACCTGCTGGTGACATCGTCGGTGGCGGCCTTCGTGGTGGGCGCCGTGGTGTCCGGCTTCAGCGTGGGCTGGTTCGTGGGCCTCCGGGAGCGGCGGGAGCTGGCCCGCCGCAAGGACAAGGAGGCCATCCTGGCGCACGGGGGCGGCGAGGCGGTGCTGAGCGTCAGCCGCCTGGGCGAGCGCAGGGCGGCGGGGCCGGGCGGGCGCGGGGGGCCGGGCGGGGGCCCCGGGGTCCCCCCGGAGGCGCTGCTGGCGCCCCTCATGCAGAACGGCTGGGCCAAGGCCACGCTGCTGCAGGGCGGCCCGCACGACCTGGACTCGGGGCTGCTGCCCACGCCCGAGCAGACGCCGCTGCCGCAGAAGCGCCTGCCCGCCCCGCACGCGCACGGCCACGCGCCCCAGATCGGGCCCGCGCACGCCGTGGGCCCGCGCGCCTGGGACCACGGCCACCCGCTGCTGCCCGCCTCGGCGTCGTCCTCGCTGCTGCTGCTGGCCCCGGCGCGGGCCCCCGAGCAGCCCCCGGTGCCGGGATCCATGTCGGTGCCCGCCGAGCCGGGCCCCGATGGTCGCCTGTGCGTCCCCCGGCCCGGCCGCGCCTCCCACGGCGGCGACTTCCGCTCACGCCCCACGCCAGCCCGGACCGCCGGCGCGTGGTGTCGGCGCCCACCGGCCCCTTGGACCCAGCCTCGGCCGGCGACAGCCTGTCCCGGCCTTGGAGCCCCCCGCCCACGGGCAGCCTCCGGAGGCCCGGCCCGCACGGGCCGCCGGCCGCCGCGCTGCGCCGCACGCACACGTTCAACAGCGGCGAGGCCCGGCCCGGGGACCGCCACCGCAGCCGCCACGCCCGGCCCAGCACGGACCTGGCCCACCTCCTCCCCTATGGGGCGGGGGACCGGACTGCGCCCCCCGTGCCCTAGGCCGGGCCCCCGCGCCTCGGCGGTGCCAACACGGGAAGCAGGAGGCCAGCTCCGGGTGCTCCGGCCCCGCCGCGTGGGGACGTCGCCACACGCAAGCACAAGAGCCCCCGCCGGGCCGCAGGACGCCGCGCGCGCCGGGGCGGGCGGAGCAGGCGTTGGCTCTGGACTTGGCCTTGACCTCCTGCGCGTGGATTTTGGTTTCTTTTGCATTTTTCTAACCAATTGCACAACTCCGTTCTCGGGGTGGTGGCCGGAGACGTGGGCGCGGGGCGGGGAGGGGGCACAGCTGCAGACCCGAGGCCCCCCTCCGCCAGGTCCCTCCGGCCCCGGCCCCCGCGTGTGTGGGTGTGTGTGCGTGTGCATGCCGTGTCGTGTGCAAGGGGCCGGAGGGACGCGTGCGTGTGCGTAGATGCGGGCGCCTGGGCGTGGGCATCGGCCGGCCACCGTGCAGTGCGGGTGTCTAAGTGTGAGCGTGCTGGTGACCCCGGCGGCCCTGGCGTTGGCTGAGCCAACACTCGGGCTATAGGAAGGCTGGGGGGCTTCCGAGGTGCCGGTTAGGAGTTTGAACCCCGGTTTTGCAGAGGAAAGAGGGCAAGCTGGGGTTCCGGCCGGGAGTCGGGGGAGCCTGCCCAGAAGTCACACTGACAGCAGCGTCTAAAGGGCTTGGGCTTGGGCTTGGAGGGCGAGGTTGCGGGCAGGCCCCCCTGTAAATAGGGCCGGGGTGGTCGGAGAGTCCCATACCACCCGTCCCCTTGTGACCTCTGCCCTTTGACCACCAGCTCACCGTGCATGCCACGCGGCCAGCTGAGTCCTGGACCTTCTCCAGAGTTTGCCTCCCTCAGCCCCCTCCCCATCAATAAAACTCTGTTTACAACCACCGGCCCCACGCTTCTGGGTCTGCTCTGTTTCCTGGGGGTGGCAGGGATCACGGGGTGGGGGTGGGGGTGTCCCTCCAGACCCATGGCTGGAGCAAAACAACAACAAAAAATCCGATTGCGCTGGATGTGAGACTGTGGAGAGGGGACAGGGTCCCCTTTTCTTCCAAAAATACTTAGTGTGCACCCACAGTGTGCCAGGCATCTGTCCTCATGGGGTTTACTGCCTGGTATGAGGGACCAACAACCTACAAATAAATTGAAACTTGACTTGGAAACGGGGTGTGGTAGTCACTTCTGTAATCCCAGCACTCTGGAGGTTGAGGCAGGAGAATCAAGTGTTCAAGGCCAGCCTGGGCTACACAGGGAGACCTTAGAGAGAGAGAGAGAGAACAAAGTTGAATTGAATGCATGAAGCCTTGAGTTCCATCAGCAGCATCAAGAAAACGGGGGAAAGCCATGCGGTGACGGTGACACACGTCTATAATCCCAGCTACTTGGGAGGCAGAGATCAGGAGGACTGAGGTTTGAAGCCAGCCCCGGGGAAATAGTTCAAAAGACCCTATCTTCAAAATAACCAGAGCAAAACAGACTGAAGATATGGCACAAGTGTTAGAGCATTTGCTTTGCAAGTGTGAAGCCCTGAGTTCAAACTCCAATCCCACCAAAAGGAAAAAGAATATTAGGAGAAAAACTTTATCACGTAAATTGATAGCTCAAATCAAGACAAAGCAAGGTAAAGGTCCCTGGGGGTTGGGAGGTGTGGAGGGGACCGCAGAAGTGCTCCCCTAAGGAGAAACTGAGACAGGACAACCGCTCAGGAGATCTGTAGAGAGGGCTTCCAGGCCAAGGGAGCAACCTGTGGCTGGAGGTCAGTGTGCAAAGGGAAAACGCGGTGAGGGGCTGAGGAAGGCGGGTCCTCCCAGAGGAGCAGTATGCTTTTTTAGTCGTGGTAAAATTGCTGGGCACCAGTTGCTCACTCCTGTAATCTCAGCTACTCAGGGGGCAGAGATCAGGAGGACTGAGGTTTGAAGTCAGCCCAAGGCAAATAGTTCACCAGACCCTGTCTTGAAAAAAACCCGTCACAAAAAAGAGCTTATGGAGTGGCTCAAGGTGAAGGTCCTGAGTTCAAGCCCCAGTACTGCAAAAAAAAAAAAAATATATATATATATATGTATAGAGAGAGAGCACATAAAAGTTCCCTGTGTGTTCATTTTTAAGTACAGAGTTCAGCAGCATGAAGTACCCTCCCCTTGTTGTGCAACCACCAGTGTGCAGAACCTTCTTGTCTCCCCCAGCCTGAAATTGCACCTCTACTCAACACCTGACTCCCTGTTCTCCCTGCCCCCAGCCTATGGACTTCATGTAAGTGGGACACGAAGCCACTGGGGGGGGGGGTTGGCAGGAGGTGTGATATTTTGCTTTGAGAAATGACTTTGCTATGTCACTGCATCTCACAACCGTGTCCTCCAGCCATGTCGATTAGCCCATCACAGGCTGGGCTCTGGGGACAGTACTAAATACAGATCCTGTCCCCTCATCCTGGGGAAGGCCCACTTTTTTTTTTTTTTTTTTTGCGGTACTGGGGTTTGAACTCAGGGCCTACATCTTGAGCCACTCCACCAGCCCTTTTTCATGACGGATTTTTCAAGATAGAGTCTCGAGAACTGTTTGCCCAGGCTGGCTTCGAACCATGATCCTCCTGATCTTTGCCTCCTGAGTAGCTAGGATTACAGGCGTGAGCCACTGGCACCGGGCTGAAGGCCCACATTAAACAAAAGTGCAAACACTGTGTGAACCTCTGACAGCTCCTCTTGAATCATGTGTGTCATTCCTGCCAGGGCTGCACACATCTGTCATTTGCTGTGTGTCCTGCTGTGTCTCTGGTTCTGATTAGGTATTTTTGCTTGTCTTTGTGTCACGGCCCTGTTTCTGTACCCTTCATAATCTCTCTGCCTTTCTGTACCTGTGCCTGCCTCCACCAGCAAGAGCACTGTCTCTGAGCCTATGACAGAATTCTCAGTCCCCCTCACAGCTGAACAGGGACGCAGCCCATTAGAGACTGCCATAGGCAGGCAAGGATCCTGACAACCTTAACACATCATTCTTGAATATTTAGAACTCAGCAAGAATGAAGGCACTACATGGGGTACAGCCAATGCAGTTCTCAAAGGGAAATTCGTAGCCTCCAAAATGCATTTATTAGGAAACAATAAAATTCAGAAGAACTAGCACTTCCACCTCAGGTAAAGAAACCAAACAGCAGAAGGGGCCCTCAGAGATTGAGTTTAGCTTCCTGGGTGGGGAAACTGAGTCAAAGAAAAGTTAAGCCAGTTGCTTAACTTTTGTTAAGTTCACAAAGCAAGGTAGTTTGTGGCAGTGCTGGAGTTCAAAAGCAAGTTTGTTTCCTCCTGAGCCACTGTTCAAAAACCATGGAGATTTTTTTTTTGGCATGACTCACCATTGACTTCTTTAAAAAAAAAACAAAACACTTAAAAAAAAAAAAACCAGTAACAATATGTCACCCATTCAAGACAAAAGGTTTTTTTCCTTTTCAATTAACTTCCTGGTTGTTCCTTAAATCTTATCTCTTGCTCAAAGAACAGCTCAAACTTGACTCTTGAATCCTGAGTTAGGGGAGGTGAGAACTCACCCCAAGAGACATTTGGGTGGCCCCCAAAAACAGGAAGCAAGGGGAGAAAAAGTTGTTTAGAAGCCAGAGCAAGAGACGGAGAAGGTGGGCGGGAAGCACTTTCAGGAAGCAGTTTTGCAATCCTGACCTGTCCCCTTCACTGCCCGGCTGCTATCCGGAACAGGACAGGGGTGGGGACTTCCCCACGGTGGTTCCCTGCCTCCAGTCCTAGCAGATATAAAGCTACCTGCTCCAGGTCAGCTGACCTAAAAGAAGGAAGGGAGAAGAGCCGTTATGTCCCCTTGGAGCAGACAGCAGAGGTAGGTCTCTGCCCCATCCATCCTGGGCAGCCCTGGACGCCAGGCAGTGCACAGCCACAGGGACATTTCTGTCCCACCTGCTGAACTGGCAGAGGCAGAATTAGACGGGCGGGCTGGACCCAGCAGCCTTGACCACAGACAGACAGACTTCTACAGACCTCTCCAGGTTATGGTACCAACTCTAAACCACCCCTTCCCAAGACCAGCCGGCCCCTAGCCTATTCCAAACACCCTCCGCACCTAGAGCTCGGGGCTGTACCCAAGCACTCGGAGGAAGGTAGAGCTGAACACAGATAACCTAACCCTATTTGGTCGGGGTTGGACAGAGAGAAGGAGTCCAGTGTGGGAAGGGCAGGGAAGGCTTCATGGTAATGTAGGCATTGGGGCTTGGGCTTTGCAGGATGAATAGGACCTTTCTGTCCTATTCTGTCTCTACCATGCCAAATAGAGGATTAGGGAGACAATAACAGATCCAGAAAACAAAGCAGCTCAGAAGTGACTAGCTAGTTGGACTGGGAATAATCCACAGCAATGGGAGATGGTGGTTATGTAGGGTCAGACTCAGAAACTCAGGTGCCACAGGATTCGAATTCTCCCTAGAACAGGGGTTCCTTCTGGCAGCTGTTGGGGACAGGGATGGAAGTCAGGGTAATAGTCCTGGTGAGCAACACGGTGGCTCGGCCCAGGTCAGTGGCCATGGTGATGGGACAAAGGGAGAGAGTCTTGGGTGTACTTATTGTCACTGTGGCTTACCAAGCATTGTCTCTCATTGCCTGTAGCCCAGGGAGCCTGGGCCCCCATCTTCCCAGAACCCTGTTCCTCCTGGTGCTGTTTGTGGCCTTTGCCCAGGGGGTCATCCCAAGCCCCAAAGGCTGCCTGATCCTTCACTCTGTCAACGGCAGCTCCGTCTCCTGCCTGTCACCGTCCAAGTTCCCCAGCCCCATCCCGGCGGACACCATCCACCTGGTCGTGGAGTTCTCCAACCTCACCAAGCTGCCGATCGCCGTCGCCGCCCTGCGAGGGGCTCCCCGCCTGCAGGAATTGCACCTCTCCAGCAACCGGCTGGAGGCACTGCCAGCTGAGCTCCTGCAGCCAGTGCCCAGGTTGCTCGTGCTCGATCTCACCCGCAACGCCCTGAGCAGCCTGCCCTGCTGCCTCTTCCGGGCAGCCGCCGTCCTGCACACTCTCGTGCTGAAGCAGAACCAGCTCCAGGCCCTGCAGGCCTCCTGGCTGCGCGGCCTGAAAGCGCTGGCCTATCTGGATCTGTCAGGGAACCGTCTCCGGACACTGCCTCCTGGGCTGCTGGCCAGCCTCACCTCCCTGCGCACCCTTGACCTTGGGGACAATCAGCTGGAGACCTTGCCGCCAGACCTTCTGCAGGGCCCGCTGAGTTTGGAACGCTTGCACCTGGAAGGGAACCAGTTGCGGGCCCTTGGTGAGGACCTGCTTGCGCCCCAGCCGGCCCTGCGCTACCTTTTCCTCCAGGACAACCAGCTGGCCGCGGTGGCAGTGGGCACCTTCCGAGGCCTGAAGTGGCTGGACATGGTGGACCTGTCCAATAACTCGCTGACTAGCGTGCCCACAGGACTCTGGGTGTCCCTAGGAAGGCCGGTCCGGGACATGGAGGATGGTTTCGACATCTCCCGCAACCCCTGGGTCTGTGACCAGAACCTGGGTGACCTCTTTCGCTGGCTGGTGGCCAATAAACACAAGATGTTCTCAAAGAATGACACCCGCTGTGCTGGGCCAGAAGCCCTGGAGGGTCACCTGCTCTTGGAAGTGGCCGGGTCCCAGTGAGGCCTGGGGCTGAAGTGTGTGTGTGTGTGTGTGTGGACAACCTCACTTAGCACTCCATTAGGAAGTCACACAAGCTTCAAGGAGGGGACTCCCGGCCTCTCACTGTCACTCACGTCAGCCATGTTCCCCCAAAGCCACCATGGCTTTCCAGCTACCTGGCTTTCCTCACACTGTCCCCTCTTCCTGACAGGCAATTTCCCAAGTGTCTTGCTCTCTGGGATCCTCCCGGACCTCTTGTCCCTCCCTCTGGCTGAGCTCTGGACACATGGGGGTGTCTGGGGCCTGTGCTCTCTCACCAACCTCTCCCCAAGAGTAATAAAAAGCAGTTGAACCGAATCAGGCAAATCAGCATTCAAGTCTCTTCTTCTCCCAAGTCCCCTGTGAAGCAGGAGGCAGGAGGAGGTGGGACCCAGAGCCTGGGGTGCTCCCAAACTGTGGCCTTGGGATCAGCCGGCTGTGGCTTCTACTCCCCCTCCCCCATCCCAGGACTTAGCTGGAAATAAAACCCTGAGTGTGGCCCAGGTGTCGTGTTACCAGTGCATTTCTGCCAGACCTGTGTCCCAGATTGCCCAGGTCTCCAATGTGTCATTCTGGCTTGTGACAATCCAAGGGGCACCTGCCCAGGGCAGGCCAGAAGGTGGGGGCAGTGTGTGTGTGTGTGTGTGTGTCTGTGGAGGAGTGGGGGAGGTGGACAGAGCTGAAGGTCCGGGCTGGGTGCTCATAGTGCAGATCCAAAGGTCCCTGTCAATGCAGAGGTGGGCGTCAGGGGCTGGCGGAGTCTGGGGGTTAAAGCACGCCCATGTTTTTCAGCCCCCAAGAAGGAGGGTCAGGTCGTGGCCTGGTTGAAAGGCAGAGGTCTGGAGTCTAACAGGATGGGTTAGCATCAGACCTGTCACTGGGAGCTGGGCTACAGGTTCAAGCTTTGAGCCTCAGTTTACTCATCTGTAAAATGGGGGTCTGTAGGGACGGGGACAGGCTGGGCTGGCTAATGGCTTAGCTAAATGGCAGATTAAAAAGAAGAAAGAATCACTTCTCGGCCTTTTGGCTAAGATCAAGTGTAGTATCTGTGCTTCTCAGTTTACTCTGATAAGTCCTATATCCGAGGGCAATACATTAAATGAACTTTTGGAACAGGGAGATGGAAGAAGAGCTTATTGCGGTACCTCCAGGAACGGTGCACCATTAAATAAACAGGAAGAAGAAAGAAGGTGGCACGGCCCAAGCGCCTGCTTTGCAAGAGCAAAGCTCTGAGTTCAAATCCCAGTCCCAAAGAAAAAAAGTAAAAAAGAAGAAAGAAAATCATTGGCGAATTGCCCAAGGACACTGGACAGGGGAGTGGGGGGGAGACAGGTGACCATAGGGCGTCCTGAGTCCCTGGATTGCTACGGCAACCGCGAAGCCCTCGGCTACTTCACTGGGAACCTGCCGCTCCTTCCCCCTCCACCGCCCCCCCACCCCCCCCCGCTGGCCTCGTCCCATTGGTCGGTTCCCGGAGGCCCCGCCCCCCGAGCCATTATAAGGTGGGCGGGCCGGCGGGGCGGAGACTCGAGCTGGGCCGGGGGTGCGCGGAGGCGCGGCTGGCGTCTGAGTGCGCGCCCAGGTGAGTGTGGCGCGGGGCTGCGGCCAGGGCGTCCCCGGGCTCGGGGACCCAGGGCTGGGTGGCTGGGAGAGGGTCCGATCGATGGCTCGGGAGGGGTACGACGGGCTGCAGCACGTGGCTGAGACCCTTGGCCCAGTTGGCGGAGGCTCAGGACCCAGTTGGGCGGCGACCAGGACTCAGAGGGCGCTGGGTGGCGGCAGGGGAACCACAGACAGCGCGAGGCCAGCTCTCCACTGTGACCTTGGGCCCAGCGTGGACCTTCTGCTTGCCTCGGTTTCCCTGTCTGTCAAAGGACCACTGTGGGCTGATCCTGAACCCGCCGCTACCACTTCCATCCCTGCGTGGGGGGCTGCTCGGCATGTCTGTTCCTGGCAGGGACAGGAGGGACCTCCCCCATTTTACAGAAGAGGACACTGCTCAGGGAGGTGAAGGAGCTTGTCCAGAGTCCCACAGCAGGTAATGTCGGGATTCAAGTGCAGCTGGGTCTCACCTAAAGCCCATGCCCTGGGTGGTGACAGTTGTACACTTATTGCGTGCAGAGCCCTGTGTGTGCCTCATCTGTGCCCATTTCACAGATGAGGAAACTGAGGTCCCAAATGGAAATGAGACTTATCTAAGTCACAGAGCCCAGCTGGACACCACCTGGGGCCTGGGTGAAAGCCTGGAGGGCTGGTGTGAGGGGTCCCTGTCACTGTCCTGCCTCCTCAGGGAGAGTCCGTCTGCAGCAGCCATGTCCGTGGATGAGGCCGTTGAGGACCCCAAACCCAGCTTGGGGGAGCAGGATCAGCAGGTGAGGGGCTGCCCCCTCCCAGGGAGTGGGGACACAGGAAGGGTGGGGGACAGTCTTCCTGGGATGGTTTCAGGCCAGGTGTCCCCTCCTGTCCCTTTACTGGGAGAAGCTGATTCTGAGAACACCGTGGGCCAGAGAGGAGAGGTCATCTTTCCAAGGACAAGCAGCCCCCATGAGGCATCCAGTCCCCTGCCTCTCAGTCCACGTGTCACCCTCAGTAACAACCACAATAGCAGTAATAGCATCAAACGTGGCAGATTCAGTGTCAGACACAGTGCTAAGTGTCTCACGTGCCCTTGGGTCCACCCCACTGCAGCCCTAGAAACCTGTTTTACAGATGAAGAAACTGAGGCACAGAGCAATCAAATCCTTTCCCAAGCCCACACAACTGGGACATGGCCCAACCAGAACCGAACCCCAGGTGGCCTCATCCAGAAGCTGAGTTCTAAACTGCTAGACTGTGACATCCCCTTCCCAGAGCAATTCCAAACTTGTAACGCTGTGCACACTACTAAGAAAACACGGAGGGTCACATCTCCGTGTGTCTCCGCTCCCGGTACATAGTTGGACCGGGCCACTTCTCCCTGATGCCCTTTGTCCCTTGGTCTGACCCAGAGAGGGGAAGCAGGCGGACCCCCCAGCCTCCCCCGCTGTTCCTCTGATGCCATCACTTCCCACAGAACGTAGTGCAGCGTGTAGCATCCCTGCCCCTGGTCAGGGCCGTGTCCCATGCCTACAGCGCAGCCAAGGACTGGCACCCACTGCTGGGCTCCGCCTGCCGCCTGGCTGAGCACTGCGTTTGCGGCCTGACCACCTGCGCCCTGCACCACGCCCAGCCGCTGTTGGACCACCTGCAACCCCAGCGTGAGTCCCTGGGTTCTGGGGACAGCCCTACTGCCCCATGCTCCCTCCCCACTGTGGTCCATCTTCAGGGATTGGTCCCCTGAACTGGATGTCCCTTCTTGGCCTGGCTGACCTAGCCTATGTATTTCTCTTCCTCCTCCTCCTTCCTCTTCTGAAGCTCTGGGGTTTGAACTCAGGGCCTTGCACTTGCAAGGCAAGTGCTCTGCCATCCACTCATTTTTGCCATCCACTTGAGCCATCCACTCATTTTTGCTTTAGTTATTTTGGGGATAGGTTCCCCCATTTATGCTCAGGCAGGCCTGGACCTTGATCCTTCTACCTCTGCCTCCTGGGTAGCTGGGATTTCAGTTACAGGTGGGTGCTACCACACCCAGCTTGTTGGTTGAGATGGGGTCTTGCTAACTGCATCGAACTGTGCTTCCCCAAATCTCCATCTTCTGATGAGCTGGGATTTAGACATTGTCTTGTCTGTCCTTAATGTGCCCACTGTCTGTCTCATGGTCCCCTCTGTTCTCCATCTGCCCTGCCCCCAGACCCACAGCCCACCATCTCCATCGCTGTCTAATCTGCTCACCTGCTGACTTGCCGCCCGTCCTCTCTGGTCCTTTTCCTTCTGCCTCCTCATCCTCCTCTCTTCTTTGGTCCATCAATCCTTTTACACACTTCTCCCCTCTCCGCTGCCCTCCCTCTGCCTGGCCTGAGCCATGTAGCTCAGCCCTGCCTGCCACCATCTGCCGAACACACCTGTCACCAGCTCAGAGGTCCAATTTGGCAAGGGGCACAAAGACCCTTGGCCTCCTGTTTGACCAAGGAAGGGTCACCTGAGGGCCCACCAGGGCCTCCATAGCTCCTCTCAGTTGGCTCTCGTGACCCTGAGCCACACCCACTGGGCAGCTGAGCTGGGTGGGGCTGAGGGTCACCTTGGCCTTGGGCTGGTTGGCAGGGCTGCCTCAGCTGGTGGCCCATCCCATACTCAAGGTCCTCAGGCCCTTCCAGGGAGCTGGCCACATGCTGGGAGGCACCAGGTCCCCCTGTGGCCCGATCTCCACACCCCAACAACCTGTCACAGAGCCCCTGTGTGGGACCAGCCTCTCTGTGGCTTCTCTGGGAGCCTTAACGACGCCAGCCCACCTCCACGGACCACTGCCCATCTCCTGAGTTAGATCTCATCTCGTTCTGTGTTTTGTCTTTCGTTGTCTCTGCCTCTATCTCTAGCACTCTCTCCCTCTGTAACTCTCCATGTGTCCCTATTTCCCCGCCTCTCTCTTCAGTGGCCACAGTGAACAATCTTGCCTGCAGGGGTCTGGACAAGCTGGAGGAGAAGCTGCCATTTCTCCAGCAACCTGCAGACATGGTAGAGGTGTGACCAGACCCAGGGGACCTGCGGCAGGGTGATTCCAGCAGAGGTGGGAGGGAGCAAAGGAAGATGTCAGCCCATCTTTGGAGAAAAAAGACAAATACAAAACCACAGAGCGCCTGCCTAGCAAGCACGAGTCCCTGAGTTCAGACCCCAGTACTGCCAAAACTAAATTAATTAAAATAAATATAAAACTGTGATTAAAAAAAACACCAGTTTCCTACCTGCGCCTCCCAAGTAGCTGAGATCACAGGCATGAGCCACCACACCAGGCTTATTGAGATAGGGTCTGGTTAAGTTTTTGCGACTGTCCTCAAGCTGCAATCCTCCCAAACTCCACCTTCCAAGTACAGGCATGAGCCACCAAGCCCCACCCAGGGAGGGTTTTGTTAGTCCCCCATTTTATGGAGGAGAAACTGAGGTACAGAGTCACAAAGGGGACCAGAGATCTTTTGTCCCAGCCCCAGGAGCTGGGGTGGGGGAGGGGAAAGGGGCCAGAGGCCTGCAGCATCTGAGGCAGGCCCCTCCTGCCAGGTGGTGGCCTCCGCCAAGGATGCCATGGCCAGCAGCGTCCCAGGCCCAGCGGACATTGCACAGCGGAGCCGGCGTTGGAGCGTGGAGCTGAAGCGCTCTGTGAGTCACACCGTCCACACTGTGCTGGGCAAATCTGAGGAGCTGGTGGACCACTTCCTGCCCATGACGGAGGAGGAGCTGGGTGAGGCTGGTGTCTGCCCTAGAATCCTCCTGCCCGCCCAACCTCCACGGGGATTCAGATCAGAGAGGCCTAGGACTTGCCCAAGGCCACACAGCACAGCTGCAGGAAACTCAGAACTCACACCCAACCCTGCCCCCACCAGTCCACTTCCACCCCCTTATCCTGCCCGGACTCTGAAGGCATAGAGGGAATACAGCCATGAGGACCAGGGTCTCAAAGTGACAGCCCTCCAAAATGTGCACATTTTGTGCTTCAAATTCTGGATTAAACAAGACTAATGGGAGCTGGCGGAGTGGCTCAAGCAGTAAGGCCCTGAGTTCAAACCCCAGTGCTATAAAAAAAAGAAAAGACAAAGCGTTTTTCAATTCCTGTATTTTTAGCACTAAAGCAATGTGTTAATTTATCCCCTGCTGGGCAGGAAACGCAGTGAGGCATTTATTTAGCATCTGCTGCATGCCAGGACCTTGCAACATAGTGGGTTTACTTTGTTTTGTTGGTGGGTTTAAACTCAGGCCAAACCAGTGCTCTACTATGGAGCCACACCTCCCATCCGGTTTGCTCTGGTTATTTTGGAGATGGGGTCTCGTGAACTGTTTTCTGTGGCTGGCCTCAAACTGACATCCTCCTTATCTCAGCTTCCCAAGTAGGATTACGGGCGTGAGCTACCTGCACCCGGCTTACATTCAGTTTCTCCCTTTCTTTATATTTTTTTAATTGTTTGGGACAGGGTCTTGCCACGTAGCCCCGGCTGATTTTAAACTTGAGATCCTCCTGCCTCTGCCTCCTGAGGTCTGCGATTACAGTCAGGAGCCACCACACCTGACTGCGATATCTTTTACTATTTTTTCCTTCAGTGCTGGGGAAGCCAGCGCCTGGAACATACTAGGCGAGCGCTCACCACAGCGCTGCACCCCCAGCCCGCCACACATTCATGAAGAAGCTGTTTAAGTTGGCACCGGTGGCTCACGCCTGTAATCCCAGCTACTCAGGAGGCAGAGATCAGGAGGATCGAGGTTCAAAGCCAGCCCAGGCAAATAGTTATCGAGAGCCTATCTTGAAAAAGAAAGCAAAAATAGGACTGGTGGAGTGGCTCAAGGTGAAGGCCCTGCACTGAAAAAAAAAGAAAGAAAAAGAAAAAGAAGGAAAGACTGTTTAATAGAATGGATAAGTACAGCCTGGAGCTGGTATGCCTGAGTTCAAACCTTGCTTTTCGACCCTCTCCGCCTCAATTTTCCTCATCTGTAAATTGGGGCTAGTAACAGTATCTTCACTGTAGGATTTGGGGAGATGGTTGGGCCAGTGTCGATGCAGCTCCCCTTGGGAGCTGGGGCCATGTGCAGATGAGGAGGGGGCAGCCACACTGACCTCTGCCCCTGGCCTGTCCTCCAGCGGCACTGGCGGCTGAGGTTGAAGGCCCTGAAGTGGGCTCTGTGGAGGAGCAGAGACGGCAGCAGGGCTACTTTGTGCGTCTGGGCTCCCTGTCAGCACGGATCCGCCATCTGGCCTACGAGCACTCTCTAGGGAAACTGAGGCAGAGCAAACACCGTGCACAGGACATCCTGGCCCAGCTGCAGAAGACACTGGAGCTGGTGAGAACTCCCCATCCATGCCCGCTCTGTCGCCCTCTGAGCGCCTGCACAGTGCTGGTGGCGGGAGGACGGAGCCCGCAGTGTGGGTTCAGGACTGGGAGCCGAGGAGCCCAGATGTGAGGCCGAGGCAGAGGGACCACAAGTTTAAGGCCGGCCTGGGCTCCATAGCAAGAGGCTGTCTCAAAAAAGAAAGCAAGCCAGGGGCCAGTGGCGTACACTGGTAATCCCAGCTACTTGGGAAGCTGAGATCAGGAGGATCAAGGTTTGAGACCAGCCTGGGCAAAGAGTTCATGAGACCCCATCTCAAAAATACCCAACACAAAATATGACTGGAGGAGTGGCTCAAGCAGTAGAGCACCTGCCTAGCAAGTGTGAGGCCCTGAGTTCAAATCCCAGTGCTGCCAAAAAGAAAAAGAAAGGAGGGAGGAGAGGAAGGAGCTGGAATGCTTCCTGGTCCCACCCAGCCACCTCCCCTGCTCCAGACAGAAATAGCAGCTCTTCTTTACAGACGCTGTTCCCCCATTTCCACCCCCATTTCAGCCAAGGACAGCTGTGTCCCCCCAGGGGCTCAGGCCAGCATCCAACACATCTGCTGGTTCTGTCAGCTCGGCCTTCAGGGCTTATTCCAAATCCACCCACTCCCACCCTGTCCACCTGGTCCAGCCCCATCCTTGCACACCTGGTCCCCTGCGCCTCCTGCCCCCACAGCCTGTCCTCCCACCGAAGCCGGCAGAGGGCGCCTGTGAGCACCCAGTGAGGCCCTCCCTCAGCCCGCAGCCCTCCATGGCTCCCGCCTCCCTCAGGCTCAAAGCCCAAGTCCTCCCTGCAGCCCACAGGGCCCTGCACCACCTGCCTGTCCCCTCTCTACCTCCCTCCCCACTCTGTCCCCCTCGCTCCCTCTGCTCCAGCCACACGGCCTCCTTGCTGCTCCTCCATCACCCAGGCTCGTCCTGCCCCAGGGCCTTTGCACTCACTGTGTCCTCTACTTGGGACACTTTTTTCCCTTGCTAAAACATTCTGCTTCTGGAAAACCCTAGGATCTGCTTATTTACTTTTTTTTTTAATTATTATTACATTTCCCCTCTGGATTTTTTGCTGGGGATGGAACCCAGGGCCTCACAGATGTGAGGCAAAAGCTCACCACTGAGCCACACTCTGCTCTGCCCCCTCCAGACTGACAGCTTTGCAAGGACGGGGCACTGCCTTGCTCAACCACTCAACAGAGGGTTACTGGGCACCTGCTGTGTGTCTGAGCAGCTGGTGGAATGCCACACACACAAAGAAGGGTCACAAATGCTCCTGCAGGAGATGACTCAGTGTGTGCCTGGCAAGGAGACTGCTTATAAAGCACCATGGAGCAATGGGATCTTGCAGTACAGCCATGTTTGCTAACGCTTTTTGGTGTGGTAAAATGTGCATAAAGTGGGGGTGGGGGGGTGTGTGCTTTGTGGTCCCCGCACGCCACCCAAGGGAGGCTGAGGCAGGAGGACAGTATGACTCAAGCACAGCCTGGGCTACATAGTGAGACCCTATCTCAAAATTTTTTTCATAGCAGGGCACTGGCGGTTCACGTCTGTAATCCCACCTACTCAGAAGGCAGAGAGCAGGAGGATGGTGGTTTGAAACCAGCCCTGGGCAAATAGTTCACAAGACCTTATCTTGAAAAAACACTTCGCAAAAAAGGACTGGTGGAGGGGCTCAAGGTGTAGGCACTGAGTTCAAATCCCATACTGAAACAAAATTTTTTCATAAAATTTATCATTTTAGCCTTTTTTTTTCTTTTCAGTACTGGACTTTGAATTCAGGGCCTTGCACTTGCTAGGCAGGTGCTCTACCACTTGAGCCACTCCCCTCGTCCATTTTAGCTTTTGAGTTATTTTTCAGGTGGGGGCTCCAGTTTTTGCCTGGGCTGGCCTCGGACTAAGATGCTCCTCCCTACACCTCTTGAGTAGCTGGGACTACAATTGTGAACTACCCTGCCTGACTTACTGGTTGAGATGGGGTCTTGCTAAGTTTTTGCCCAGCTGGTCTTTGAACCTTGATCCTCCTGATTTTCGCTTCCCAAGTAGCTGGGATTACAGGCACAAGCCACCACGCCCAGTCCCATTTTAGCCTTTTTCTTTTTGCAGTACTGGGGCTTGAATTCAGGGTCTACACCTTGAGCCACTCCACCAGTCCTATTTTTTATGATGGGTTTTGAAGTAGGGTCTGGAGAACTATTTGCCCAGGGTGGCTTTGAACCACAATCCTCCTGATCTCTGCCTCCTGAGTAGCTGGGATTACAGTGTGAGCCACCAGTGCCCAGCTCTTTTAGCCACTTTTTAAGTGCTGAAGTTCCATGGCCTTAGGCACACTCACGTGGCTGTGCAACCATCCCACCACCCACCTCTAGAACTTTCCATGTCCCCATTCCGCACTGAAGCCCCTCCTGTCTCCATCCTACTTAAACCCTACTTCCTGTCTCTGTAGCTCTGATGACTGCAGGGTCCTTCTTGAGAGGCGTCCCTGCCTGCTCATTTCACTGAGGTCCCTCCACGTTGGAACAGGTGTCAGTACCTCTTTCCTTTTCACGGCTGTATCATATGCCGTTGTACAGATGAACTTCATTTTGTTCCCATTCATGTCCTTTTTGTGGGGCTGGGATGGAACCCAGTACCCCGCCCAGGCTGGACACTTGTTTTCGCCATGTCACACCCCAGCCCCGCGTTCATCTTTTAACACACAGTTTTCACAGTTGTGGAACGCATCTGCTTGGATGCGTTTATGCTGGTCGCTGAAGTCACAGTGACCCTGTTCCTCTACAAGGGGTCGGGCCCTGACATGTACTTTCAGGAGCCGGTGGCATCTCTGTCGAGGCCTGGAGGGACCAAGGCAGGGCAGTGAGGTGCAGGGAGAGGCGTCCCTGGGCAGGGACTGTATGGGCAAAGGCCTAGCACTGACACCGGGCCTTGGGGTAGCCACAGGGCAGAGGTGCAGGAGAGAAGGGTGGGACATCAGGCTGCTCAGCAGACATGGGGGTGACCTTCAGATGGTGCCGGCCACACGCTGACTGAGGGCAGATTCTGCCCCGGTTGGTCCCCGGACCCCTCATCTTCTCCCGCCCTGACTCCCATGGTCCCTGTTGCTCAGATCCACCATCTGCAGAGCGGAGGGGTGAGCCCCACGGCCCAGCCCGCCAACGAGCAGCAGCTGTGGGAGGACTGGAGCCTGTGTCCCCTGCAGAACGGCCGCAGACGTAGCCAGGTGAGGAAGTGGGGGTCAGGTGAGGAGGGGTCGGGTGAGGGGGGACGGTGAGGAAGGGACAGTCGGTGGGGAGCGGCACACAGGAGGAATGGTTCTGACAAGCAGGGCTGCAGGGTCCAGGCTGAAGCTGTGCCCAAGCACATGCTGGGGTCAGCGGGTTGGGTGTCCATGGGGGAAACTGAGGCGGGCTGGCGCCCCCTGGACGCGCATGGGACAGGAGGCAGGTGTCCCCGCAGGTGGAGCTGGACACGCTGGAGCTGTGGCGCCGCCTGACGCAGGAGCTGCAGAGCGCGGTGGCCGCGCTGGCCGCGGGCGTGCGGGGTCTGCGGGGCGCGCAGGCGCAGGTGGCCGAGGTGCGGCGCAGCGTGGACGCGCTGCAGGCGGCCTTCGCGGGCGCGCGCGGCGTCGGGGACGTGCCGGGGCGGCGGTGGCCGCGGGCCGGGGCAGCGTGGCGCGGGCGCGCGCGGCCGTGGACGAGCTGCTGGAGCTGGCGCTGCGGAGCGGGCCGCTGGCCTGGCTCGTCGGGCCCTTCGCGCCCGTGCTGGTGGAGCGGCCCGAGCCCCCCCGCGACCTGGCCGCGCGGGTGGACGAGGTGGTGGGCCGCCCCGACCCCCGCTGGGCGCACCTGGACCGGGCCCCGGAGGCCGAGCGTCCTCCCCGCGCGCCCCCGGCCAAGCCCACGCTGATGCCCGAGCTGGACTTCTGACGCCCTGCTGCCCCCTGGCGGCCACGGCCTTGACCTTGCCCGAGGCTCCAAACTGGGATGGGGGCGGAACTCCGGCTCTCAGCCCCCCCCCGCACTTTCCCCTGGGCACGCGGGGGACCTCAGACCCCCGCCCCCCGCCCAGGCCTTTTTCAGCACCCCCATGCCCCATGGTCTTTTTTTTTTTTTTTTTGGCAGGACTGGGGGTTTGAACTCAAGGCCTTGCACTTGCCAGACAGGCGCTCTAACACTTGAGCCACGCCCCTCAGTCCCCCCAATGGGGTCTTCATGGTCTGTGGTCATGTCCCAGCCCAAAAATGGCTGATCAGAACCCTGAGTGCTGGGTGTGGTGTCACACATGCCTGTAATCCCAGCACTTGGGAGGCTGAGGCAGGATAGGGAGGTCAGCCTGGGCGAGTCCCTGTCTAAAAAAAAAGCCAGGTGCCAGTGGCTCACGCCTGTAATCCCAGCTACTCAGGAAGCAGAGGTCAGGAGGATCGAGATTCAAAGCCAGCCTGGGCAAATAGTTTGAGAGACCCTATCTCAAAAATATCCATCACAAAAAAGGGCTGGTGGAATGGCTCAAGGTGAAGGCCCTGAGTTCAAATCCCAGCACTGCTAAATGAGTGAATGAATAAAAGACAAAGAAAAGGACGCCCTGAGAATCACACTGTGGCCCTGGCCTTCGGTCTGGGGCTTTGGAACAGTACGCCCCAGCCTCCCTGGACCGAGGGGTACCCCAGAGATGCCCACCAACTTGACCCGGCCGGCCAGACTCACTTGCTTTGCCGTTTGCTCTCCAGAATAAAGGTGCTTTGTGTGTCCATGTGCTGTGGTCTCTGTCCCAGCCAGGGGGGTCTCAGACCCCTGGTGCTGAGGGCTTCTGTGTGTGATGACAGGAATGTGGGGAGGGGGTTTCCAGTCAGCGATCGGATCTACCCAACCTGGGATAAGCATCACCCCTTGGTGCATCTACCGAAGAGAAAGCCATTCTCACTTTAGTATAAATGAATTTCTTGGAAATGGCTAGGAACAGGAAGGGAAGGGGAAGAAACAAGACTGGCAGCAACCTCTTCTGCCCACCTCCCTGGGCCCGCAGGAGCTGGAATTGGGGTGACAGGCAGAAGCAGGGCAAGGGCCACAACTGCTCTTCTGGGGCTTTCTGTCCTCTGACCGCGTTCCTGGCTGCCCCTCAGACTCCCCTGTGGCCAGGCGGGATGTTGGGAAATCACCTTCCTGAAGCACAGTGAGGTCAGGGTGGCCCCTGGTTTCCCTGGGACCTGGGCCAGAGTTAACTCTGGGAGCCCCAACCATGACCCACCAGCGAGATTCCCCTCCCTGCTCTGCTCCAGAACCTCCATAGCTCCCTGGGGCCCTCAGACCAACCACTCAGGATCTTCCTCTTGCACCTCTATGCTCCATTGCCTTCAGGCCTGTGCCCCAGCTGTGCTGGCCTCCTGAGTGCCCGTCCCTCCCTCTACTTACTCATCTCTTGCACACAGCTCACCCGTCCTCCAGCCTCAGCACCCATGCTTCCTCCTCCAGGAAGCCTTTCCAGCCTCCACCCAAGTGGGACAGTCCACAGGGACTCCAAGCCCTCTCCACCTTGACTGACAGCCAAGGGCCCCTCCCACAAGAACTGGCAGTCTTATAACTTGGTGGCCACTGCCTTCCCCTCTGTAAAGTCCATCTGTCCTTCTGGGGTGAAAGTATCTGTCAGATTGATTCATAGTGAACGCTCCTGTGTGGAAGCACAACACATTCATCCGCCTTCCGTTTGACAAGTATTTATTGAGTGCCTGCTGTGTGCCAGGCAGTTCTCTGCTCTGGGGACACGGCAGTGAGCAAAACATACCCCACTCTCTAGGGGTCCACCGTGTGGAGGTGATGGAAAAAAAGCAAAATAAATTATTTATCTCAGAGTTAGGAGATGAGGACAATGAAAGAAAGGGATGGGGAGTGATGGGTTAAAAGGGGGTGAATGTTTAAATGGGGGATTTGGGAAGGTGACATCTGAAGATAGTCCTTGAAGGAGGTGAGGGATTTGGGGGCAGGTGGTGCAAAGGCCCTGGGGCAGGACGAGCCTGGGTGATGGAGGAGCAGTGAGGAGACCTGTGTGGCTGGAGCAGAGGGAGCAAGGGGGACAGAGGGAGGAGGGAGGAGGGAGGGGACAGGCAGGTCGTGCAGGGCCCTGTGGGCTGCAGGGAGGACTTGGGCTTTGAGCCTGAGGGAGGCGGGAGCCATGGAGGGCTGTGGGCAGGGGAGGGAGGGCCTGACTGGGATGTATCAATTTATTATTACTTTTTCATTGTTGTAATTTGCTGGTTTTCTCCCTCCACACTGGGCTGTGACGCCCTTCGGGAGAGGGAGGGGCACACCCAGTTTTCCCTGTCACCCCTGGGAAGTATTGGCTAGTGGACACCATGTCTTCTGCTCCCTGACTGTTTGGCAAACACAAGGAGACTCCAAGGAGATGGCCTGGGGTCACCAGGCCCAGCGGGTGGACCCTTCCTCCTCCCAGTCCAGCACCAGAGCTGATTGGCTCTCCCTGCTCACTCCCATAGCCCATGGCAGGAAGCCCTGTCCTGGGGGACATGGCCCAGGACAGAACGGTGGCCTCTCTGTCTTCTCGCTCCCCCACCGATGGCTCACTTGGCACATAGGCTTCTCACTCTTTTTTTGAATCCTTTCTGCCACAGCATCCTCAGGCCCAGGATGCCTCCTCTGGGGAGCCTCCATGGGTTGGGCCAAGCCCACCATGTTGGGGGGCTCACTCCCGGGGTCCCCAGTTCTGTGGAGCTCTGCCTTGGATTGTATTTCAGCTTGAATCCCTTCTAGAGAGTGACATGTCTCTTCTCTTGTCAGGACCCCTCCTGCTCCTCAGACCTGGTTTCTGCCAGGGCAGTGCTAAACTAGTGTTTGTTGAGCGACTGCTCGTGAACACACATGACCTCATTTCAAGCTCACACCACCGTGAACTGGCTTGATGGAGAAAGCCGTGTGGGTAGCTGGGGGAAGGCAGACACACAGCCCATGCAAAGGCCCTGGGGTAGGATGAAGTCTGGCATATTGGAGCAGCAGAGAGGAGGCCTGTGTGGCTACCGAGAAAGGGAGGAACAGAGGATGGGAGGCAAGGAGGCTACCTTGTGGAAGGGGAAACTAAGGCACAAAGATAGTATCTGGCTAAGGTGCCTCAACAGAGTGGGCACCCGTCTTGTGGAGGGAAAGTAGAGAAGGAGGGTGGACAGTGCCTTAGGCAAGATGGGAACCCAGCTGGCCCGTGAGTCACACAGCCACTGTGCAGGCGAGCACAGTGGGCAGAGGCGGCCTGGCCTGGTGCTAAGAGCAGGGAAAAGGTGCTGGGTTGGGGCCCACTGGGCTGGGCAGGCAAGGCACGTGACCGCCGGCCCCCCCAGCCCTGCTGGCTGGCTGCCTCCCCGGCCAGGCCTGCGCCCGCCCAGACCCTATAAGGTCTGGGAGCCCAGAGCAGAGCCAGCTGCAGGCTGCCACTCGGACAGAGCTACACACAGTCCAGGTGAACAGGGCCTTGTCTGCCCTGGGGACACAGGCCCCTAGGAGCCATCAGGGCCGCCAGGGTAGGGCCACAAGGGGCCTGGGACCCCCCCCTACTCCCACGCCTTCTCTGCCCCCTTCCAACTGCCTAACTGTCATCATGTCTGCTACAGAGGGAGGAAGCCAGGGTCCCCCCAAGTCCAAGGGCAAGGTAAGGAAGGGGGAGTCATGGGGGCCGGAGATCCCCAGAGCGCGGAGGGTGATCCTCAGCGCTGCTCACATGACCCCCACCCCTGCCGCACCCCATACAGACCCTCAGCAGCTTCTTCGGGTCCCTGCCTGGCTTCAGCTCCGCCCGGAACCTGATGGTCAGTGCCAGCTCTGCCAAGGAGGCCCGGCCGCCCGCTGACCCTGCAGGTGCTCCGGCCCCTGAGGCCGCCCAGCCCCAGGCTCAGGGTGAGTGGACAGCCTGGAGGGGATGGGACCCTTAGGGTGGCCGGGCAGAAGTCCCTGGAGGAACAGACCATAATGTAGGAGCTTGGCACAAGCCTGGTGGCCACTACAAGGCTGGCCTGCTCAGATAGCCCCTGATGAGGAAACTGAGGCAGTGATATAGGGTGAAATAGCCAGCCAAAATGGCAATCTGAAACCCGCCACGGTCCCTGCCCCCCGCCACCCTGTGTCTGGTGTGCTGGGGATTAAGTTGATGCCATGCATACCTGAGTATGCACCAAGGATGGCGCCCCTGCTTGCAGAGCTAGGCAGCAGCCCTCCTGAGGTCACACAGCTTCTTGTGACTTGGGCCAGGATGTCCCAGAAAGGCCCGGGATGTGCAGAGTGGCTGCTGCAGGGAACCTGGGGTGGGCAGTCACCAGGGCTGGCCCTTAATCTAGCCCAGAGCTGTGGGCAGCTGATTTGTGCTCTTGCATACCTTGGTGACAGGAGGTTGGCAGCTGTGGCAGGGTGGGGCCGCCTCACCCACCCCAGGCTGTGTGAGCTTTGTGACTTAGGGTGGGGTGTCCAGCTCCCAGGGCACAGCAAAGAAGGCCCCAGGAAGCCCTGCTCTAGAGTGGGAGACCCTGGCGGGGGGGCAGGAGGCTGAGCTTGGCTGTTGATGTCACCTCCTGCTGTCCCTGGCAGGGAGCTTGGGACATTCCTGACCTTTTGGGCTGTGCCCAGCAGTTACGCAAGAGGCCTGGGGTAGGCAATCCCAACCCATGTCCTTACCCTCCCTGATCAGCCCTTGTCCCCACAGCAGCCACCGACCTGGAACAGTTGGCCGGGGGAATGGAGAATCTGTCACAGCCTTCCGAAAAGGTGAGGGGCCGGTAGAGCCTGGCCTGAAAGTCTTAGGGTGACCTCCAGGGATTTTCTGTCCCCTCCATCTGGGGCGTGGTGGTAGGACAAGAAAGCGCACAGCTTTCTTGTGTTTGGGAGTCAGGGGCTCCCTCCCCCGTGGACCTGTTTCCACATCTGGGGAACGGGTATGGGCTCTAAGCAGCAGCTGGAGTCAGGCTCTGCTCAGCCCTGCAGTTAGCCTCCTCTCCAGTGTGCCCCCCAGGAAGGCAGCGACAGGGCCCCACAGCACAGAGAAGTTAAGCCACCTGCTGAAGGTCACACAGCAAGATGTGTGGGGCAGTCAAACGCTGCCCAAACTATCTGCATGTACCCCGGTCCTGGATGAAGGGGACCCCTGGCAATCTCTCTGTTCCCAAGGCCCTGGCCAAGCAGAGGGCCTAATGTGTGGTGGCTGAAAACCACAGCAGTGGCAAAGCCCTGACACAGTCCTGCTGCCAGCATACCCCCAGACTCTGGAGCGGTCCATGGCTCCCCCGTACCCTGAGCAGCACCAGACCCAAGGTCTCAGGGGGCCCAGAATGGCTGGGCCCCAAATGAAAGCATACTCCTGGCGCCCGGTCACTCCTCCACACTGGTACTAACTGAGCACCCACTGCATCTGGACCGTTCCACGCCTTCACTCATTTCCTCACCATCCTTGAAGGAGGTGCTCTTTTAAATCCTGCTTTTCAGGTGGCGGCAAAGGCCCAGAGAGGGGATGTGGCTTGTCTAATAGCACCCAGGGGTGTGGGAAAAGGCTGGGTCCAAACTCTGGCTGCTCCAGAGCAAGGTCGCCACTTGAGACAACTCTGGGCAGGAGCCCCGTGTTGGGATCAGAATTCAGGGCTCCTGAACTGCAGTGGTGTGGACTTGGGACTGGGTCCTTCTCTGGGGCAGAGGGCATTCTAGACTCTGCCGGGTGCTAAGCAGTGTCCCCAGCCTCCACCCACTCCAGGCCAGGAGCTCTCCAGATATTACGGCAACATGTCCCCAGGTATCACCTACAGTCCCCTGGGAAGTCACCACAACTGAGACCCCTGACCTAAAAGCAGCTTATTCATGGTGACACCGGAGTGGCGCTGAGGCTAGACATTGTCACTGCTTGTTTCCTGGCTCCACCTACAGAAATTGCCCTCCGATGGCCAAACCTGACCAGTGTGAGAGGACAGGTTTTGGGTCCTATGCCTGCCTCAAACCCTATTCTATCTGAACCGCTCTGGTTGTCACCTGTTTTAAGCCCAGACCTTTTACTTGAATAGGTTACCTTTTTTTTTTTTCTTTTCTTTTTGGTGGGTGTGGGGTTTGAACTCAGGGCTTCACACGTGCAAAGCAGGCACTCTACCGCTTGAGCCACACCTCCAGTCCATTTTGTGCTGTGTATTTTGGAGTTGGAGGGGTTTCATGAACTCAAACTGCAAGCCTCCTATTCTCAGCCCCCCAAGTAGCTAGGGTTACAGGCATGAGCCACTGCACGTGGCTTGAGTGTGCTGCTTTTAACAAGCAGTTTTCTAAAGCATTCCTCCAGCTGAGCTGATGAACAAAAACACAGCCAGAAGGCCAGGACTTGGCAGAGCCCAAAACTCAGGTTCCCTGGTGAGTGTGAGCGTGAGTGTCAGGGGCCTGTGGTCAGAGATGACGTGTTTGTTGAAATGGGGACTGGAAGTGAGCTGGAAGGGGATAGTTACCTGCCGTGATTTAATCCACAAAGGCTATGTCCTGGGGCACTGCAGCTGGATGAAAGCTCAGCGGGGTGTCCAGCAGGGGTAGATGAGGGCACATTTGCCTTCTCAGGAAGGTGGGGCTTCTGGGCGGAGCCTCCCTAGGCCCGCTGGGAGTCAGGACTGCAGAAGTGTGGCCTCTCTGTTCTGACCACCTGTCTCCTTCCTCTTCAGTTGGTGTCCAGCCCCAAGGACCTGGAAAGCTCCACGATGACCAGGACCAAAGATGCCTTCCCCTCAGGGGTGACCAACATGGTGGATGCAGCAAAGGGTGTGGTCCAGGGAGGCCTGAGCTCTACCCAGACAGCCTTCTCAGGTGCCAAGGAGGCGGTGTCCAGGGGGGTCATGGGAGCAGTGGGTATGGTCAAAGGGACAGTACAGACGGGTCTGGACACCAGCAAGACCGTGCTGACCGGCACCAAGGACACTGTTTATAGTGGAGTCACGGGTGCTGTGAATATGGGCAAGGGTGCTGTCCAGGGGGGTGTGGACACTTCAAAAGCTGTCCTCACAGGCACCAAAAATACAGTGGCCACCGGCCTCACAGGGGCAGTGAACTTGGCCAAAGGGACAGTGCAGACGGGCTTGGACACTACCAAGACCGTACTGACTGGCACCAAAGACACGGTGACCACCGGGCTCACGGGAGCAGTGAATGTGGCCAAGGGGGCCGTCCAGACTGGAGTGGACACCAGCAAGACCGTGCTGACTGGCACCAAGGACACTGTCTGCAGTGGGGCGACCAGTGCCATAAATGTGGCCAAAGGGACAGTTCAGACCGGCATGGACACCACCAAGACCGTGCTGACTGGCACCAAAGACACAGTGACCACAGGACTCATAGGGGCAGTGAATGTGGCCAAGGGGGCCGTCCAGACCGGAGTGGACACCAGCAAGACAGTGCTGACCGGCACCAAAGATACCGTTTGTACTGGAGTCACTGGTGCCATGAATGTGGCCAAAGGTGCCATACAGGGAGGCCTGGACACTTCGAAAGCTGTCCTCACAGGCACCAAAAACACAGTGGCCACCGGTCTCACAGGGGCAGTGAATACAGCCAAAGGGACAGTCCAGACGGGTCTGGACACCACCAAGACCGTGCTGACTGGCACCAAAGACATGGTGACCACCGGGCTCACGGGAGCAGTGAATGTGGCCAAGGGGGCCGTCCAGACGGGAGTGGACACCAGCAAGACCGTGCTGACCGGCACCAAGGACACTGTCTGCAGTGGGGCGACCAGTGCCATGAATGTGGCCAAAGGATCTGTCCTAACAGGACTGGACACCACCAAGACTGTATTGACTGGCACCAAGGACACCGTTTGTGTTGGAGTCACTGGCGCCATGAATGTGGCCAAAGGTGCCATACAGGGAGGCCTGGACACTTCGAAAGCTGTCCTCACAGGCACCAAAAACACAGTGGCCACCGGACTCACAGGGGCAGTGAACACAGCCAAAGGGACAGTGCAGACGGGCTTGGACACTACCAAGACCGTACTGACTGGCACCAAAGACACGGTGACCACCGGGCTCACGGGAGCAGTGAATGTGGCCAAGGGGGCCGTCCAGACGGGAGTGGACACCAGCAAGACCGTGCTGACTGGCACCAAGGACACTGTCTGCAGTGGGGCGACCAGTGCCATAAATGTGGCCAAAGGGACAGTTCAGACCGGCATGGACACCACCAAGACCGTGCTGACTGGCACCAAAGACACAGTGACCACAGGACTCATAGGGGCAGTGAATGTGGCCAAGGGGGCCGTCCAGACCGGAGTGGACACCAGCAAGACAGTGCTGACCGGCACCAAAGATACCGTTTGTACTGGAGTCACTGGTGCCATGAATGTGGCCAAAGGTGCCATACAGGGAGGCCTGGACACTTCGAAAGCTGTCCTCACAGGCACCAAAAACACAGTGGCCACCGGTCTCACAGGGGCAGTGAATACAGCCAAAGGGACAGTCCAGACGGGTCTGGACACCACCAAGACCGTGCTGACTGGCACCAAAGACATGGTGACCACCGGGCTCACGGGAGCAGTGAATGTGGCCAAGGGGGCCGTCCAGACGGGAGTGGACACCAGCAAGACCGTGCTGACCGGCACCAAGGACACTGTCTGCAGTGGGGCGACCAGTGCCATGAATGTGGCCAAAGGATCTGTCCTAACAGGACTGGACACCACCAAGACTGTATTGACTGGCACCAAGGACACCGTTTGTGTTGGAGTCACTGGCGCCATGAATGTGGCCAAAGGTGCCATACAGGGAGGCCTGGACACTTCGAAAGCTGTCCTCACAGGCACCAAAAACACAGTGGCCACCGGACTCACAGGGGCAGTGAACACAGCCAAAGGAACAGTCCAGACGGGTCTGGACACCACTAAGACCGTGCTGACTGGTACCAAAGACACTGTCTGTGGTGGGGTCACTAGGGCAGTGAGTGTAGCCAAAGGCGCCATCCAGGGCGGCCTGGACACCACCAAGTCTGTGGTCATTGGCACCAAAGACACAGTGGCCACTGGGTTCACAGGGGCAACAAATGTGGTGAAAGGGACAGTGCAGACGGGTCTGGACACCAGCAAGACCGTGCTGACTGGCACCAAAGACATGGTGACCGCTGGGCTCACAGGGGCAGTGAATGTGGCCAAGGGGGCCGTCCAGACTGGAGTGGACACCAGCAAGACCGTGCTGACCGGCACCAAGGACACTGTCTGCAGTGGGGCGACCAGTGCCATGAATGTGGCCAAAGGATCTGTCCTAACAGGACTGGACACCACCAAGACTGTATTGACTGGCACCAAGGACACTGTTTGTGGTGGAGTCACTGGTGCCATGAATGTGGCCAAAGGTGCCATACAGGGAGGCCTGGACACTTCAAAAGCTGTCCTCACAGGCACCAAAAACACAGTGTCCGGTGGGCTCACAGGGGCAGTGAACTTGGCCAAAGAGTCTGTACAGACGGGTCTGGACACCAGCAAGACCGTGCTGACTGGCACCAAGGACACTGTCTGCAGTGGGGTGACTGGTGCCATGAATGTGGCCAAAGAGACAGTTCAGACAGGCCTGGACACCACCAAGACCGTGCTGACTGGCACCAAGGACACAGTGACCTCTGGGGTGATGGGCACAGTGAACCTGACCAAAGGTGCTGTACAAACCGGGCTCAGCATGACCCAGAATAGTGCCATGGGGATGAAGGACTCTGCCTGCAGTGGGGTGACGAGTGCTCTGAGTGTGGCTAAAGGCACCGTCCAGAGTGGCCTGGACACTTCGAAGGCTGTCCTCACAGGCACCAAAAATTCACTGTCCACGGGGCTCACAGGGGCAGTGAACGTGGCCAGAAGGACAGTGCAGACGGGTCTGGACACCAGCAAGACCGTGCTGACCGGCACCAAGGACACTGTTTATAGTGGAGTCACGGGTGCTGTGAATATGGGCAAGGGTGCTGTCCAGGGGGGTGTGGACACTTCAAAAGCTGTCCTCACAGGCACCAAAAATACAGTGGCCACCGGCCTCACAGGGGCAGTGAACTTGGCCAAAGGGACAGTGCAGACGGGCCTGGACACCACCAAGACCGTACTGACTGGCACCAAAGACACGGTGACCACCGGGCTCACGGGAGCAGTGAATGTGGCCAAGGGGGCCGTCCAGACGGGAGTGGACACCAGCAAGACCGTGCTGACCGGCACCAAGGACACTGTCTGCAGTGGGGCGACCAGTGCCATGAATGTGGCCAAAGGATCTGTCCTAACAGGACTGGACACCACCAAGACTGTATTGACTGGCACCAAGGACACTGTTTGTGGTGGAGTCACTGGTGCCATGAATGTGGCCAAAGGTGCCATACAGGGAGGCCTGGACACTTCAAAAGCTGTCCTCACAGGCACCAAAAACACAGTGTCCGGTGGGCTCACAGGGGCGGTGAACTTGGCCAAAGAGTCTGTACAGACGGGTCTGGACACCAGCAAGACCGTGCTGACTGGCACCAAGGACACTGTCTGCAGTGGGGTGACTGGTGCCATGCATGTGGCCAAAGGGACAGTTCAGCCGGGCCTGGACAACAGCAAGACCATGCTGAGTGGCACCAAGGACACTGTTGGTGATGGCCTCACTAGCGCTGTGAACATGGCTACAGGTGCTATGCAGGGTGGCTTGGCCACCACCACCACCATGCTCACTGGTACCAAAGACATAGCATCCACTATGCTCTCTGGGACAGGGGCTCTGGCCTCAGATACCATCCACACAGGTCTCAGCACCATCCAGAGTTGGTTCCCTGGTACCCGGGGCACTATCTGGGGCAGAGCCAGCAGTGACAGGGCTACTGAGTTGTGCGGGGAACAGACCAGTCCGTACCCCCACGCTTGTGGGCTCTCCCCGCTCCTTGATGGGTATGAGACAGCTGTGAGCACAGAGGAAACCACAGGCTCTGCGCTGTTTCGGGACGAGTTGGAGGGACTGGGCGAGATCTTCCACCCCATGAACGTGGATGAGCAAGGTGAGAGATGCCAGGAGGGGGCAGGCGGGGCTGGGCTTTGGTAAAACCTGAGTGCAGGCAGCCTGAGGGGTTTTTGGGACTGAGACTCACTGTCTTCCTGTCCAGCCCTGCTGGAGGCCTCAGAACCTGGCCCCAAGGTGCTCTCAGCTGACCAGGGCAGCTACTTCGTCCGCTTAGGTGACCTAGCCCCCAGCTTCCGGCAGCGGGCATTTGAGCACGCCTTGAGCCACGTGCAGCACAGCCAGTTCCAAGCCCGGGATGCTCTGGCCCAGCTGCAGGACACCTTCCAGGTGGTAAGAGTGAATGTCGCGGTCCCCTCCCCAAAAGCCTCTCCGTGAAGTCTCGCCAGGCTAAATCCAATCCAACCCACAGGTAGAGGCAGGGACTGTCCCTCTGAGCCTCATCTCCACCAAGGATAGCTGTGCAGAGCCGGGAGAGGGTAGACGGAGGCCAGTGAGCCACCAAAAGCAAGCTGGCATGTGTGGAAGTAGGGGTATGCCTGGAATTGGAACTGCATTGAGGGTGACTCAAACAATTTCCAAGGGAAAGACCCCTACTGGGGCGGTCCTGCCCTCCCACTGTCCCTACTCTCTTTCCCTGGACCAGGGTCCTCCCCACCCCAATTTGGTTCTGTGGACCTTGGGACTAGGTGATTCTCTGAGATGAGGGGTCCTGGACACAGTAGTGCTGAATGACAGTCCTGGCCTCCGCCCACCCACAGGATGAAACCATGTGGCCAGGACAGAAAGAACTATGGGGTATTGGTGAGAGGTGAGGTCAAGAGATGTCCCGGGGGCCAGGTCACACTGGCCACACTGAGGGGTTGAACTTTTGTTATATAAAAGGGACCATGGAGCCACAGCAGGGATTGGGGCTGGGCAGTGACAGAGGAATCTGGCCCTGGGTCTCGTTACTTCTCAGGGCCTTACCACCAGACCATGGGGAAGGCCTAGAAGTGAGCTCCAGATGCAGGACTCCAAGTGCCCCCCTCCCCTCCTGGCTCTCATCCCAGATTGAGGCCACGCAGGATCTGGGAGGACAGCCATGTAGGAACCCAGGCTCCAGCACCATGGCAGAGGTCACTGGGATCCAAGAGGTATGTCTGGCAAAGGCCTTGCCCCTGCCCCTCCCGCCCACCTCACTGACTCACCTGCTCATCTTGCTTCTTACTCTTGTAGGCACGTGACGAAGCCATTCTGTCTAGAGTCTGTGCCCTCCTCTGCCAGCTCCACGCAGCCTACAGTGGCCTGGCCTGTGGCCTGAGGGGCCTGCCTGCTGAGCTGCAGCGGCAGGTGGGGCAGGCGCGCCACAGGCTCTGTGAGTTCTATGGCCTTGTGTCTGAGGCCAGGTCTGTTGGGGAGCTGCAGGCAGAGCGCATGACACAGAGCCGTGCAGGTGTGAGCCAGGCGTGGCAGGGGCTGGAGGTGCTGCTGGACAGCCTGCACCACAGCCCCCCTCTCGGCTGGCTGGTGGGGCCCTTCACGCTAGCCTCTGGCGCCCAGCAGCTGTAGGAGCCTGCCAACCCGGACAGCATCACTCTGCTCCTTCTTCTGGCCCCCAACCCAACTCACTTCCCCAAAGCCCTGGGCCCTGCAGGCTGGAGAAGTTCCCTGATATGTGAGTTCGAGTCCAGCTGCCTCTCTGGCCCCGGGTGTGGGCCTACCCCTGCCTCCCACCCTTCTCCCCAAGCTTCGCCAGTCCTCTCCTAGAGCTGGGCACAGCCTCTCCAACTAGAAAGATGTGGGCGCTGCCTCAGCCTAGCAGTCCTCTACCAGCCTCACTAGGACCCCTGTATTATCAGGCTCTTCAGGCCCCACTGCCACTCCCATAGCAACCCTCTACATCCAGGCTCAGCTGAGGGCAGCCCTGGCTTTTGGCAAACGCACTGGCTGCCTTGGAGCCTCATTTCTTTATAGCAGAATTTTACCAGCATGCCACAGCCATACTGAGGCAGGCTCCTGTGGCATCCGGGGCATGCAGCCACATGAGGACAGCTGCCTGCAGCCATGAAGGCCTGGACGGAGGGCTGCTCAGCTACAGTTGGAAAGACAGCAAAGCCATGTCCCACTTCAGGTCTCTGCCATGCAACCATGCAGCTTTGAGAAGATGGGAACCATTCGCCCTACACACTTTGAGAGCTGGGTCAGGCACAGTGCAAGGTGAGACCAGCGCCTGTGGTGGCAGCCACCAAAGCCCCTTCCTCCCTCGCCACAGGCACCATGGGTCCTCAGAGAAGCCCTGGCCTGCGGATGGGAAAGCTGACCAGAGAGGGCTGGAGGCTGTGGAGACCACAGAAAGCAGCAGGTAACTCCCATGACGGGGACCCGTGGAGAGCCTTCCTCGATCTAACATGCAAAGCACCGGAGGGTGCAACATGGCTGACCGCATCTGGCCATGCACAGACACCACGCCCAGTGTCCTGAGCTCAGCTCCTTCCATGACAGGCGGGCCAGGCTCAGGAGGCCCTGCCCACCACGCCACACCAATTTCTTGTCTGGCACTGGGGACTTGGCCATGGTGGCAAGGGACAATCGCTTCCGTGGCAGAAGCCACTGCTGAAGGAGCAACTCCTGTGCACCAGGTGGCTTGCCGGAAGCCACATGCACAGATCAAGTGCATGCGATGATCCATGGGTCGCCCCTTGTACAGAGAAGACAAGAGAAGCCCAGAAAGAAAGGTCACTTGCCAAGACTGCCAGTGAGCCAGCCACAGGGCTGGGAAGAGTGTGGGGGCCTGCTCCACCCCAGCACCATGCACTCTGAACATCCCAGGCATGATCACACAGCCTGAGCTGGCAAGGGACTCTTGAGTCCTTCCTGGGGCCCCAAGAGTCACCTGCATGAGGTGGGACAGGGAGGTGGTCAGGCCAGGGGAAGGAGGCAGCAGCCTTCAGGGGTAGCATGGTCTCCACAAGGGCCAACCTCAGACCAGGACAGCCGTCATCCCCAGCATGTCTGTTCGGTGTTCCCGCCTCCAAGTGAGCTGCAGAGCCCAGAGGCTCCTCTCCCTCCTTCCTCCCCCCTCTATCCCTCCTTCACCAGCTGCAGGAACCCTCAAAGACATGGTCTACCCTTGCTGCTCACGGTGGCCCAATGGCGTGGTCCTCTGATGGCTGCACACTGTTCCCCAGCTATGGCCCCAGCTGCACCACTGACATTAGCAAACCGAGCCAATAAAAGTGATCTCTTTTCATTAGAAAACCCTTTATAGTCATTTCATGTCGGTCGGAAATCACAGAAATTACGCGGAAAAAACCCGAGGGGCAAATACAAACAGACAGCACAGCGTTTCCCCCAGAAGGTCCCTGCTCTCATGGGAGGTAGGGGAGGAGACGTGGCAGCCCGGCCTCCTGTGGGCTGAGCTCAGCTCTCCTCAACCGGGGACCCCGAGTCCTGCCGTGCCAGCTCACGCCCCTGCCGTTCGCTCCCAGGCCTGTCCAGGTCGGGGTCCTCCCGCAGGCTGCTGGTAGGGCACAGCAAAGCCAAGGTGAGAATGTGCTCACTGGCTCTAGCTCTGGGCCACTGGGTGGGGCAGACATGAGGAAAACTGGACCCTTGCTGCCAGCACCCGAGCCTTGCGTGTGGCCTTCCCACCTGTTACTGCAGACCACAGGCCTCAGGGCAGACCCCCTTACAGAGCGGCTGCCCCATAGATGAGCCACACCCAAGCCCTGGTTCTCAGCATGGCTGACTGGTGACTGGTGCTTGTGAGTGGGGCCTGTGAGCCACTTCAGGGGATTAGCAAGAAGGACCTGCTCAGGAAGCCAAGCCTCAGTGAGGGAGTGCGGCACGCTGGCTCCTGGGTCACTTGAGAGGGTGAGGCAGGGAGGATGCCCAGGATTCTTTCCAGAAGGAAGTCCCCAAGAAGCTAATTGCAGACAGCGGGGCCCGAGGGAGGCCAGCTGCACAGGGACACTCACTCGCTGTGCATGTCTTCAGAGGAAGCACACCTTGGGCCCTCCTCAGAGTCCTGTCCGTCCTCCTGTTCTTTATCCTCCACACTCTCCTTCTGGGACATGGCCTCGCCGTTCACAGGGGCCGAGAGATCTGGGAGAACAGAGAGGCAGGGTACACCACTGGGCTCTAGTAGGGCCCCTTCCCCTTCTTGTAAAAGCAGCCCATATTCGGATGGTGTGCTGAAGGACCCTGGCCCTTCTCAGAGGGGCTGAGCTCAGCCTGTGGCCCCGTGAGTCCCTAGGCCCCTTGACCTCCCCCAGCATGAAGCAGTGAGGGACCAGGAAATGAGTGGACGTGGGCCTGGGGCAGGCACGAAGAGAGATGCTGGCCCCGGGGTTTGTCCTGAAGGCCTTCAGCTGACCTGTCTGGTCTGAAGACTGCTCTGCTCTGAACACCTGTAGTCCAGACTGTCTGATCCCAGCAAACCCCATGGCCATCCTCCCTTTTCTGGACACGCCTTCTGTTTGCTCTCAGTCCACCTGAGGCCTAGCAAGTTCAATCAGAGGCCAGAGATCCCCAGAAACCAGTGTCACCTGCCTTTCTGAAGGAGTTTCCCACATGCCTTGGCTCTGGCGATGCACAGGCCCCACAGGCGTGGGTATTGTCAGCACACCTGCACATTCAGTGACTAGCACTCAGTGGAGCCAGGCGTACAAGGACCGATAGGGTCATGCCACTCCAGCCAGTCTGAGGGGAAAGCAGGACTGTGCCCATCATCCTAGAATGTTCTGTAAAGCACTCTGGTCAAGGGGACAGAGAGGCTCAGGGCCCCCAACCCCGCCCTACCAGTGCCAGGCTCATCCTCCGTCTTCTCCTTGGGGGCCTCCTCTGCAGCCAGCTTCTCCTCGGCCTTCTCCCCCTCGGCCTTCTCCTTCTCTGTTCCAGTTTTGTTTGCTTTCTGGAGGGCCTCAATCTTTGGCCCCAAGACCCGCGACTTGAGCCGAGTATAGACCTCTGCCGCCTTCTCCATCACATCCTTATTGGCTTTATATCGGCGAATCTGGCCCCGAAGCAGCCCACTCAGCAAAGACAGCTGGCCATCCTCTGCAAGACCTTCCCCCAATCCATTCAACCACCACCCACGTGGGGTCTCTCCCAGCTGCACCCCACTGCCATTGCTCCCGCTGTTCTCTCCCCTCCCCCCGTACCTTCTTCAATGTGGCCACCACATCCGTGTTCTTCTGCAGGATCTGGGAGGTTACCTGCAGGGTCCCTAGCTCCTCCAGTGCGTTCAGACACCTCTTCACATCCTGCCGGGAAGGGCTGTGTCTCAACAGTGTTGTCTGCTAACCACTGGGCCAGACTCACAGACACTTGGTGGGGAGGGCCCTGGGCTGGCTGAGGTTCCTTGCTGGGGAAGCTGGGCTGTGTACCCTAGTGGGGCCACCAAGGTCCTCAGCTATGGAACAAGAACCACCCCCGCCTGTGGAAACCTGCATTTGCCTTGGCTTCCTGAGACCTAAAGATCCAGGATGTGAGGTGACTGAGGGAGGCAGCACGCCAGCACCCCAAGGAACATCTTACCGGGTTGTCAACCTTCAGTGCAAACTTGATCTCACTGTGTAGTTTCTGGAGCTTTTCCTCCACGGAAGGTTCTGGGCCAGGAGAGATACCACCAGGCCTGAGAAGGGCCTGCAGGCCCAAGGCCACGGGGTGCTCAGCCCCCAATCTGCACACTCCAGGACTGCCTAAGAGCCACTGAGGACCTGCACAGCGCCAGGGGAGCCAGGGGAAGCCAACCTGGTCCAGCCCTCCTCCCCTCAGTGGCCTCCCAAGGCCGGACTGCTGGCCCCTCACCTTTCTTCTTCTCCACCTTCTTGTCCAATGGGAGCCCTTCAGACCGCTTCCGGGTTCGCTCCACCTTCACAGGCCTGTGGAGAGGTGCCCTCCTCAGACAGGCTCCCCAGCCTGTCTGTGCGGCTGCCTGAGCCCAGCCACACACACTCCCACCTGAAGCCCTGAAGGAAATGTTCCGGAGGCCAGAGAGGCGGGCAGGCAGGCTCCAGGGCAGGGCAGAGACCAAGGGAGCACAGGCCTCAATCTTTTGACTCCACAAAGGCGCAACCCACAATTTGTTTCTGACGTATCCTTGGACATGCCCCAGGGCCATCTAGGGGCAGAATTGTGCCCTAGGGAGACCCCTAGATCTACAGAAAGGGCCACGGTCCTGAGGCACCGACCCCACACAACCTGACGGGACCAAGGAATTAGAAGCCTGAGTGACTGGAGCTCCAAGTCAGAAGTCAGACCTCAGTGCAGGGGAGGGACACAGGGAGGCAGAGGCTGGGGACCAGGACAGGCAACGAAGCAGTGCTGACCTGGCTCGAGGCTTCTCCTTCTGACCAGGCTTCCTCGTGGGTTCTGAGCCTGGTGGCTGTGACTTCTTAGCTGACTTTCTCCCCTACAGCAGTGGGAGCAGATAGGGTCTGAGTCCAGGCTCCACACAAAGGAGGGGCAGCAAAACCACATTCCTGCGTGGCAGCTCTGGACAGGGCATGGACACTTCCCATGCCAGGGGCTGGGTCCCCCTTTCTTGGCAAAGGGAATAATGGGGACAGAAGACGTTCCTTCTGATTTCCCCAGAAAGCAGGCCTGGCTGAGGGTTGCAATGCAAGGGCTCAGTCCTGGATTCAGTCTAGTAGCTCGGACTCTGGACTCAGGCCAGACGGTCAGTGTGACAAGGGTAGGGAACCTGATGGGCCGGCACACATAGCACAGTGAGCCTGATAGTCACCATCCCCCAGAGGCCTCCTAACTGCTCCCAGGTGACTCTGTAAGTGCTGTTCCACAGGACCACAGGGCGCCTGTGTGCACTGAGTCAAGTCCCATCCTTCCCCTGCTCACAGCCCTCCATGGCTCAAACCTCCCTCAGGGTCAAAGCCTACAGGGCCCTGTGCTTCCTGCTCCGTCCCCTCTTGCCTCCCCTCATTCCTTCTGCATCCACACGGGCCTCCTCAGTGCTCCTCCAAAACGCCAGGCTCTGTCCTGCCTCAGGGCCTTTGCACTGGCTGTTCTGCCCACATTCCTTCCTTGAGATCTCCTCAACCCCCTCACTTCATTCAGCTCTTTACTAAAACACCACATGCTCAACTGAAGCCTCTGAGATCGGTCCTCTTTAAAGTGAAAATGGGTTGGGCATGGTTGCGCACCCTGTAATCCCAGCTACTTAGGAGATGGAGATGGGAAGAATTGGGTTCAAGGCCAACCTGGGCAAAAAGTTCACAAGACCCAATCTCAACCAACAAGCCCACTGTGGTGGTGTGTGCCTATCATCTCAGCTAGCTAGGGAGTAGAAGTACCAGGCAGCCTGAGGTAAAAAGTGCTAGACTCTATCTACAAAAATAACTAAAGCAAAAGGAGCTCAAGTGGCAGAGCACCTGCCTAGCAAGCACAAGGCCCTGAGTTCAAATCCCAGTGTCGCCAAACTCCAGTACCACCAAAAGGAGTGGGGGCTGTGGCTTAGTGGTGAGCACTTGTTAGCATGCATGGCACCCTTGGTTCCATCCCTGCCTGGCTCCACAAAATAAGTGAGCAAAGCAAAAGCCTCCCCACCAGGCCCAGCCTGAACATGGAACAGCCTGAGTCCTGTTATCACCAGGGCAGGGCTGGGCTCTCACTGCCTCACTGCTGTGTCCCTGGCACCCAGCAGGTGCCCAGAAAAGCTAAGGAGCGCAGGGTCCTGACCTAAGCTACCCCAGACAGTATGTGGTGGGCACACACCTCTCTCTCCAGCTCAGCCTCAGGCTCGGAGTCAGAGGAGGACGGAGGCCCCCGGCCCCGGCCCTTGCGGCCCCGCTTCTTGACAGGCTCATCGTCATCCCTTAGCTCGTCCCCGCTGCTGCCACCACCACTGCCCCCGCGCTCAGCCTCCCCGCGCTCGACTCGCTCGCGCCTTCGCTCCTTCTCTTCCTTCTCCTGCTCACGCAGCCGCCGCAGCTCCTCCTCCTGTTCTCGCCGCCGCCGGGCCTCCAGCTCGCGCCTCCGCTCCTCATCCCGCCGTTTCCACTCGCTGATTCGGTCCACTTCATCACTGTCACTGAGACATAGGGGAGATGTCAGCCAAGGAACTCCCAGTTCCTATGTCTTCTCCATGCCCGAGGATGCCCAGCAACCCAAATGCCAGTGGCTGTGACCAGACACAGCCAGACTTAGCGAGAAGTCACTCAGGGCCCAACACTGGTCAGAAGTCACCCAAACCCCAATACTGGTCCAAAGTCTCCCTGGACCCCCAACATTGGCCAGAGCTTATCCTGGGGTCCCCCAAGCTGATAAGTCACCTTGGGGTCCCCAACGCTGGTCAGAAGTCTCTCTGGACCCAATATTGGCCAGAAGTCACCTAAGATTCCTCCAATACTGGCCAGAGTCACCCTAGGGCCCAGCACTGGTCTGGAGTCTCCCTGGGCCCCAACATTGGCCAGAAGTCTCTCAAGTCCCCAGCACTGGCCAGATATTACCCTGGGACTCTAAAACTGAATGCAAGTCACCGTGGGATCTCCAACACTGGCAAGAAGTGGCCCTGGGGTCTCAACATGTCCCAGAAATCACCTTGGGCTCCAAAATTGGCCAGAACTTGCCTCCGGGCCACATCACTCACCTGTCACTGCTGGAGGTGGATGGTGGGCGCTCAGGCTTTGGTTTCCGCCCTCGGGGTTTTGGGGGAGGCTTCTCAGCTACAGAAAGAGGACAGCATCTCTACCACCTCTACCTGGGATGTAGGAGGGTGGGGCAGGAAGGGCTCCAAGGTGACCGCAGCCACATGGAGCTTCAGCACAGGACACTCTGAGAAGAGCTGCACAGGAGAGTAGGTGTGGCACCAGGGCAGGCCTTACCTGGCTTTCTGCCACGTGGAGGTTTTTTGACGGACACATCCGAGTCAGAGGAGGAGGAAGAGGAGGAAGAGGATGCTGATCTGGCCACAGCCACCGGCTCCTCCTTGGCCCTGTCTGAGTCTGCTTTGGAGTCCGAGTCAGAGGCTGTGGGAACCTTCTAGGAGATGCAGGACCAAAGGGCATCAACAGCCAAGCAGAAGGAGGGGATTCTCAGGGGACAGGGAAGCTGAGGCTACCCCTATGTCCCTCCACCCCCAGCAGCTTGTGGGAAGGCAGGGACCTCTCCAGGGCCTCAATGCCTCAAGTGAGAGAGGGGGCAGAGCCAAGTCCCAAGCTTTCTGGGGCAGGATCTTGGTATGAATTCTTCCACCAAGACCCAACCAGAGAAGCAATCTCCTGCCTCAAAGGACACATCAGCACACACTTGTACACACACACCCCCATACCTAGACACACTCCTGTACATATACAACACACACAGAGCCAAATCACAGTGACACATACACACGGATACACAGACCTGAACACAACATACTATGCAGTCTCTTAAATGCACATGCATGCACACACGGCATACCTATGCACACACACGTGCCACCTTAAGGCTGTCATTCCAGCCCCCACAATGTAACTTCCAAACCTGATGGCAGGGCTCCCTGCAGCAGGAACCACAGGATACTGGACAACCTGGGTACCCTCTGCTGCTCCCCAGAGGCCCAAGACCTGTGCCTGTCCCCTGCCAAAATGGGACCAACCGGATACCGTGGACAGTGACCAGAAGCTGTAACTGAGCTTGGTGAAAAGAAAGCAGAGTGCCCTACCTTTTTCTTCCGCCCTCCTGGGGGCCCCCGCCGTGGCGCCCGGCCCACAGGCTTCTTCTCAGGGGTGAAGTCCTGGGTGGAGAGAAGGGAGTTCCACCTGTGCAGCTGTGGCCCTGCCCCCATCCCCCTAGAAGGTCCTGCTTGCCTGCTCGCCTGCTTACCTGGTCACTGGTCTTCTCTGATTCAGAAGAGCTCTCAGAGTTCTCCTCCTCAGACGGCGACATGCTGGCTTGATCCAGGTCGCTAGAGGCTTTTCGAGCTCGTTTGGAGACAGACATCTGGAAATGAGGGGACTGCTAGTAGAGCAATGGAAAGCCTGTGCTCAGGGCAAGAACTCCTCCTGCCTGGTCACAAATAGCCCAGGGGTAAGTGGAGGCACTGGAAACTTCTGGGGGGCCAGAGAGCCATTTCAGAATCATAAAAAACAGATTTTTTTTTTTTTTTTTGATACAGCATCCTACTATGTAGCCTAGGCTGGACTGTGCCTCATGATCCTCCTCCCTCAGCCTCCTGAGTGATGGGGTTACAGGTGTGTACCACCCCACCTGGCAATACCAGGGATCTTGAGAACATAGTGCTCAGTGAAATGAGCAGACACAGGACATACACTGCAGGATGCCACTCACAGGATGTCCCTAGAGTTGTCAGAGTTAGAGACAGGAGTGGCAGGTGTCAAGTGCTGGGGAGGGGAGTTATTATTTAATGGGGATGGAGAGAAGATGGAAAGTTCTGGAGGTGGACAGCTGCACAGCCATGTCAGTGTGCAGCTGGTAGAGCGCCTACCTAGCAAGCACAAGGCCCTGAGTTCAAACCCCAGTACTGCCAGAAAAAAAAAAAAAAGGTGTCAGTTAGAATTCATTTGCACCAGATATAGCTTCTCACATTGAAAACTTCATTTTAAAATAGAGCATAGCTGGGCATAGGGGCATATGCCTGAGATCCCAGCAACTAAAGAAGCTAAGTGGGGAAGAACTGAGAGTAGGTCAACCTGAACAAATTGGCAAGACCCCACCTCAAAAAAATGAAAGCAGGGCACAGCGGTGCACACCTGTGATCCTAGCACGTGGGAGACTGAGGCAGGAGGATCTTGGGTTCTAGGCCAGGCTAGCCTGCACAGCAAGATCCTATCTCAAAAAACAGAAAAGCCAAAATCACGTTGATAAAGGTAGGAAGTTGGTAAAGGTAAAGGGGGCCTCCTGGGAGAGATTTCAGGGTCCCTGGTGTCTGCGCCCTGCACAGCCCAAGCCACCTGGCCTCACCCCTACCTTCAGCACCGATGTCTTTCGCTTCAGGCCACTGTGGTCACTGCTCTTATCAGAGTCTGAGTCACTCTCCATTCTGTCGCTGGCAGCTGAGGCAGTCACAGCTGTGACGGCCATGACCCCCCGGTCCTCCTCGTCCACGTCGCTCCCTGCAGCTGGGTCAACTTCAGGGGCCTCGCTGTCAGAGGAGCTCACCGGCTGGAGCAGGGGCCAGAGATGGAGCATCACTGCAAGTCCTGGGTCTATTTCCCAACCAGGAAAGCAAGAAGATGACCCCCACCGCAGGTCCCAAGTGTCAGGGACCAGAGCTCAGCTCTACGGATGAAGAAACTGAGGCTGAGGGTGAGATGGAGACGTGTGGGCACAGGGTTAAACCTTGCGTAAGGGGGTTTGGCCCTTTGTGCCTCAGTTTCCACATCAACCATGGGCAACAGCATAGTTTGGGCCTCACAGGGCTGTGGTGAGGATGCAAAAAAGGTGTGTGTGAAGCACCCTGGACAGTGCCCAGGCTATGGCAAGAGATCAGTAAAATGACGAAAAAAAGTCATTCTATCATTATAAGGAAGTCAGCTTAGTACAGACCTCTGGCCTTCAACCTCTGGGCACCGTGAAACTTCTGTTGCACTCAAAATGCCCTCTCAGGCAGGGGCAGCCACAGAACAGAAAGCGCTGGTTGGGCGCCTTCCATGCTGGGCACGACACCAGGCTCATTCACACACTTGGCCCATGTCTGCAGAATAGCGAGAGGTGTGGGCCGGCTGTGTTCCAGAGGGCAGAACTGGCACCAATAAAGGTCCCTTAGTGACCAGAAAGGGCTGGTGTGGCTGGGCAAAGAGATGAGGGTGGTGAAACCAAGGGTGAGTGTGAGCCCAGGGCCAGATCATGCAGGGAGTTACTGAGGCTCTAAAACCCATGAGACAGATGGCACTATGAAAGGCCACAGGCTCTTGGGTCCCTTTTTGAACTCACTCTGGATGTCTTATGTTTCTGAGAGGAAGATGTGTGAGCCCCAGTTGTACTCAGCCATCACTCATTCATTCAACGAACAGCACAGAATACCTACTATGTGCCCGGCCCTGGCGGGATGCTGGGGCTAGAGATGAGTAACACACGGTCCCTGACCTCGGGGAGCTCACAGTCTAATGGGAGACAGACAAGTAAACGCACGGTTACAACGCAGCGTGGGAAGGGCAGGCCAAGCCCAGCCCTTGGGAGGCCAAGACAGGAGAACTATGAGCTCCAGGCCAGCCTGGGCCACAAAGTGAGACTGTCTCAAAAACCAAAGGCTTTGCTTTTGGCAGAACACTTGCCTAGCAAGCACAAGGCCTTGTGCATCCCCAACAATGACTCAAAAACAACATAAAACAAGATGTCTAGAAGGGTTGGGTGCTGGTGGCTCACGCCTGCTACTCCCAGCTACTCAGCAGGCAGAGATCAAGAGGCTTATGGTTCAAAGCCAGCCAGGGCAGATGGTTTGTGAGACCTTATCTCCAAACATCAAACACAAAAAAACAGGGCTGACAGAGTGGCTCAAGTGGTAGAGCACCTCCCCAGCAAGTGTGAGGCCCTGAGTTCAAAACCCAGTACCATCAAATAAAAAAAAAAAAAAAAAAAAAGGAACGTCAAGGGTAGATGTGATGGTGCACACAGCAGGATCGTAAGTTCCAGGCCAGCCTGGGCTATGTAGCAAAACCCTGTCCCAAACAAAAATGTTAACAAGAGGAATGAAAGCACTCACATGCTACAAGGTGGGTGGAAGGTGAAGACATGAAGCCCAGTAAGAGAAGCCAGATATAAAAGGAATAGTGCATGACACCGTTTACGTGAATTTCTTCTCTATAACAGTTAACAAAAAGTAGACGCAAGGCCGCGGGAGCTGGAGGAAGAACTAGTGACTGCTGGTGGGTTGTGGCGATGGGAATGTTCTAGAATTAGAGTGGTGATGGCTGCACAGCACTGAAAAAGCACTGGAAGCCACTATAGAGTATGTTTTAAAATGGTGACTTTTGCCATGCAAATTTTTCAAAAGAGGACATAATTCTTCAAAAGGTATGTTCTCTTGGTTTGACTATAGCGGGGTTACTATGGATTGGACTAGAGCACACTTGCTGACCAGGAAAAAGTGAAGAAGAGGGTAAACGGGGCATGACAATGCGTGACAGGAGTGTCAGGGCACACGCTGATGGCGAGACTGGGAACAAGAAGCAGAGAGGAGCCACATCTGCTGGAGGCCTTGCAGCTGCATGGTGGGGAGGGACTGTGGCAGGAAGTGGACAGAGGCTGAAAGCGAGGCCTCCCCAGCGACAGAGTGGAAACGCGTGGAACAGCATGGAAAGTGGAGGAGGAACTTGGGCGCAGAGCCCAGAGAAGAGGGCATGACAGGAGGGAGCCTGCTTCTGTGGCTCCCTGTCCCTCAGGCTCCCTCTCTTGTAAAGCCCTGTTCTTCCCCTGCTGAAGGAAGAGGCTGGGAGCCCATGTTGGCCTCCACACAGGCAGGGCTAAAGATCCCTGCTTAACAGACAAGAAAATGAGAAGCCGGTGTTGACAAGCCCTGGCTGCTCAACACTGAACACCTTAGCCGTCCTGTGCTGTTGTGACCAAGGGTCACAGGACCTAGCCTGTATCACTTTTGACGAGATTAAAAAGGATGGTGCTTAGGTAGGTCAAGCCCCAAACTGAGCACCCCAGAAGACGATAGCAATGCTTCCGGGAGATTTTTCTCGCACCTTCTCTCCCTGGCGCTCAGAAGGCTCGTGGCTGGAATTTCTCCCCGGAGTCAGCAGACGGGACAGCTTATGCCACATTTTCACAAGGGAAGCAGCAGGTCAGACAGCAAGTGACTACATGGCTGGATCAAGGGTCTCTTGTGTTGAGAAGCAGGTCAGCATCCTGATCCTAAGAGCTAGCGTTAGCCAAGTGACATGGAGCTCATCACTGCTCTATGTCACAGGTGGGAAATGGTCTCACTTGTAGAAAAATATACCATCAGAGATAGGTTAAGTAACAGCTCAAGAACACAGAGCCAGGTCAGGTGTGGTAGCCATGCCTGTCACCACAGTGCTCTGGAGATTGAGGCTGGAAGGCTGTGAGTTCATGAGTTCAGGCCAGCCTGGACTACACAGGGAGACCCTGTTTCCAAAAAAAAAAAAAAAAAAAAAAAAAAAGTGGGGGTGGGAGGGGGGCTGGCAGAGTGGCTCCAGTGGTGGGCCATCTGTCTAGCAAGGGTGAAGTCCTCTGTTCAAACCCCAGTATCACCCCCCAAAAAAGGAAGAAAAAGAGCACAGAGTGAGTAATTAACAGTTGTTTGGGACATGAGCCTTGAAGCCTGGGCCACTGAACACAGGTATTCCTCAATGAAAAGAGAAATCCATCGTCACTTCTGTGAGCTCCTGATCAATCGTGATTTCATCTGTGCCTCCACAGCCCTGTCCGGTGATGGTGAACAATGTTCATGTTCCCAGGGAAACTGGGTCTCCAGGTGACTTGCCCTCGACTATGCCTCTGGACACAGCCAGGTCCTTGTGATCTCCTGGACTGGAGCTACCTTTCAGCAAAGGTTTTGGGAAATCTGTACCACACAGAGACCTGGAGGATGGACGCTGGTGGCACAGAGAGGGACCCAACCACAAAAGACCAAGACTAGCCAGGGCCAAGTGTCCCAAGACTCAATGGGGGAGTGAGAGATGAACTTCCTTTCTTTCTGAATGGATCTGGTGGTGACTGCAGTGGAACAGGTCAAATGCAGCCTTGTGTCCTGGGTCCAACTACACTTCCATCTTCCACCGAGCACTTAATTGCATGCTTCCTCCCTGTGAGAGGTTGGTACGACCGTGATGCAAGAGGCACAGTGAGCAGCTACATGGAACCAGGACTTGAACCCAGGTCCACTTGCCCCACAAGACTCTTGGTCTCAGTGCCCCTGAGAGATGTCACTGCCTAGACCCTCCTCCACCAGTCTGGGCCTGACTGGTCCTAGTCAGAAGGCATGAAGGCTGCCTGGGAGGCAGAGGCTTGGGCTTTGCTTCCTGCTCAGCTCTACTGCTGACAAGCTTAAGAAGCTTGAACAGAAGTCAGGAATGGTGATCCCCACCTGTAATCCCAGCACCTGGGAGGCTCAGGAAAGAGAATCTCAAGTTTGATGCCAACTGGGCTATACCTTGAGATCTGGTCTCAGAAAAAAAAAAAAAAAAAGAGCGAGCTTGGAAGAACACTTTGCCTCTTTACTTGCTAAGAGACAAAGATAGACTAAGTGGATCTTTCTAGGTCAATAGTTCTCGGCCATGAGTGACGTGCCCCCAGGTGTGTCTGCACCATCTAGACAGTGGTAGTTGGCAAGGCCGTGGTGGGGGCAGGGAGTAGGTGAGGCCAGGGCTGTGGCTGAGCATGTAGAGGACGGCTGGCCACAAATGTCACAGTTAACCTGCTACAACGCACTAACGGGGAAACCTGGTCTCAGACTAAGGAGTCTCACATTCCAGCCTGGCCCCTCTGGGTATTCCGGCAAACTCTGGCCTCAGTGTGCTCATGTGTGCAATGCAGGAAGACTGCGGGCCGGGACAGGGCCACTGGCAGAACTCCAAGACGCCAGCTTTACTGCTGCCTGATGAAGAGATGAGAACCAGACCTCCTCCCCAATCTAGTTAAGGCCAACAGGAAGGTTGAGGCCTTTCTGTGTGTCAGTATGCCCTATCAAGATAAACTATGGAGGGTTGGCTCATGTGGTTAGAGAACTTGCCTGGCAAGCCCAAGGTCCTGAGTTCAAATCTCAGTACTACCAAGAAGAAAAGATAAACTGCTGAATGAAGCCAGGCATGGTGGCAAACATCTCTAATTCCAGCAGTCAGGAGGTTGAGGCCTCCGGACTAATTCCAGAATAGTCAGGGCTACGAAGCAAGACTGTGGCTCAAAAGAACAAAAATAACCAGGTGCAGTGGCTCAAGCTTGTAATCCTAGCTCCCTGGGAGACGGAGATTAGTAGGATCTCAATTCAAGGTGAAAAGTAAGTAAGACCCCATTTCAAACAAGCCAGGAATGGTGGCACATGTCTGTCATTCCAGCTATGTGGGAGGCATAAGTAGGAGGATCACCAAATGAGGCTGGCCCTGGGAAAAAGTAGGAGACCATACGTGAAAAATAAATAAAGCAAAAAAATAAAAAGGGCTGGGGGGGGGTGTGGCTCAAGTGGTAGAGCGCCTGCCTACCAAGAGTAAGGCCCTCTTCAAACCTCAGTACTGCAAAATAAATAATAATAAAGAAAAAAATATATAGTTGAACGAATAAAACAAAGTTCCAAATTATATGCTTAAGAAAAGAAAGCTGTGTGTGGTTTTGCATGAATAGGGGCTCAGGGAAGGGTATGTAAGGAACTGGCGGTTATGGCCATCTTGAGAACAAAACAAGTGAGCAGGAGGTGAGAACAAGAGGCCAGACGGCCTTTTCACTGAAAGCACACTTCTGCCTTTGAATTTTGTAAGTCTCCACTGCTACTTGAAACAAAAGTAAACCCAAACCCTTAAGGAAGAAAACAGGGCCAGTTCAGTTTCCCATGAAGCCATACTTCCAAAAGCCTGCCTAACCTGGCAACAGTGCTTACAACTGTAATCCTCACTATTTGGGAGGCCGAGATCCAGAGGATCATGGTTCCAGGTCAGCCCAAGCAAAAGAAGTTTGTGAGACCCATCTCAACAGAAAAAAGCTGAGTGTGATGGTGCATGTTTGTTGTTCCAGTTACAATGGGAAGCATAAAATAGGAAGATCATGGTCCAGGCTGACCTGGGCAAAAAGTGAAACCTTATCTCCAAGTAACCAGAGGAAAAAGGGCTGGTGGAGTGGTTCAAGAGGCAGAGCACCTGCCTTGCAAGCGTGAAGCCCTGAGTTCAACCTCACTACTAGCAAAAATAAATAACAAAGTCTTTCTATATGTGGGCTACCTTGGGACAGAACCTGTGGAGTCCTAGGCTTCAGTCCTACACCACTAAATCTCCACTGGAGGGGTTGGCCAGGAACTAGCATTTGACACACACATTCCATTTGGAAGCACATCCAGGTTAGAGTAGCAAAGAGGCAAGGAGCGCTAATGGTACTTGTGGCTAATTTGCAACTTTGGGCTATCTGTGAGGTGCTCCTTTAATTTCATGAGTGTGCTATTTTTGAATTTCCTTTCCTCGAGGGCAGGCATCTACATAGAACTGAGCAAGCTGTGGGAGTCCAATAAATATTAAATGGGGTGATGATTCACCAGGAGCAAATAAGCTCAAGACGTCACCAAAGGGAACTTGAGCTGGGGCCAGAAGAGGATCTCGTGAAACCTAACTGCCTTAGAGACCCAAGACATTCCGCAAAGCCTGGGCAAAGAGTCTGGGTGTCAAAGAGCAGGACCCTCCATCTGTTAGATACATCATGTGGGCAAATAGAAGGTGTCACCAACACGCAGTGCAAGTGGAAGGGGCTGCCAGGCCATTGGTGCTCAAGAGACATCTGTTGAGTGGACCCCAAATTCTAGACTGTGAGTTCCCATAAGGCAAGGAGTGTGGTGGGGTACATAGCACAGCACATGGCACATAGCAGGTGTAACACAGAAATGTCTGTGGATCCTGGGTGGATGCTTACAGCACCAGCCACCCCAAGGAAGGAGAGATGGCATCCATGCCATCTCTGGACCCCAAGTGCACCAGTAGGACCAGGCTGTGCAAAATGACTCCACTCTCCTCTCACAAAATTCACAGCTGGATCCGACCCTCACAGACTGCTGCTTTTCTTGTCAGACCATCTGATGTCCTTTTCTTCACTAACATCCAAGCTTTCACTTCTTCTCATCCCTTCCCTTGTCCTACCCCCAACTTCACACCCACCTCTCCTAAGCCCAGGCTGCCCTGCCCTAACCCTCCCACAAAAACCTCAAAAGCAGAGGTAAAAGCAAAGTGAAGAACCCCGGCCAATCTCATCCCAAAGCCCCCAGCAGGATGCCCCTCCAATGCTCCACGGCCTCCAATCAGTTTGATTGTTACTTGTCTAAACTCCTTCACTGACATCCTCTCTACAATTCTTGCCATTGTTTTTCTATCCACAAACTACTACTGACTTTCCCGGATCCAAAATCAAGCCGTAAAAGGGGGAGAGGAGAGTGTTATGAAAGAAAAACAAATGTTCCCTTAGAAAATAAAAGATTTTATAAGCACTATAAAAACACTCATTTTAAATTCAGGCTGAGCACAAAACAGTGGTTCTCACCAGGGATGATTCTGCACCCTTCTGTCCCTACCCAGGGGCTTCTGGACCCATGACTGCCCAGCACCCTGCCGTGCCCCCACAAACAACAAGAATGATCCACAATGCATAAGTAAGAAAACCTGGTCTAGAAGCTTCTTCTCTTCTCCTAAGACAAGGAAAAGGCCACTGTGAGGACATTGTGAGGACATATCCTGCTCACTTGGGCAGTATAACCCCACTGGACACTGCCCCCCCACCATGAGGACATGTCCACCCAGTTTGGTCTCTGCTGGATGTTCTCCCCCAAGGTACTCACCGGAGGGGCACTGTAGCTGGCGTGAGGATTGTTCTGGATCTCCCACAGCCCTTCATTGAAGCCCTTCCTCTTGTTGGGTTTCCCGTACTTATCCTTACATTTGTCATAGGGGAACAAGTCCTTGGGTCCCAGGAAGGCTCTGGAGAAAGGAACCATGGGGCAGATTCTGGTGAACCAGGCTACCCTGGGAGATACCAAGGGAGGAAACCAAGGCCCAATTGGGGACACTTACGTTTCGTGTGTGCCAAAGAAGAAGATGGGGTATTTGTTGGGTGGAGGCTTCACGGCACCATCGGCAATGTCATCGATCTGTAGAAAGAAGCCAGTTGGGGTTGACTTAGGGTGAAGGCCAGAAGGCCCAACTTCATGCCCTGATCCAAGAAATCACCAAGAAAACAGCCAAGTTACTTGGGGAAAAGCATGCTGGAAAGAGGGGAGTCTTCAACCTATGGAGAGCCATCACTTTCCAAATAGGAATCTGCAATATCCTGTGCACCCCACTGCAAAGCTGTCCCCCACCCAGGATGATCTCACCCCCCACCAAGGAAGAAAGCTGGCCCAAAGACATGGGCTTCACCTGAGCAAAGCCAAATATGGCCCCTGAAGCAACTTGGGGGTGGGGTGAAATTCAGCTTCTGTGAACTTCCAGGACATTCCCACCGCCCTTCTGCAAAAAGACCAGCCAGCCGTCTCCCAGAAAATGCAGCTGGAAGCTCCAAGGGTGCAGAGGGTGGGGGGTGGGCTGCAGGAGACAAGCCCTGAGCATCCAGGAAGTCCCACCCTCTCCCTGCAGGCCCATGGGCTCCGGCAGCTGTCAGTCACCTCCCCACAGGAGACTAGCAGCCCCTTCACTTCCAATCAGGTGCTTGGAAATGTTCGGGCTCTCAGAGCTGGAGAAGGAGGGGCAAGGGAGGGAAAGCTGGTGCTCTGGAAAGAAGAGAACTGGGGAAATGAGGGAAGTGCCTGTAAAGTTTCATTGCTTTGGTATCCCCCCCCCACACCAACTAAACGAGTGTGAGCAAATCAGCTTAGAGTGGGTTCTCTGGGCTCAAACAATGCCCCCCCCCCACTTCTCCAATGCCTGCAGAGGCTGCTGGAAGCTTCCCTGTCCCACTCTCCCAGCATCCTTATCCCTTAGCTCTCCTCTGAGTTACTTTTTCACTCTTTGGCCCTGGGCTCACCATAGCATCCCAGACAGCACCCTCTCCCTGCAGAAGTCTTAAACTCAGCCAACTTGAGGACCAGCCCTTTTGGGGGGTTGCTCCTCTTGCACACCCAGGTCCTCCCCTGAACTCCTGACCCTGGGAGGTCAACATCCTGACTCCAACTACCCTTGCTCACCTTGGAGCCACTTCCCCTCCCATTTCCACAGCTGGCCGCTCTCCCACCCCAAATTCCTTCAGTACTACCATACAGACCACCAGCTGAGCCCTGGGGGGACCTGGGAATGACAAAAGCCAGGTACCAATGCCTGGAGCCCCACCCTCCTGCATAATCGAGGCTCCCAGGCTCAAGGCACCTTGCAGGTCCAGATACCTCAGAGCATCTGGACCCTTGAATCCCAGCTTCCTCCAAAGGGGAATCTTAAGTCCCCTTTGGGGCAGCCCTTCCCTCAGGGCTCAGTTCCAACGTGAAGCTGCACACACACACACTGTCACCTATCTTCCACTCCCACCAAGCAACAACTCTACAGGGGTGGGGATCAAGTCCCCAAGATCCCCCCCCCCCCCCCCCGCAAAGACTTATTCCGAGCTCTACTCTCTCATTCTCAGCCCTGATGACCTTGCGAATGGAGTCCCCACCCCACCTTCCTCAGCACCTTGGCCTTGATCCTCACCCCCTCCCCACTATTCCAAACCTTTTTTCCTAGCCTGGTCACACATAGTTTTGGCCCCCAAGGCAACTCACAACTTGGTTTGTCCAAGTCCCAGGAGTCGGGCAGTCAGACACAAACCCCACCCATCAGATTGGCCCCTTTGCTCAGACTCCAAGTTCCCCAGCCCCTTAGACCCTATGACCTTTCTGAAACTTGACCCTGAGGCCTCAAACCTGAACTTCAGGCCCAAGAACCCCGAGACCCCAACCCCTGCTCTTGGTGCGCGGGTCTCCCAATGCAAGGATCCCCAGATTTCCAGGCCACGACTTCCTCGGATCTCGGACCCTCGGACACTCCAGACTCCCCGTATCAGGTGCCTCAGACCTGGGGCCCCACAGAAAGCCCCCAGCACGCGCCCCCTCCAGGCCTGAGGCCCCCAGGAGCCACCCAGACACCCGGCGCGCAGCACTATCAAGCTCCGACCGGAGAGCCCCGGCGCGTGGCCCCCTGGAGCCTCGGACTCCAAGAACCCCCGCGCGCGGCTCCTAAGGCCCCGGGACCCCGCTGCCCCACCCCCCCGCTGGGCCCATCACCGCGCTGCCTCACCCGGGCCGGCCAATGCGGGTAGCCCTTCATCTTGGCGAACACCAAGTCCCCAGGCTTGAAGGCGTGTGGCATGCTGGCGGCGGGAGACCCAGGCCGCGGGAAACGGCGGCGGCAGCAGTAGCGGCAGCGGCAGCAGCAGCAGGAGGCGAAGCCGGGGGCGGGAAACGGACGCCGAAGGGGCGGGGGCGTCCGCACAGGCAGCCGGCCGGCGCTTACTTATTGGGCTCGGAGCCACCGGAAGTCCCGCCCTTCTACCGTCAAGGGCCGCTGACACCGTCGCTCAAGACCACGTGCCGGGACAGAGACGGGCTGAGGCCAATGAGAAGAAGGGTTGGAAAAGAACAAGTTAACGGGATTGGATAACGGGCAGAACCAAGGGGCGTGACCCAGGAATAGGAGGGGGCGGTATTAGAGGAGGTGAAAGGGGAAAGGTGTAAGGAGGGAAACGGGGAATCCAAGGGAGTGATGGGGCGGAGCTTAAAGGATGGGGGCGGGACATAGACGGCCACAGCTTGAAGTATTGGCAAACCATTGGATACCACAAGAAAAAAGTCCCAATCATAGCAGGAGGCAGTATATTGACAGCCTACCTCATCTGCAAAGGAGGGGCTTAATACAGGGAAGCAGGTCATTGGGTACCACTGGAGATGGGCTTAATTGAGGTGGGGTCTGTCATTGGCTAAATAATTGGAGAGGTTCAACTCAAAACAGGGAGGAGCCAATGCCAAATTGAGGGGGAGGAGCCAAGGGAAAGGGGAGGGGCACAGAAAGCTCTCAGAATAAACAGCTACTTCTAAATAAAAATGCTTTTTTTGTTGTTGAGATTGAAGTTTGAACTCGGGGCTTTGCACTTGGCAAAGCAGGCGCTCTACTATTTGAGCCCCACCCTCAGTTCATTTTGTTTTGTTACTTTGGAGATGGCGTCTCCAGAACTATTTGCAGGAGCTAGCCTTGAACCACGATCCTCCTGATCTTAGCCTCCAAGTAGTTAGGATTACAGGCGTGAGCCACCGGCGCCCGGGTAATAACTTCTTATTATGAGCTGGGCGCCGGTGGCTCACGCCTGTTATCCTGGCCCAAGCCGAGATCAGGAGGATCGTGGTTCAAAGCCAGCCCGGGGAAATAGTTGGTGAGCCCCTGTCTCGAAAGACTCCATCACAGAAAAGGTGGAGGCTCTGGGTTTAAGCCCCAGTACTGCAAAAAAAAATTTAAAAATAAAAAAGTTTTTGAGTACCTACTATGTGCCAAGATCACAAAATAACCACGTGTATACATAATATACATATAATATACGTTATCAATATAGACATTAAATCAGTTTTTAAGTGTATCCAAGCCAGTCAATTAGTGCCTCACTCTCCACCAGTAAAATGGGACCCACAACAGTACTGATCCTATGGGGAAATCGAGTGATTTCCACACCCCAAAGGCTAGAAACTGTACATGGCAAGAGGAAATGCTAGCAGCTTTTGATGCTATAAACCTGGCTTCCAGGACCTCAAGCCTAGCTGCCCAAAGAAATGTTAAATTTCTCCTCCCCACCCCCTACTTAGAATTCACTGTAAGAACTACAAGGAAAAGAGCTAGAGTGCTTAAGAAAAAGCTGACTACACTGTGGGAGGCTGAGGGCTTTCTGTCTGACTAATTAGGAGGCCATTAGAAGTTGGTCAATCTAGGTTGGGGGAATGGCTCAAGTGATATAACGCCTGCCCTGAGTTCAAACCCCAGGACGGCCAAAAAGAAAAAGGAAAAAACCCAGATGATTGAGGGAGTGAGTGGGAGGAAAGAGGTAATGCCAGAAAGGTCCTTTGAGGACGTATCCTAACAATGAGTAAGAAGTTTAGGTTCTATTTTGACTTCTTGGGACAGGATGCAGCTCAGTGGTAGCGCACTCTCCTAACATGCATGAGGCCCTGGATTCCATTCCCACAAAAAAGAATAACAACAACAACAAAAAAACTACTTCTTAGGAAACCATCGGAGAAATAATTTGATCGCACATTACAGACATAGCACATTAGCTTCAAAAAACATTTCCGCAAATCTGAAGTACACGAGACTTTTTTTTTTTTGTGACTACCAGGGCTTGAACTCAGGGCCTACACCTTGAGCCACTCCACCAGCCCTCTTTGTGTGTGTGTGAAGGTTTTTTTCGAGAGAGGGTCTCACAAACTATTTTCCCAGGCTGGCTTCAAACCAAAGTCCTCCTGATCTCCACCTCCTTGGTAGCTGGGATTACAGCTGTGGGCTACCAGTGCCCAGCAATTTTTTCTTCTTTGAGTAGTTAAAACACATCAATTGGGGCATGTCTCAGTATGCATGCCTAGCACACGTGAGCTGCAGGTTCTAACCCCAGTATTAGAAAAAGAAAAAAAAAAAAATGTTCAGGACAGATTTACCTTATGACCCAGAAATTCCATTCCTAGGTGCTACAGAATTCCTTAGGTCCACCCCAAAATCCTACTATAAAACTCTAACCCCATCCCCCACACCCCAACTGTATTTGGAGACTATATGCCTTTAAGGAGCTGATAAAGGTCCAGTGTAGACTTAGGGAGGAGCCCAGATCCCACTACAATGAGTTCCCTTAGAAGTCACACCAGTGCGCCTCTGCAGCGTGAGAAGACAGTATACCCAAACCTGCATGACCTTGGACTTGCAGTTCCCAGAACTCTGAAAAAATGTGCATTGTGTAAGCCACCCAGCCTATGGCATTTTCCTGTAACAGCCTGAGCTGGCTAATACAGTCTGTGTCTACCTTAAAGAAATGAGAAGAAACACATCCACAAAAACCTGTATTCCAGCTGGGCGCCAGTGGCTCATGCGTATAATCCTAGCTACTCAGGAGGCAGAGATCAGGAGGATCGCAGTTCAAAGCCAGCCCACCCAGGGAAATAGTAAGAAAAAAATTCATGAAAAAATTCAACACACAAAAAAAGAGCTGGTGGAGTGGCTCAAGGTGTAGGCCCTGAGTTCAAACTCCAGTACCTCAAAAAAAAAAAACCAAACAAAAACCTGTAGTCACAGTGGCCTTCTGGCATTATGCTCCCAAACTGGCAAAAACCCAAACATCTGTTCACTGTTGAAAGCATGAAGAAAAATGTGGAGGCTGGGGCAGGGAAGCAGTTTGCAAAGGGGTCAGGAACAGAGAAAAAACTTTTCTGAGCTGGGGAATTAAACCCAGGGCCTTAAGCAAGCTAAGCACACTCTACTACCCCCAACAGGACATTTTTTGTGAGGACGACCAGGTATATTTGAGTTTGGTTGGGCATTACACACTATAAAGGAGCTATTGTTAATCTGGTTCATGCTAATCACGCCTGCCCTGAGTTCAAACCCCAGGACAGCCAAAAAGAAAAAAAAAACAAAAGAAAACAACCCGGATGATTGAGGGAGTGAGTGTGGTAGTTATGAACAAACACATGTTTGTAGAAGCCAGGCACGATGGCTTTCACCTGTAATCCTAGCTACTCAGGAGGCAGAGATTAAAGGACTGAGATTAGAGGCCAACCCTGGGCAAATAGTTCACAAGACCCCATCTCCAAAATAACCAGAGCAAATTGGTTTGGAGGTGTGGCTCAAGTGGTGGAGTGTCTGCTTTGCAAGTGTGAAGTCCTGAGTTTAAAAAAAAAACAACCAGACCCATCTGTAGAGGGGTGTGTGTGCGAGAACAGCATTCCAGTAGAGGAGCGAGAACAACAGGAGCAAAGGCCCTGAGGGGAACTCATTCATGTAACATTGTGCCTGAAGGAAGGACTTCTTTGTGGAATATTACATACCTAGTCATAGGAATGAATGAGCAGCGTAAAGAAACCACAGGCGATGCATCAGTTAGCAGTTGCTGTGTAATGAATTATCTCAAAAAGTACTTGCTTAACATAACAAACATCTCACAGTTTCTGTGCAGGAGGAATCAGGAATGGCTTCTTGGGGTGGTTCTGGTTTGAGATCTCTCATACTGTTGACTGCAACCACCTGTGAGACCCTGGACCAGAAGCACCCAGATTTCTGGTTTTCAGATTCTGTGAGACACCATTGTGGTGTGTAGTTTTAAATGACTAGGGTTTAGGGATATTCATTACACAGCAATAACTAACCAGTCAAAGAACATACTGTGCTCATTGTTCTGCCCTTTTCACCTTTTCTAAATATTTGATATAGAAAATTACAGTATAAGATCATGAAATAAGGGATTGTATTATAAGAAATACGCTCACCTGTCCAAACTCAAAGAATAGACTCAGAGACACGTGGAAGACAGTGGAAGCAAGACTTTAATGATGACTTTGCAAGGTTGGGTACCTGAGGAGCAGAGACCCAGAAGCTGTTACAATAAGCATTATATTGCCTAGTGGGCAAGTCCCTCCCCTGGTTCCTCATTGGTGAGTACAGGGTATACATTCTTCCCTAAATTTCCTATTGGGTTATTTTAAAATATGACTCTTGGGATTGGTCAAATTTTAGAGGCAGGCTTCAGGTGGTTATCTGCTTTTGTGGAGGAAGGGTATCCCTGTGATAGATACGTGCTTTCTGACACATAACCCATTCCCTCACTCTATCATGATTTACCCCACCCAGTTTAAGTTGCCCCTCACCCAACATCTGCAAGCTGATAAGCAAGTAAGCAGCCAGGGCTAAATGCCTTGAAAGTGGAGCAGCGCTGACTTTACTTCTAAGAGTATGCCTGATGATTGCAACGAAAGGCAAAACCCTGCTCAGAAGTCATGAAGCCTGGGGGGGAACAGGGGGTCACTGGAACAGAGCCAGCCACAAGGATGTATAGAATATAGTCATGGTTTTGTGGTTCTGAGTGTTTCCCAGGCTGGCTGAAACATGATCTCAAGCGATCCTCCAGCCTCAGCCTCTGGAGCATCAGGGACTACAGGTATGTGCACCACACCCAGCTTTCCTAAAACTATTTTAAGCTCACTTTCAGGCTTTGCCCAGTGGCCTCTGTTGGAGAATACCTTTTCTCATTTATCTAACTCAATCATCTTCCTCCAGGTAGTGCCTCCTGACTACTTTCCTCATGCTAGATGACGTCTACTGTGAATTTCTGTGTTAGCTTATTTTCTATTAGTGTAACAAAATGCTAGAGGCTGGGTACCTAATGAGAAAAAGAGATTTCTTTAGCTCAGTTTTGGAGGCTCTCTGTTGAAAGCCCCTTGGCTATATCACAAGGGGGTGAATGGGTCACGGTGGGTATGAATGTGAGGCATCACATTGAAAGTCAGCAAGGCAGAGCACAGGGACTGGCTCTTTTATAGCAATTTGCCTGCAGAACTAACTCAGGGTCCTGGGAGAACTACCTTATTCTCTTCTAGGGGAACCTAACCACTGCTTCTCTGGCTAGGCCCTGGTGACTCATGCCTACAATTCTAGCTACTCAGGAGGTAGAGATAAGGAGGATCCTGGTTGGAGGTCAGCCCTGCAAACTGTTTGTGAGACAATATCTCTACTTAAGACCTCATGAATATTGGTCACATCTCATACACACAATTAAAGGCCTGGAAATTGGTATAAGCACATTCTCAGAATACACTACGTTATGTGATGAGGCTGTTATTAAACCTACCAGCCTCCCTACTCCCTAGCCCTGCCTGAAAGACTGCCCATATTTTTTCTTATAACTTATAAATTTTTTTTTCTTCAGTACTAGGGTTTGAACTCAGGGCCTACATACATCTTGAGCCCTCTGCCAGCCCCTTTTGTGATGGGACTTGTTAAGACTGGGTCTCTTAAACTATTTTTCCAGGCTGGCTTCAAACCGTGATCCTCCTGATTTCTGCCTCCTCAGTAGCCGGGATTATAGGAGTGAGCCACTGGCTCCCGGCTACAAATTGGTTTTAAACAGAGATCAATTTTTCTGTGGCACCTGGCAGGAGACCACTTCTCTTGCAGTGTTTTCTCTTACTCTTTCTTTCAGTAAAGTTTTGCAATTTGTGTTTCTGTCAAGTTCTCTGTTCAGGTGACACAAGTACTTAGGATCTTCTGGACTAGTGTCTCCTCAGACCACTCAGCCTGGTAACAGAGCTGTGGCTAAAGTGGTAGAGCATCTGCTTTGCAATTGCAAAGCCCTGAGTTCAAACCTCAGCCCTAACAAAATAAGCTGGGTGCTGGTGGCTCACGCCTGTAATCCTAGCTACTCAGGAGGCAGGGATCGGGAAGATCCAAGTTCAAAGCCAGCCCAGGAAATAGTTTGGGAGATCCTAGCTTGAAAACACCCATCACAAAAAAAGGGCTGGTGAAGTGGCTCAAGGTGTAGGCCCTGAATTCAAGCCCCAGTACCACACACACACAAAAGTATACCACCTCTTGATCATCATACTGTACTGGAGAGCAAGCCTCTAACACATGAACCCCTAGGGACACAAGAAACCACATGAAACCATAGCCCCTCCCTGCTTTAATAACCATTCATAATGCTTAGTATGTGCTCACTACGTGCCAGGTGCTTTGCTAAGGGCTTCACCCACATTCTATGTGCCATCTTGATAGTGGCCCAGTCTAAAACAAAGTGATGTTATAATTCCCAGTTTACAGATGAGTAAACTGAGGAAATAAAGTCATGGGCTCGAGGTCACCCAGATGTCAAGCAGCAGAATAAGGCCTTCAACGTGACAGAGTCTATACTTTTTTTTATTTTTGGCAGTACTAGGGTTTGAACTCAGGACTTCATGCTTCCTAAGCAGGGACTCTGCCACTTGGGCCATTCTACCAGCCCTTTTTGCTTTAATTATTTTTTAGATAGAATATCATGTTTTTGCCTGGAGTCAGCCTCAGACTGTGATACTCCTATCTGTGCCTCCTATGTAGGGTGGAATTACAGGACTGAACACCATGCCCCCTTATTGGTTGAGATGGGGTATTCTCACTAACGTTTTTGGACTCGGGGCCTCCCACTTGCTAGGCATGCACTCTACCACTAGAGCCACTCTGCAGTCCTAGTGCTTTTAGATGGAGGTCTCACCCTTCTATCTGGCTGCCCTCCAACTGGATCCTCCTTCTTCCTTCCCAAGTAGCTGGCATCAGTCTCCTCTCTCCTTATATTTTCTCTTATACCCTGTTTTTATTGATGCCTTTCTTTCCTACCACTCTCCAAAAACAAAATCAAAAACAAAAGAAAAACATGAGTTCTAGGAGGACTGGGAACTTTGTTTTGCTCAGTACTGGAATGGAGTTAACTGTGATAAAACATGAAAGGAATAAATTATCATTGCACCCTACATTTATTGAGACCTTTCTTGGTTTTTTTTTTTCCAGTACTGGGGCTTGAACTCAGGGCCTTCACCTTGAGCCACTCCACCAGCCCTTTATGTGAAAGGGTTTTTTGCAGACATGGTCTCATGAACTATTAGCCAGGGCTGGCTTTGAACCACGATCCTCCTGACCTCTGCCTCCTGAGTAGCTGGGATTACAGTGTGAGCCACCAGCGCCCCGCTTGGGTGCATCCCCTTTAACGTCGTGGGGACTACTGAGGCGCCAAAGGGGCTTGACTGACCGCGAACTGAATTGGGACTTTTGCTAGGTAGGCGGTGGGGAGCCAGGGAAGGCTCTGGAGCCGGGCAAAGGACATGGCCAATATTCTAGTCGCTGGGGACCATCAGGCCTGCCAGCCCCGAACCCTTGGGCCGCAGTCGGCGCCAAGCACAGCCTCCAGCAGGAAGCTCCCTCGTCTCCCTGGCAACGAAGAGCGGAAGAACCATGGAGGCGCTGGTCCCCCCATGAAGAGCGGCCGGCTTGCGCCAGTGAAGCGCAGCGCGCTAGAAAGGCACTTCCGGCCAATTGTCACGTGTGCGGCCGCGCGGAGGCGGGACTTCCGGCGACGCTATATTTTCTTTCCGGTTGCAGGCCCCTGCGGGCTCCTCCCTTGCCTGGGCCTTGTGCCCCCCACCCCCCGCGGCCCCCCGCCGCCGGGCCGCCGTCACCATGAAGAAATTCTTCCAGGAGATCAAGGCTGACATCAAGTTCAAGAGTGCGGGACCCGGTCAAAAACTCACAGATTCCGTGGGGTGCGTGACTGTTCCAAGAGGGGCGGGTAGGAACGCTAGAGGGTCGGAGAGCTGCAGTGCCCGGGAGGGGACGCGAGGGGCGGGGCGGGGCGGGAGGGGAGGCGAGATGTGGGCGAGGGGGACTTCGGGGGCGGAGCGTGGGAGTGGGGGAGGGGAGGCCTGGGGAGGCGAGGCGGGAGGGGGCACAACGGGTGAAGCTGCGGGAGTGGGCGACCACTTGGGGACCTTAAGGGAAGAGGGGTGGTAAGGGAGAATGCCTGAATGGGCCTAAAAGGTCCATATGGTTTGCGGGAATCTGGGTTACCAAAGATTTGGGCTGAGCGAGTATGACGAGGTCCTAAGGTGTCAGAGTGAAGCTTGGCAGTTAATAGGAGTAGGGGTTCTGATTCCTGGGAGGCGGGATGCGGGAGGAGGAGCGTCTGGGAAGGCTGTCTCTCTGACAGATGGGATAGGAGCCTGGTAGTTTCTACCATGTGATGAGGGCCAGGTCTGGAGGCGCTGGGGATAGGCATGGAGGGGAAGAAGTGGGTATGGCATCTGGTTTCAGTGACAGATCTAGGGTTGGTGGCTGGTAAAAGGAAGCTTGGAGGGGCTGGGGTTCCTGTAGGGAGCTGCCTGAGAGGTGGTGGGGCCCAGCATGCTCAGGTGGACAGATAACTGTCAGGGCAGGTACTGAGGAGGTGGGTTGTGCAGGGTGGTTGGGGAGGATTCAGGAAGGGGGTGGGGAGACACAGTACTGACATCAGGGCTGCTGGTGAGGACCAGGGAGACAGTGCTGAGAGGAAGCAGGCCCACGGATGCCAAATCTAGGAGGGAGGGACGTGCATCCAACAAATTAGGTCCCCCTGCCCAAGCGTATTGCTGGGGAGGAGGTAGGTGAACCCAGACCTGCCCACTTATGGGGGTGCTGTATGTGACAGGAAGGATGTGAAAGCTGATGGATGGCTCAGACCAGAGATTTAGGGAGGTATAGGCACAAGACTGGAGACTCGGTGGGCGTCCAGACTGAGCCCTCTACCTTCCCAGACCCCCTGCCCTCACCCTGCCCTTGGTGGGACATTGTAGGCAGAAGACACACCCAGGGCCAGGACTTTTCAGAGTGGGAGCCCAGTGCAGATGGTGAAGAGGCTTTGGGATTTTGTTTTGTGCCGTGGAGGGTGTGTGGAACAGTGCCCAGTGGAAACATGGGGCTATCACAGTGGTTAGGCCCTTGGCTGTGGGGAGGACTGTGGCTGTGGAGAGGGATAAGGAGGGCCTTCCTGGGGTGGATGGACCTAGGACGTAGGCGGCTTGAGCAGCTGGTGGCGTGGAAGAGCCCAGATGATGAGTCAGGACCGCCCCGCTCGTGCTGAGTACTCATGGAGTCACCCTTTGTGGGGGTGACCTCAGTGGGCCAACAGACGAAGTGGACTCTTTGTAACAAGCATGACCCTGGGCCTAGCTGGGACCGAAGCAGCCAGGGTAACAGAGGACATGTTGTCAGCTGGCCTGGGGTCCTTCCGCAGCGTGCTGTGGAGGAGCCTCACTAAACCACCATGAGCCCAGAGTGCTCGCAGGGAGGATGCATGCCAGGCTGCTGGGGGTCCAGTGTGGCCAGGTACACCACCAAGGAGGGAAGGACTAAGGCAGGCTTGTGAGCCTTCCTATGGGAGGTGCTGGTCCCATTGTGCACATGTGGAGGCTGAGGCCAGGCAAAGGCAGGACCTGTCCAAATGGGCAGGACCCAAGCAGCATCTCCATTGCCTGCTTCCAGGGCTCTTTTACCTGTCAGAGCTGCATGGGAACTGGCGTAGCTGGGACAGGAAGAGCGATGTGCAGCTGGAGCAGGCAGGAATGAGGCTGTCTGAGCCTCCACCAGCACCTTCTGATGAAGTGTCTGACCTTGCTCCCAGTGCGGGTTCCTGCTGAGCTGTGACAGTCAGCTGAAGAGCTGTTGTGATCCTGGGTGGCTGCAGCACCTGTGTCTGTTCCTTCTTAAGTGCGGCAGAATAGACACAGATTGTGGTGACTGTAATGCCTTTGGGATCGATGAATAAGCATGTTAGACTGAGGCCTCTGGTAAACGTTTGGATATTAGATACAAATAGTGCAAATAATTTTAATATACTAGTTACGATGTATGTAGTATTTAAAAATTATCAGTAACCTTAATTCAGTTAAAACACTTTATATTTCAAAAGAATGAGTAACATTGACAGTAAGCTCACTACATTGGAGGGGGTTTGTTCAGAAGGAATACTGTGGCCTTATCACACTATTGTAGAAAATACTGTGTTTAATTTAAATAAATGCAGGTTGTTTATAAAGACCACTTAACCTTGTGAATTGTTTGTTCTTAAGTAGCAAATGGAAACCAAGGCCGCTCTGCAGACTGCTGCCTCTACCTGCACTAGCGCTGCTTCTGCAGTGAGAACTGCAGCCTCTGACTGTCAGGCCACCTCAGCCTCAGATTCTGTGGGGCACCTCTGTGGTCTTTCCTCTAGGATTGCTAGATTAACCAATCATGTGTGTTCTTAAAATCAACTTTATTGTAAGCACATCTGTGTCTGCTTTAAAAGACGGGAAGGGGCAAGAAGTAAATCTTTGCCAAATCCTTTGGAGATTGTTGAATTTACATGAGTTAAAATCATAAAGGCTTCTATTAAACCAGAAAAAAAAAAAAAAAAAAAAGGAATGAGGCTGTCTGATGGGGAGGGTGGCAGGCGCTCATCCATCCAACCCCATGTCAGCCTTGCTGATTGCTCCGGGAGATCACTCACTCCCCTGCCTCTGCCCAGGGAGAAGGCGCCCAGAGAAAAGTCCCACCAAGCAGCAATCCGGCAGCCCCGACAGGGACCCACTGATGAGGCACAGATGGCAGCTGCTGCTGCCCTGGCCCGGCTCGAGCAGAAGCAACCCAGAGCTCGGGGCCCCACTTCGCAAGACTCCATCCGGAACCAGGGTGAGTGGCAGTCATTCTTGGGCTAGGTGGGGAACCTGGTGCTGTGCTCTAGAAGGACGTAGTGACGTGACCTACTCCTTGGGGGCTGTTTAAAATTACAGTGAGGGAACAGCCACAGGGTGTGCAGGGCACCAGGGCAGCTGCGGAACCATGTGACAGGGAGGCAGGGGAGCGGAGGCTTGGAGGACGAGGGCCATGTCAGTTGGAGGTAGAGGGACCACAGCTGACCACTAGAAGAGGGCAGGGAGGGCATGTACAGTTCCCAGGCCCAGCCTGAGGACAAGGGCCCCGGGCAGGGTCCTGCCTCCAGGACAGGGCCATGGCCTTGGCCCCTTCTCATCTGTCTTTCCTTCTACCCTTCTAGTGAGAAAGGAACTTCAAGCTGAAGCGATTGGCAGTGGCAACCCAGAGGCCCCTGGGACCAATGTGGTAACTAATGCAGTGCTGGCAGCAGCCTGGCACCCTGGGCAGCTGGGCACTCGGAAGGTGCAGGCAAAGAGATGTCATGATGTCACTCTTCCCTGGGGCAGTTGGGGGAGCCCATCTTAAATGGCCATTGTCCAGGCTTTCAGGACTGTTAGCTCCTGGCTCGTTCTGCAGCCTTTTGAAGCTAGGTGGAGTTCCCACTTCTTAGACAACACCCAGGTTGAGAAAGGTGAAGCTGCTGTGTTAGGCACAGCCCTGCTCAGAGCAGGGGAGGTACTGGGACCAGACACCAGAGCCCATCCTCAGCAGGCCCTGTCCTGCCTCCCTGGGAGGCCCAAGGGCACTGCAGAGATTTAAGCCTCTGCTTGGGGCTCCACCCAAATGTGTGTGGCAGGCAGCTGAGCCCCACGACTCAGAAAACCTTAGCATGGAGGACCTCTAGGTGTGGTCCTAAGCTTTGGGTGCAGACAGAGATCGGTTTGTGCAGGGCATAGGCCCCCGACTTCCATCTAGCATTGGCAGCTGCAGACTGTTAGCCTGGCACTCACCCTGAGTGGGAGCTGCCATGGGTTCCATCTTCCTTCTGCTGAGACACCTGACAGGGACGTTTTCAGCCCAGAACCCCTTGTTGGTGTGGTTTAGACATTGGTCAGGATGACCTATGGCTAACAAGCAGAAGGGACAGTGGGGGGCAGGGTGTCTGACTCTAAGGGCCATTCCTCTCTACTGTGGCTCAGAGGGACCTTTGTCCACAAACTCAGATGCTTTTGCTCCCAGGTACCTGAGCCCAAAGAGGAAGGCTCAGCCCACCTGGCGGTACCCGGTGTATACTTCACCTGCCCGCTCACGGGGGCCACCTTGAGGAGGGACCAGCGGGATGCCCACATCAAAGAGGCCATACTGTCGGTGAGTGGCCAAGCCCTGCAAGGGGTCCCGCACAGAGCCTGGACACCACTTTGATGGCCCTTTGGTTTTGCCTGCTATTTTTTTTTCTGTAATCCTAGCTACTCAGGAGGCAGAGATCAGGAGGATCGTAGTTCTAAGGCAGCCCAGGCAAATAGTTGGAGAGACCCTATCTTGAAAAAAAAAAAAAAATGCTAAAGAAAGGGCTGGTGGGGTGGCTCAAGGTGTAGGACCTCAGTCCAAATCCCAGTACCACAAAAAACAAAAAAACCAAAAAAAACCACAAATCTGGTCTGGCACAGCGGCTTACGCCTGTAATCCCAGCTACTTGGGAGGCAGAGAGCAGGAGGATTAAAGTTTGAGGCCAGCCCAAGCAAAATGTTAGTAAGACTGAATCTCAACCATTAAGCTGGGTATGGTGGAGCACCTCTAATCTCAGGTACATGGAAGGAGGCTTATGGTTTGAGGCTGGCCCCATGTGAAAACTTGAGACCCTACCTATCAAAGCAAAAAGGGCTGGCAGAGTGGCTAAAGTGGTAAAGTGTCGGCCTAGCAAGTGAGAGGCCCTGGGTACCACCAATACACACACACATTTATATTGTCACAGTTGTAGTGGTCACAGTTCTCATCTGGGCTTCACTGAGCTAAAATCCAGGTGGGCCATGACTGGTACCTCCTGGCAACTACAGGGAGGATGCACATCCCACCTGTTCCGCTTCTAGAGGCTTGGCATCCGTTGGCTCAAAGCTCCTTCCTCCCTCAACAGCCAGCTGTCCTTTCTGGTTTTTTTTTTTTTTTTTCTTTCTTATTAAGCAATTTATTTAGTTTTGTTTCTTTAGGTAGGACTGGGATTTGAACTCAGGGCCTCACACTTGCTAGGCAGGCACCCTGCCACTTGAGCCATCACACCAGCTCTCCTCTGGTTTTCTCACCCGTTTGTGGCTCTTCTGACTATGCAGGGCCACCTGAATAAGGAGCACTCCTGATTTAGGTTCCTACTGACACTTACCTCCACATCCTCCCAGGTTCCAGGACTAGGGTGGGGCATCCTTGCGAATGTGGGCGGCCTTAGGCCACTGGTTTTGGCCACATTTTTTGCCCCATTTGCCTTACTACCCCTCTGTCTTTTCTCTTGAACCATTGAGGGAGAGTTCTGAGTTCTCTTGAGCAGCTGCCAGTGCTCCTGTGAATTATTCTGGAACTTACTAAACTCCTGCTCTGGACAAATGCAGTGGACACTGGCAGTCTGGACACTTGTTGGGGAAAGGCCTTGTTTGCGTCACTGTGCACTGTGGTCACTTGCAGAGTCATCACCAGATGACTGTCCTCAGGTCAGCCCAAGTCATCCCCCAGCACAGCAGAGTGTGGGGAAGCCCCGCCCCTCAGTGTCACAGGGTTTGGGTAGGGCCAGCAGACCTTTTGATCTTCATCCAGATGCAGGGCTGGGCACATCACAGGAGAGATTGCGTTTGTACTCCTTATTGACTTGGGGGCTGTGTTTTCAGTGCGTTCTTTGCAAACCTGGCTCTGCCTCTGCCACGAGCTGCAGACGCTGCCCCCACTGGTTTAGTTTTGCCTCTGCGTCTGTTTACCCGCTTTCCTGCTGGGATTGACTGATAGAAAGCCTTTATCACCACACTAAAGTTGCCCAGTTTTTTTTTTTTTTTGACAGTACTGGGATTTGAACTTGGGACCTCTTGCTTGCCATGCAGGTGCTCTACCATTTGAACCATGTTCCCAACCCTTTTAGCTTCTGTTATTTTTTAAATAGGGTATCAAATTTATGCATGGACCACGATCCTGTTTATACCTCCTGCATAGTTATGATAACAGGTGCCACTACCACCATCACCGCTATTGCTTGTGATGGGGTCCTGTGAACTTTTTGCTTGGCTGGTTTCAAACCTCCATCCTCCTCATCTCTGCCTCCTGAATCACTGGGTTATAGGTGTGAGCCACTGCCCTTGGCTCCAGCTGTGGTTGTGATAGTGTTTTTGTTTTGCCTTTCACTGTCTTGCCTTTTAGCTTTAATGTTTAAAACTGAGCCTTGGGCTGGCGGAGAGGCTCAAGTGGTAGAGTGCCTACCTAGCAGGTTTGAAGCACTGAGTTCAAACTTCAGTGCCACCAAAATCAACAACAAAAACACCCAAGTCTTCAACATATGTGGAGTAGCGTTCATTTCTTTTCCCAGAGAGTGACCCCGTAGAGCGAGAACAGCTGTCTTTGGCTCCTGAGTGTGCCATCTGGCATTCATACTGGGTGGGGGTGGCTTCTGAGCTGCTCATTGCCTTCTTCCTTCCCTTGTCTGAGGTGGCACAGGCTGCCTAGAAACCTCCAAGGCCCGTGTTTGGAGCTATGGCTCCTCCCTGGAGAGGTGCTTGTCCCCTGCATGCTCCCTGTTTCCTCTGCCTCAGCATCTGCCCTGGCAGCTGGGCTGAGTTCGAGTTTGCAGCTGGCAGGATTGCTGGCTTTGTTTGGAGCTGAGGTTTGTCCTTTCAAGAGATGGGGCCAAGTCCCCGGACCTGCCATCCAGGAGCTCTGGGAGGGCCAGGCCAGCCCTGGAGGATCACTTTTCCCTTCTACTCTCTGGCCTCCCAGGGCTGGAGTGGATGCCCCCCAGTTCATTGGGACACAGCTGGTGGCTTGGGGGCCACAGAAGAGCATGGGTGTGGCCATGTGTGTGTGTGTGTGCAGAGTGTGAGTACATGCCATCCTAGTCCTGTCCTTCCTTAGGTGTTAGCCTACCTCCTCAGGTTGAGCTGGGACTCCATCCCTCCCCATGGGAGCAGGTGGGGGTTCTGTTCCGGCTGCCTAGCCACCCCTGGCTCTGTCCAGACATCACGGTCATAGACTCATGTGCATCCACCCTGTCACCTGCTACCTGGGAGGCTGTGAGTGAAGGATGTGTCACCTAAGTCTGTGTTCATCCTTACCCAGAGAGGTGTGGTCAAGTGGTCTGGTAGGGTGGTAAGGGTCAGGAGCATGTCACGGGGTGGCCCCCCAGGTTCCTGGGACTCAGTGCTGGTCCTGAAACTACCACTTAAGGCAGAGCTGTTGAACCATGTGGACCCTACAAGTCCCTGAGGGCACACTGTCTCCTTGCTCCATTATCCTGTCCCAGGGGGCAGTCCTGGAGTGCTGAGGCTGCAGACTCGTGCTCGTCGCCTCCTCCCTGCTCGTCGCCTCCTCCCTGCTCCTCCCTCTCTCCTGGCCTCCTCCTCTCCATTCTCCCTGCCTTTTTGCTGAGCACTAGGCTGGACTGCTTTTAGGCAAATGCTCCGCTGCATAACCACCATTGCTGTCATTCTCCCGTGGTGCTCACCACGCCGTCCTCCCCTTCCCCTATCCCAGCACTTCTCCACGGACCCAGTGGCCGCCTCCATCATGAAGATCCACACGTTCAACAAAGACCGGGACCGTGTGAAGCTGGGTGTGGACACCATTGCCAAGTGAGTGGATGCCAGTGAGGCCAGGCCTGCTGAGCTCTTGGGAGAGACCATGCCTCTGTGGCCTGTGTTGACAAGAGTACAAGAGGCTGGGGGTTCCCCACCCTGACTTTGCTGGAGGGTCAAGCGCAAGTGACGGACACAGGGTAAAGCCCACTCCTGGCCTCACAGTGATAAATCGGCAGGGATGGGAAGGGAAGGGTGGCCCAGAAGTGCCTACTACTCACCAACAAAGGTGAGTGGACTCCCCCCCAACCAATACTGCAGTCTCCTGACCCAGTGGTTCCTCATTCCAGCTCTGTCCATTTCTCCCACCGCTGTGGCTGGTTGTTGCCTGGGTGGCAGGCAGTACAGGGGCTGACATGGTTGTGCCAGCCTCAGCAGGCATGAGCTCAGTGGCTCTTCTTTTTGCTGCCGGCCTCTGAGCTGCAACCCCGTCCTCCCCCCAGGTACCTGGACAACATTCACCTGCACCCTGAGGAGGAGAGGTACCGGAAGATCAAGCTGCAGAACAAGGTGTTCCAGGTGGGCTGCTTCCTCATGCCTGCCTACTTAGGGGGTGTGCGCTCACTCAGGCTGTATGGAGTTTGGCCTGCCTGCAGAAGGTGGCAGGGTGATAGCAAGTCCCAGGGTCAATGGTCAGTGAAGGTGACCCTGAGCAGATTTTTTTTTTTTTTAATGGGATTGGAGTTTGAACTCAGGGCTTGGTGCTTGCAAAGCAGGCGCTGCACCACTTGAGCCGCACCCCCAGCCCATTTTGCTCTGGTTATTTCGGAGATGGGATGTTGTGAACTATTTGCCCATGGCTGGCCTTGAAATTGATCTTCCCCATTTCAGCCTCCCAGGTGGCTAGGGTTACAGGTGTGAGTCACTGTGCCTGCTCCTTAGCAGGTTTTAATGGCTTTTCACTTAGAATTCTTTGGGAACGAATTGCACTTAGATTGTTTCCTCCTAACATAGACTCAAGGCTCCCCTGGAGAAATGAGGGTCTGGCCACCCTGGCCTGCATCCCCACATGGGCCACAGACGCTGCCCAACCCATTTGGCTCCCTCCCCGCCTGTGACCTCTTCCCCAGCAGGCCTTTGGTCTTCAGCCTCCTCTGTGCTTGACCTTTTTGGTGGCCGTGCCCTCTGAGGGCTCTGTGGATGGTGTGCTTATGCTCAGTTCCGCAAGAGCTCTGGAGTGCGGTCCCCATGCCGGGGTCACTTAGGCTGGGTGGGGCCTGTGTGACCCATCCTCCACCTCCAGGAGCGTATCAACTGCCTGGAGGGGACCCACGAGTTCTTTGAGGCCATTGGGTTCCAGCGGGTGCTGCTTCCTGTCCCGGACCAGGGTGAGAGGAGAAGGGGCAGTTGGGCGGAGTTGGGGATGGTAATGGGTGGGTGGGCTGGCCTGGTTGCCCTGCAGCCCAGTAATGGCTGCATGTGGCACAGAGGCCCCAGAGGAGTTTTACGTTCTGAGCGAGGCCGCGCTGGCGCAGCCGCAGAGCCTGGAGCAGCACAAGGAGCAGCTGCTGGATGCCGAGCCCGTGCGGGCCACACTGGACCGCCAGCGCCGTGTCTTCAGGCCATCACCCCTGGCCTCCCAGTTTGACCTGCCAGGGGACTTTTTCAACCTCACAGCAGAGGAGGTCAAGCGTGAGCAGAAGCTCAGGTAGTGGGCAGGTGCCTGTGGGCTGTTGGTGGGTTGGAGCCAGGCCATGGCCTGACCCAGCTCTCTGGTTGTGCAGATCTGAGACAGTGGAGCGGCTAAGTGTGCTGCGGACCAAGGCCATGCGGGAGAAGGAGGAGCAGCGGGAGCTTCGCAAGTACACCTACACGCTGCTGCGTGTGCGCCTCCCCGACGGCTGCCTCCTGCAGGGTGGGCCTGGGTCTCGGGCTGGGGACCTTAGGCTGGGAATTGAGGCGAGCTCTGTGCTGAGCAGCAAGCCCAGCTCTGTGTTCAGACAGTGCCCAGGGCTGGGGTGTCTGGGTCTGAGGATCTGATGGCTGGCCCTGCCCTCTCTGTCAACTGCAGGGACCTTCTATGCCCGGGAACGGTTGTCGGCACTGTATCAGTTTGTCAGAGAGGCCTTGCAGAGCGACTGGCTACCCTTTGAGCTGTTGGCCTCGGGAGGGCACAGGTTGTTGGAAGAAGAGAACCTGGCCTTGAACGAGTGTGGCCTGGTGAGTGGGTGAGGGTGTGGTGCTGGTAGGGTCAGGACATGCAGGGACACATGAGAACCAGCATAGGCAGGAGGGGAGGCAGAGGACATGCTCACGCAGTTGCCCCATTGCCCAGTATTCCTGTGGCTCCTTCCTGGGCCTCTGTCTCCATGGGTCTGCATGGGTCTTGTGGGTCATCGCAGAGCCCCAAGGATTTGGGTCTCAGTGTGGGACAGTGCTTTAGGAGCTGGGTTCCAGGCCAGATCCTGTGTTTGGAGGCCACCTCTTGTCTGATGCAATGTGACCTTGAGCAAGTTTATAAGTTCTTGGTGCTTCAGTGGAGGCAGTGGGCTGTGGGCAGTGGAAGAAGATGGAGTTAATTAAGATGGGGCAAATGCGGCCTGGATAAGAGCCTTGGACTCTGCCTAGGAATGGCTTTGGCCATGTTGGGGTGTCTTAAGAGTCTGGGTTGTCCATCAGAGGGTCTCTACAGGTCTCTCCTGCAGTGAGTTCACACGGGGACAAATGTCCACCTTACTGCCCGCTACAGGTGCCCTCAGCCCTCCTGACCTTTTCTTGGGACACAGCTGTGCTGGAGGACATGAGGGCCGCAGGGGCTGAGCCTGACTCGTCAGTCCTAAAACCTGAGCTCCTGGTGGCCATGGAGAAGCTCTCCTGAAAAGCAGGGTTGGCTCGGCCCATGGGTCCATCTCATGCTCCCGTCTCTCTGGAGCCACCCTGCCTTAGCCTCTGGAAACACTTGCCCTGCCCCAGAGCCTCTTGGGTAATGGAGGGGAGCTAGCTGGGCATAGAGCTGTGGACGGGGCCCATCCCAGAGACTTGCAAGCTGCAAAGATGCACCTGAGTCTGCCTCGGGGACAGTAAGGAGTCTTAAGCACTCAAGCCACCACCTCACAGGGCCCAGGGCCATCTCCTTGGGCATAGCTGGCCTGCAGCTTGGGCTCAGGTCCCGTGGGCTGTGGAAGAGGCAACACATAGATCTGTAATTTCTAAATTATGAATAAATAGGATATTTGAATAGAGCTTCCTGGGTGTTTCTTCTAGCCACCTGAGGCAGTTCCATCTGCCCAGCACATGGGGGCTTTGGGCGCGGCTTCCTACACTCAGGGCCCCCTGGCTAGCCAGCAGCCTCCATGTGTCCAAGGTCAGGTTACCATGTCAGGTGTTCCTTTGGTGATGGAGTCCTTAAGTGTTTCTTCCAGCACCCAGGTGAGACAGCCCTGCCTAGGAGGCCTGTGCCAAGTTCTTGGAGGCTGGGGTCCTGCCAGGACCAGCTGGTGAGTGGTTTTCTGTTGCCGTGACAAAAAAGCTGAGGCTGGGTATGGTATAAAATAAAGAGATTTATTGAGCTCCGTTTTGTGGTTCAGGGTGTGGTGCTGGTGCCAGTCTGGCTCTGGTGAGGGCCCTGACTGCATCACATGGGGGTGGCACAGTGGGAATACATGAGACAGTCACATTGTGAGAGGCCAGTCAGGGAGGGGTGAGGCAGGGAACACAATGACCTAATCACCTCTCTAGGCCCTGCCTTTAAAGATCCCACCACCTCTCCCATGATCACACTGGGACCAAGGTCCCACCACATGAACCCTGGGGGCCACACCCACACTACATCCAAACAACACTTGGCTAGGTCTTGCTCTGCTGCAGTTGGCAGAGCACTGTTCTCCAGCTTGTGCATGTCACTTTTTGGATTGTAAGAGGCAGGCAGGAGGTCAGAGGCCAAGACCACGTTGCTGGGACAGGGACACAGGCCGGGAGGGAGCTGCCCACCTTGCTGCACGTGGACTACAGCCCAGTCCAGGTTGATGTTCGGGTTTTGCAGCTGTGAGATGGCCAAGTCTGTGTGACCTGCTCCAGTGGCTACAGGAAGCTGGGGAAGACAGAGGCCTCGGCTGATGGCCCACGGCCTGGTCACATAGCTAATGTGATGGGCTCCCTATGGTACACTGGCTGGAAGGGTCCCACTCACCCAAGGCTGACTCCTCTAGCCTGGCCCAGTGGCGGCCTTGTTGTCTGGCCAGTGTGATCGGCGGACTTGAGGCTTAAGGTCACAGATGTGTTACTGCCTTTTTTTCTTAACGTCCCTTATAGTCCCCTCAGCCAGGAGCTCCAGTATGGGCTGCTGGCAGCTGCTTGCTTTGCGTGTCAGCTGTGAGTTGTCCTGGGCAGGAACAAGGCACCTTGTTCACTGTCTATCTTGGGAACCCATCATGGCCCTAGCTGGCCATGTGCTCAGGCATTACTCTAGTGTCACATTTCCTGCCTGCTCAGTTGTTTCCAGGACCCAGCTCCAAGGTGTCAGGTGCCCCAGTTACAATACTCTGGGACACTTGTCCCTGGTTTCCAAGAGGGCACCCTCTCTACACCCAAGCAGTTTGTCAGCTCCATCCAAATGGGGTGGAGAGGAGGGGTCCTACAGGAAAACGGGGTTATCTGAAGCTAGTCAGGGTGGGGGCAGGGATGGAGTGGGCTCTGCCCAGTAAACTAGCGTCCCCTGGGGACAAAGAGACCTGAGAGTGGGGATGACAGGAGCCTGAGCTCTGGCTCTGCTCAGCGTAGAGAACATTCAATCCTCCACTCCTCAGGGCCACTGGCAGGGCCCTTGCAGCCTGGACTGGGGATACAGCTCCAGGTTCACATGGACTCCTTTCCAACCTTCTTTGTGGCCCTCCTCCCCAGGATGTATCAGCCTGGAGGTGCTGGCGGCTAAGCTCAGGCCAAGCCGGGGCTCAGCTGCAGGAGGTTCTGGTTGGGGACAGGCTGAGCGTGCACACCCCTTCCCCACGGTGAGACAGGAGGGAAATGGAAACATGCAGAAACACCAGCTCTCCTTCCCCAAAACCTGGGGAGAGATTCAAGTACCAAGCTTTACACCAATGCCAGGCCACAGGGGGACAGACACACCCAGCAAAGAAACGGCGCACCTAACAGAAGACAGACGGACGGCTCAGGGCTAGAGAGTTAAGTTTATACAGTTCCGCGTCAGTCCAGGCGCTAGGCCTCATGACCATGGCCTGCCTGTGCTTCAATTCATTTACAAGCATTTGATCCCGGCACCTGCTGTCCATGGAGAAGCCTGGGCAGGTGTCCCCTACAAGCCACCACCTTTCAATAATGCTTTATTAAAGGGCAGATTAACATGCAGCTTTTTGGGGAAATTTTTACAAATGTCAAGAACTAATCAAGCATCCTCTATAAAATTCTCCAGACCTCGCTCAGGGAGGTCTGTGAAGCAGGACAAAGTGCTCTTTACACAGGAGTTGGAAGGACGTTCAAGTATCTGGTCCATGGTGGCGGCACCTAGCCTTTTTACACACACCGGGCACTGGGGTCCTCAGGAGGCGCCAACTGGGCTTGCAGGCAGGGGGCTCTCGCCAGTGCCCAGCCCCACTGTGCCCTTAGGTCCAGATGTGGCTCCACATGGCTCCTGGGCCTCTGAGGGGAGAAAGGGAAGGTCTGTGGCCAGCTATACCCCCAGGCTCCCTGGTGAGGCGCCTTCTTGGGGCAGGACCCACCTTCCACAAGCGGGGGAGGTGCTGCAGCACCTCAGCTCAGGTCACTGAATTCCCAGGGCCTGTGCCCACCTGCCTGCCCTGCCTTCCTCAGAACAGGTGGCCACATATCCTGAGCTCAGGGCCCTCAGCCATACCCATGGAAGGGTCTCTGCGCTTCCTTTGGGCCCACTTTCCTCCAGAGTACCCCCAGGGCTTTGAACTCAACTTCTGTCATTTATAGAGTGGGTGCTGGGGGCAGTCACTCTTCTCTCCCTCCCCAGGCTGCAGGGGAGGAACCATTCTCACCGTCAACATCTGGGATGTCCACAATCATGCAGTCACCGTCCTCCTCCTCTTCCTCCTCCTCTGTGTCCGCCTGGAAGCCATCCATGTCCCCAGCTCCTACCTGGACAGACGAGGCACAGACTGTCAGTAGGGAAGGCGGGCAGGCAGGGAATGGAACTGTGTTGTCCTCCATCTGGTGTGACCCTTTTTCTCCCTCTAGCCTCAGCCCCACTTGGCAACACATTTCCCAAATGTGAATTTGCTGCTGTAACAAAATACTTGATAGATAAAATTAAGCTTTTGTATTAAAAAGAAGCGTGGGTTTCAGGTTTGCTTTGAAAGAGAAACTGACCAAACACCCAGTTTCTGGTATCTGTTCCTTTCAGTAAGCAGTAGAAAGCTCAGCGAGTTTGAAGTCTTTCTCCTGGTTGTCTTGTTTGCTCAGCCCTTGATAGTTTTTTTTTTTTCTTATTTTGGAGGTACTGCGGTTTGACCTATAGTACTCACACTTGCTAGGCAGGTGCTCTACCACTTGAGCCACTCCACCAGCCCTTTTTGGTGAAGGGTTTTTTCGAGATAGGGTCTCACAAACTATTTACCATGCTGGCTTTGAATTGCAATCCTCCTGATCTGTGCCTCCTGAGTAGCTAGGATCACAGGCATGAGCCACCTGTGCTTGGGCTCAACAGCTCTTCTGCCTGTGAGAATCAAGTGAAGTCAGGTCTTTTTCTGTCAAAGGAGTTAATGAATAAGTATCATTGTGTGGATGCCAGCTAACCTCCCAAAATTGCTGCCTACATGCCTTGTGAAGCATTGCTTGACCTCAAGGTTCTTGTGGTCAACAAAAGCTGTTTACCCACCCGATGTCCTAATCTCAAACTACTTGCTTACCATCTTAAAGTTTCATTCCTTTGAGCATGTCAACCCTTCTAACTACATTAGGCTCACGAAAGTGGGACCAACATGTGTTGCTCTTTTCCTCTGTTCTTGAGACAGGATCTCCCTATGTCACCTAGGCTGGCCTCAAACTCCTGGGCTTCCATCATCCTCCTGCCTCGGCCTCTAGAGTAGCTGGGGCCGCAGGTGTGTGCCACAGGCTCTGTGGCTGGTAAGGGCAAACATGATTCAAAAATATTTAAGTAAAACTGAGGTGCAGAACTGAGGTAATCTCAGGTCACAGATGTGTGGCAGCAGAACTGGAGTCCTACATGGCCCTGTGTGTCTCACTCTAGGACTGACAATAGGAGTACACTGAGTTCTAAATGAAACGTGGAAAAATTCTGGAAAAATGAAGACCAGACCAATCAAACATGGGCACACACAACATTTAAGGGCAGCAGTGCTGGTCATCCCTGAAGGGCAGGAGCATGGCTGTACCACATTGCCAGCAGGCATCTGACCCACTGTGTCCACCCGCATGGCTCTGCACTATGGCAGTTGAAGCACTGCTTGCTCCACACCCCAAAGCCATTCATCCCCTGCTCTCCTGGAGACACACAGAACTGAGGCTGTTTGAGTGACTGAGGTTTCAACTGCCCACACTCTGGCAGCCACCAAGGGCCACCTTTCCCGCTCTGTAGAAGCCTCTTGGAGGGCAGGAGTCTGGTCCTACAGGACATGGCACCCTGTGAAGGCAGAATATCCGAGCACCCAGGTGCATAGTGCCGTCTGTGCGACATCTCGCTTCCCATCTCTCTGCACCAGACTCTGCAATGGTCTCTACAGAGGCTGCAGACCCCAGAGTTGCTAATGTCCACATGGCTGTTGGAGCAAGGGCAGTGGCGAGCACCAAGCGGGGCACCGTGCAGCCATTGACCCTGCAGCCCCGATTCCTCATAGGCCAGCCCTTATGACACAGCCTAGTTTTACAGCAGCACCTTCTCTTTCTTGGAGGTTAGATGAAATGAGGAAGCACCTCAGTACCCCAAAATGCAGGGTTCACATTCTGTGCTCTGCATAGTGCTCAGCACACGGGACTCACGCCATCAACATGAAGGAACGTGGGTGACACATGAATAGGGCAGCCGCGGGGGAGAGATGGAGCCACACAGGACTGCCACATCTAACAAGGTGGGGAGGATAGAGACCCCTCCACAGGAGGACTGGGGAACCTGGTGGGGGCAAAGCTGACACCCCCACTGGGATGATGATACAAGCAAAAGCGTGTCTTCAAGCTCGGGTCCCTTGGCTTGTTCCAGCCGCAGAAGACACGCCTGGGTTCCTTCCGAGGCTGAAGAGCCATGATGATGACCAGAAGATTCTGCTGCTCAGGTGCAGCTGAAACCGAGGACCTACTGAGGGCCGGGCTCCAATCCAGGGACTCAGTGTGATGCTTGAGCCCCACCCCAGGCCTACGGGAGCAGTGCACACAGGACATGGACACTGCAGTGACAATGCCACCAAGTGCTTCCCCAAGGTCCTTCTTGGTCACAGAGTATCCTGATTCTGCCCATAGGAGCACTTTATTCTAACGGTGGAGGAGCTGTGGATGCAAGCTGAGCCACGCTGTCTCCATCTTCCTGTCACTACCTAAACTCAACCACGCCACTTGCTCAGAGAGGGGGCAATGGAACCAAGCTGCAGGCCCCAAGGTTTTGTGACCTGCATCTTGATGTCAGCCTCATGTGTGGCTGCAGTGCTTACATGGCAAAGAAGGGTTTCCAGTGGGGACAGAGGGAGACATCATACGTTAACATGAGGTGTATGCAGCCGGGTAAGGCTCCAGGGCTACCTGCTGTGACCACAGCTCTGTGCATGCTTCCCTCTCGTGGCACTATCAGTTTCTCCCCCACACACACTTGCTTTAACAGGCTCCTGTCCTTGCCCCCAGTGGATGCGCTTTGACTGTCACTGTGTTTGCAGGCCCCAGTAGGCCGGATGCTGGCACCAAGGGACAGCAAACACGATCCCACTGCATGGCCAATGCACAGGCCTGTGTGGAAGCTTCCAGGCTGAAAAACAGCTGATGGATGGTGGTGGGGGGAGGAATGGGTGGAGCACAGGAGAGCTATAGGGCAGGGACCCTGGGTGACACTGGGTCTAAACCCCAGGACAGTTAGTGCCAAGAGAGCACTAAGATCACTCATGGACTTGGGTGATGCCACTATGTCCAAGGAGGAGCCCCAGTGGCTACAATTCCCTACCGTGTGAGATACAGATGATAGGGAAGCTCTGTGTGGGTCAGGGAACAGACTGGAGCTCTAACTTGTGCTCAATTTTACCGTGAACCTAAAGCTGCTCTAAAAAACAAACTTATTAAAAGAAAAAGAAAAAAAAAAGTGTTGATGGCTCATGCCTGTAATCCTAGCTACTCAGGAGGCAGAGATCAGGAGGATCAAGGTTCAAAACCAGCTTGGGGAAGTAGTTCACGAGACCCTATCTTGAAAAAACCTATCACAAAAAAGGGCTTGATGGACTGATTCAAGGTGTAGGCCCTGAGTTCAAACCCCAATGCTGAACGAAAAAAAAAACCCCCAAAAAACTCCACAATAACAAAATGGTTAGTGGCTTACAAACTAATCCTAGAAACCCAGGAGGCAGAGATCAAGAGAATCCAGGTGAAAAGTTCTCAATTCAAACCGCAGTACTGAAACAACAAAAAAGTCCTCAAGACTTCATCTCAAGCAATAAAAGCAGGGAGTGAGCCGGGCACTCATAGCTCATACCTGTAATCCTAGCTACTTAGACAGGTGAAATCAATAAAATTGTAGTTTGAGGTGTATCTGTCAAAAAAGTTTTCAAGACTCTATGTCAACAGAAAAAGCCTGAATGTGGTGGCAGGTGCCTGTCATCCCAGCTGAGGAGGATTATGGTGTAGGCTGGACCAAGCAAAAAGGCCCTATCTTAAAAATAACCAACACAAAAAGAGCTGGAGGTATAGCTCAAGTGGCAAAGTGCCTGCCTAGCAGGTGTGAGACCCTGAGTTCAAACTCTGGTACTGACAAAAAACAAAACAAAAGGAAAAAAGGCAACTGCAGCCACCCCACTGCCGGCCCCGTCCCATGCTGAGGCCAAGGCTCACCTGCCCGTCGTGCCGGCGCTTCTTCATGAACTGCGTGATGCACATGCTGCCTGCTGACTTCCGCTTTAGTGAGACGGCAGGGACAGTGCCACTGTCCTCCCTGGGGGCTGAGGACACCATGGTGACGTAGCTCCACTGGCAGGGCACAGGCAGGTGCTCCTGGTCAAAACTCTTCAGCACCTGCGGGTGGACGTACCAGCACATCCTGAAGTCCGGCCTCTTCTCGTACACTGAGTTCTCGGAGATGATCCGCTTGAGCCTGGCCTTGGAGGGCACGGCGGTGGCATCTTCAGCAGCAGTGGGGCTTGGCGGGTGGGAGGAGGCAGGGCTGGGAGGACTGTGGGTGCCGCCAGGGCTCAGCAGGCCACGGCGGCAGTGCTCCTGGAACTCCCGGATGATCACCTTGCTCCCGTTCACATTGCCATGCAGCAGTGGGAGCAGCTGGGCCAGGACTGACAGGACAGGGGGTGAGGTGGCCTTGAGACACGCAGGAATCTCAGCCAGACAAAGGCAAGAAGGAAGGGCGCAGGTGGTGGTGGGGGGGGTGTTTCAGGAGAGCCTCAAGGGCCCCACATGTGCTCAAAAAGCAATTCTGTGACACCCTCCCCCACCCCCAAGGCCAATACTGGTCAGGCGGGTGAGCTCAGCTAAACATGCTCCCGTCTGCACTGCACGCCCTTACTTGAGCCACTAACTCCTCTAGCATTCAAAAAGCAAGGAGAAGCAGCAGTAAGAGCTCTATCGCGGGAGTTGGGGGCGGGGTGTCACCTCCTCACTCCTCAGCACTCTGTTCTGTGTCCTGGTTGGAGATTAAAATTACCAAGGCCAAAAGACAGGACTTGTGTAATTGTGCATGCCTGTAATCCCAGCACACAGGAAGCTGAGGCAGAGGATCACAAGTGAGGTCAGCCTGGGTTACATAATAAGAGCCTGTCCCAAAATGCCAAAAAAGCTGGGCATCAGCTCATCAGCAGTGTGTGCTTAGCGTGGGTGAGGCCCTGGGGTCAGGTGAACACAGAATGGGTAGTTAAGGGCCAGCCTGTCATTCACACAAACACCTTCACACCATTAACCCTGTCGCCTAGGTTCTCCCGCCCTGCCACACTCACTCTGCTGGTCCCTCTTCTCCCGCTTGGAAGCTTTGGGTGTTGGCTCCTCCTCAGGGGGCATTGTCTCCAGCAGGCATGCCGCAAACTGCTGCAGCAGCTTCAGGTCCGCGCTGGCACAGCTGTCGCTTTCGGCTGCCCACACACAGCCAATCTTCACGGGTTGGAGGATGCGGAACCGCTTCCCCTTGGCCAGGAACTCGTCCCACTCCTTGGCCTTCAGTTTCTGGCGCACCTTGTGGTTCTCTGGGTCAGTGCACTCCTTGCAGGTTGGAAACCAGAAGATTGCTCAGGGTGCACTGGTGGTACTGGCACAGAGCTACAGCCAGTGCCAGTGCACGAATGCCACCCCAGGCCCTCCTAACTGACCTCCTCCACCTTCTTGGAAGGGAGGAAATGGGCAGAGGGCACTTGTAGGTGGGACACTATGCAACCTGACTCCTTGTGGCAAGTCACATGTTATTTTTGTGACCTCCCCAAGTCCTTCCTTACCACTCTGAATTCTCTGGTCAATGTACCCACTTAGTAGCAGGGCCTCTGATAGCAAACATGTGCCATCCTGAGACCATTCGCTAAGCCAGAGTCGTCTGGGGTGCGTTGGGGTGCCAGTTGTCCATTGGTCAGAGGTGAGGAAGGAAGGTGCACCCTTCAACTCTGACCCTGGGAGAGCCCTGTGGAGCCTGTTTCCCCGCCTCCTTGACACTGCACCTGAGAGCCTACAGAGCCTCATCCCACAGACTTTAGAAAGTGGCGGACAGTGTCAACTTGCGGGGACACAGGGAACCTTCTGGAGAGATGGAATGGTTCTGTTTTATTTGCATTGGGTGGCTTCACAAATACAGTCAGTTCTTAAGCCTTATCAAACTGAGGGCATGCACACTTTTAATTTCAGCTACTTAGGAAGTGGAAGTAGGAGGATCTCAGCTCAAGCTGCCCTGGGTAAAAAAGCAGAAGGTCCTATTATGAAAGCTAACTAAAGCAAAAAGGGCTGAAGGTGTGGTCTCTAGCACGCAGGCACCGATTTCAAACCTCAGTACCATCAAAAAAAAAAAAAGGAAAAGAACCATAGAGGTGAACACCTGAGGTATTTTGGCTGTGCTATGTGCCAATCATACCTGTGGTGAGAAGGTGCTGCACAATTCTAACCCACAGAACAGAGCTGCTGCTCACTAACCAGGTCTTCTGCTGACATGACCTCCACTCAGAATCTTCTACCCAGGCCACTCATCTGGGCAAATCCAAGCCCAGGACTAGTCACTCCTGTAGGAGTGCCTACAGGCTGGGTTCCCTTCTGGGCTGTGTACTGAACTGGCCAAGGGAGGGTCAGGACCCACATTACTAGCCCAGTCCATCAGCCACCAAGTGCCAACTCTTGGGTGATCTCTCCTGAGCCAAGCACTTTGTCCTCACCTCAGTCACACCTTCATCCTCAGACAGGTACCCATGGGGGACAAAAAAGCCGTCATCCTCATCTTCATCCTCCCCGACTTCATCATCATCATCCTGGAGGAAAAATAAATCAACGTAAGTGAGTGCAACCACATGGGCTTCATCACAAATATGTATGAGTGGTAGAGATGCTGAGCAGGTACAAGGCCCTGGGTTCCAATCCCAGCACTGCAGGGGGCCAGGGGGAGCAGGACAAAAATGCAGCCAATCTGTGAACATGTACTTAAAAGGGGCCTCATACAAACACCAAGGGTCAGCAGGAATCCCATCAGGTTAGTAGGTTGGGGAGTGAGGCAGAAACAGACATGTACAGCAAGGGCATACAGGGGAGCCAGAGCCTGGCTAGAAAAAGTGGGTTCAGGTTTTCAGGCTGGGGTGTGGCTCAATGGTAGGGTACTCGTGCAGCTTGCTGGAGCCTCAGGTGGAGAGGGGGTGCAATTGCCTCCCAGCCCATCCTTACCCCTTCACTGTGGGACAGGGACTCTCCAGGCTCCTCCTCCTCCCATTCGTCATCACTGTCCACCTCATAGTCGAGGAGTTTCTGGAAGGAAAGGCACACACAGTGCCACCCATGTCTTTAGCATTGGAAGATATGGGTTGGGCAAAGAAGCCAGCAGGCATATGGAATCAAGACCAGTGTAAAAAAGGCACAGTAAGAAGACATGGGAAGCCAGGCACACCTGGCCCGCACATTTCTGTGGGTGCTTACCTTGTCTTGGGCCCAGGGGTCCCGAGGGCGGATGACCACCGTCTTCTTATTCCATGTCCCCCAGTAGGCTGGTCGGTGATTTTCAGAAAACTGCAGGAGCTTCATGCGGCCGAACTTCCTCCTCTCAGGCATACCATCCCCTTTACTGCTCTCCACGATGACGACGTCACTGAGTGACCAGAAAGCACTTGGGATCGTGCTCCTCTACAGCTTGCTCTCCTCCCACACTGCCTGGACCTACCCAAGGAGGCCACCATAGCCATGCCAGCACATGGGTCAGCTCTACACAGCAGCACCACTAAGGAGCACTTTGATGGGTGTCAAGGGACACCCATCAAACCACAGGGTGTAGCATGGGGGAGGAACAGGAAAGAGATCGCTGCCAGAGCCTGGGCAGTGGGCAGGACTGTGGGTATAAAGTGAGCCAGCAAGTGCAAAGAGTCATGGAAAGGAGATCCCTTCTGGGAGAGACTGGAAGGCAAGACTCCAGGGCTCCCAGGAAAGCAGGGCAGAGGGATGCTGGAACTCGAGATGCCCACAGGTTATGGTTAAGCAATAGCAGACCAAGACAGAAATCTGTGCCCCAGTCCTGGGGCTATGACTTCTACCCTCTGGGAAATGCCAGATGCTGGCGCACTCACCTGTTAAACATGCCTGCATTGTGGCTGCAGGTTCTGGTGGGCCCTGATGTGAGGGGCTGGCGGCTTTTCAGGTCTTTCAAGTAGGAGAAGTCTCCACTCTGCTGCCGAAGAAGCTGGTCTAGGCGATCACAGAGGTCTTGGTTGAAGGCGGCCCGACACCGTGGGGCAAGGACCATGTGCTCTTTAATTTCAAAGGGGGCAAACTTCCCACAGGAGCCAGCCAGGGTCTGAAATGGAAAGTGGCCCAATGGGACAATGAGCAAGAAGTATGCACCGCTTGGCAATGGCAAGGATGCACAGGAACACACACGGTGGATCCCGGGGTCCCAGACGCATCTGGGTGGTTAGGCCAAAGGGGTAGGCTCAGCTAGGCAGGGTTTCACACGACTGGAATGCACACTTGGGAGACTAAGGCAGGAGGACCAAAAGTTTCAGGCCATAGGCAACTAGTGAGACCCTGCATGCAAATTATCTGTTCACTTCTCCAGGAAGGATGGTTATAAAAGAACCCAGGAAATGAGGGGCACCCTGAGCCACCATTAGAATATGACAGGATTTCTGAGGCCAGGCCAATTTCCAATGATGTGGCCTGGCAAAAGCTGAAACATCAGGTTTCAATTCTGCCCTGCCCCATTTTCACTTATGGTAGATTTGACCCCTTCTCTCTGACTCCCTTTACTCTGTACCTGTGGACACCAAGGCTGAGAAGGGTTGAGGGGAGTGTGGGGGACAGGAGGTAAGGCCGAAAGTTGCCTGTGAAATCTCTATGCAAAAGCTGCCTTTGGCTTCAGCAGAAAAACTGACCAGTACTGGCAGCCCTCCATGGTGACTAGGCCACAGAACCCAGGGGAGTATTAAAAACCCCAGGGCCCAGGCCAAACCTGGAGGCTGAGAACTGGCAGGAGACTCCATTACCATACAGGAGAAACTGAGGGCCATGGCCTATATGCCATGAGCATCAAGCAATCTGGCTAAGCCAAGTAACCAAATGTCAAAAGCAAAAAGAAAGGTTTCACAGAAAAGATTGTGACTGGATGCCGGTTGCTCACGTCTGTAATCCTAATTACTTGAGAGGCAGAGATCAGAAAGATCGTTGTTCAAAGCCAGCCCTGGCAAATAGTTCACGAGACCCTATCTTGAAAAACCCATCACAAAAAAAAAAAAAAAAAAAAAAAAAAGGGCTGGTGGAATGGCTCAAGGTGTAGGCCCTGAGTTAAAACACGAGCACTGCAAAACAAAAAACAAAAAAGTACCCAACACTAAAAAAGGACTGGCAGAGTGGCTCAAGTAAAAGCACACCTGCCTAGCAAGTGTGAGGCCCTGAGTTCACACTGAGACACAGCTAAGTAAGCAGTCATGAATGTATGAACATAGAAATGTACAGGTGTCCATGAGCAAGGGGATGACAGCCACCCTGCTGCTAGGAGAGGATCTGGGAGTTTGGGCAGGGAGGGCAAAGAGGGCCAGGTCTCCCTACACAAATGCCAGTTCAAAGGTCTGACCTGCCAGGTGACTGATACAGGTGGGGGAAGCAACACTGCACTGAGTCAGGCCCCGCTGTTGGCATGGACCCCCAGGGTAAGGACCTGGCTGTCTTCTCTCACATTCTCCTCAGCACTGCTCACAGGCTCCATGGCACTTTTGTTAAGCATGCCATGGAGACCAAACATTGAGCCTCCGGACTTTCCTAGAAATTGCAGTGCCTGGGTACACAGTGGCCTTGTCTTAAGGAAAGGGAGCCAGCTGGTCAGAAGCTACTACCCTGTCAGTAGAAGAAGGAAAAGCCCCAGAGCTAAGGGTAAGGGAAAGGTGGAGGCCACTCACCTTGGGGGCCTGTGGAGTCTTTGGTTTCTGAAAGAACCTTGTGATCTCAGCTTTCTCCGCCTTGATGCGCTGGGATGGGACAGGAGAGGAAAGATGGGAAAGAACATGGCATTTCTAACCACTCAGAACTTCTGAGCAGAGGGCATTATTTTCATTTTACGTGTCCAGATCCCCCATCCCCCACCAGACAGAGGAAGTACTAGCTGGTCTAAATGTCAGAGCTGTCCCTGTGGGCAGAAGTGCCAGGGTACTGAGCAAACAGATGTATGACAGGCCAGTACTGGGAGTGACAAGACTGCATGTAAAGGCTCATGGGTCCCCATGGACTAAGAACATGAGGTGGGAAAGTTGGGAGAGACCCCATTCATAACACTGGCCTCTCAAAAGGAGGAGAGGGGACGGGAGGCACGCACTACCTTTTCTTCTTCTCGCAACCGTTTCTCCTCCTCCTTTTTCCTCTTCTCCTCAAGTTTAGCCCTGCAAGACAGCAAATTAAGTTTGAGGCAACCTTCAGCTTGGGCTCTGCTGGTCACTATGGCTCTCAGCTGTGAGAGTCTGGGCGTTTTGTGTTCTGCTGCCAGTGACTACAAACTATCTTGACGTCTATTATAGGCTGCAATGTAGGAATTAATTAACAACAAAAAATGAGAAACACTCAATATAAATTTTTTTTCTGAGACAGGGTCTCACTATGTAGTCTAGGCTGGGCCTGAACTCTCCATCTTCCTATCTCTACCTCCCCAGTGCTGGGATTACTGGCCTGCACCACAACACTGGCTCTCAATATAAAATTCTTGATGGGACTGGACCATAGAAAAATCTCAGGCAGCCAGAGTTATTAGCACAGCAAAGCCATTGTTCATGCAATAAGAATGTGGGAAGTTGGAAGAAGTATCCTGCAGAGGGGCTCAGCCCCAGGAAGGGGTCATGGCCACAGAACATGAACCTAATTATCCTTTCCCCCATCCACCAGGGGGTTAGTTTATACCTTGCAAGTGAGAAATGGAAAAGAATTAACAGAGAGCCATCACCGCCACAGCAGGTAGGGACCGGCAGTCAGTGGCCGGACTGCAAGGACACTCACTCCAGGGCCTCCTGCCTCTCCTTGCGCCGCTCCTCCTTGAGCCGCTGCTTTTCTGCTTTCTCCTTTTCATCCTTCTCCCGCTTCTCACGCCGTTCCTTTTCTTTCAGCTCCTTCTCTTCCTCCTTCTTCTTCTTGGCCTCCTCCTTGGCTCGCCGGGCCTCTTCTTTCAACTTCTCCTTCTCTTCCTTCAGCTGCTCTTTATCCTACGAGACATCAGACAGGTGGCCCTGCCCCTCTTCCCAGGAGGACAGACCTGAGTCTGAGATGGAAGGGAAAGGACAAGGAAGCCAGCTGCAACCACCCTGTGTAAACCTTCCTGCAGAAGTCACTGCCTTAAAGCTTTACCTGGGAGATTCAAAGGGGAAACTTATTTCAAGCACCGTCATTAAAACATGGTGTATCTGAGTGTTTCATTTATTTAAACTGGGGTGTAGCTCAGTGGTGAGTGCTTGCCTAGCATATGCAAGGCCCTGGATTCACTCTTAGCTCTTTAAAACCAACAACAAAGATAATTAAGTCAACATCCCCTGACTATTGCAGAGTATCCTGGAATAGTTGTTTTTTTTTGTGTGTTCTTCTTCTTTCATTTTTTTTTTTTTTTTTTAAAGACAAGGCCTCCTTGTTGTCTAGGCTATAACTGAAATCCTGAGCTCAAGTTATCTCCCACCTAAGACCCCCAGGGACAACAGGTGGACACCACTGTGCCAGGCTACTCTTTTTTTTTTTTTTGGGGCAGCACTGGGATTTGGACTTAGGGTTTCACACTTGCTAGGCAGGTCCTCTATGGCTTGAGCCATTCCACTAGCCCTTTATTAGGTTTTTTTTTTGGTGAGACTGGAGTTTGAACTCAGGACTTCACACTTTCAAAGCAGGTGTTCACCTGCTGTCCCAACTACCTGGGAGTCTTAGGTGGCAGGTAACTTGAGCCCAGGATTTTAGTTACAGACTGGGCAACAAGAAGGGCTTGTCTTTAAAAAAAAAAAAAGAAAAAGAAAAAAGAAAGAAGAAGAAAAGAGAAGAACCACTTGACCCACACCTCTACTTCTCTACTAAGTTTCTGAAATATGTTTATTTGACCAGAGTTTTGGTTTTTTTTTTTTTTTTTTTTTTTTTTTGGTGGTACTGGGGTTTGAATTCAGGACCTCACACTTGTTACACAGGTGCTCTACCACTTGAGCCACATGGCCAGCCTGATCAGAATTTTGATAAAATAAACACAGACTCCCACAGATTTTGCTTTCCCACCTTTAAAGCAAAAGCATTCTTCGCTATCTTCCTACCCCAAACTATAGCAGGTTACAGGGATTCCTTGATTTCTTTTGACATGGAGGACAGAGATGAGGCTAGGACAGGGAACCTGCTAGACAAATCTTAAAAGAGTGGGAATAAGTAAGAACATGTTAAAATTAAAATGAAAAATTCTCTTTGAAATCATCTCTCTGGATCTGAAGAAAAAGTAAAGAAAGGGTGAAGAGTTGCCTTGGCTGGGGTAGCATCTTGTCACTAGGTTCTTTGGTTTCTCTCTAAGGTGGGGAGGCTCCATTGTTGCCCATCAGCCCCTAATTCTCCAGAGATGGGATGGCACCCGGGGGTCTGGGAGTTATAAAATACTGACTGACTGTCAGATACCTGCCAGGAGGGGATGCTTCCTAATACCACAGCTGAGGCACTTTTCCCTGAACGGTGATGTGACCATCAAGATAGTGCCCTGTTGTCAGTACTCAGTTTTTGGCTGGGTGTGAAACTCTAGGCCCTTGTGTCTCAAGAAACATTTTAAATCTGCCCTGACAGTCTGTACATCATCACTGGTCATGAAAGACTCATGAGTGAGGTGACAGGCCTGGTGGACAATGGCAGCATGGACATAACTGCAAGATAGGAAGAAGTCTGTGCCCCAGCTGTTAAATAAAGAAAACTGATGGCGCCTAGAGATCACAGGTAAATCACATCTTGGGCTACGCTTGAGTCTTTTTCTCCCCACGTATGCTCAATTCTGATGTCCCAATAAAGAACAAGCTAGGGGCTGAGCATGATGACCCCAACACTGAGCTATACCCAGCCCATTTCTGCTTTTTCAAATGTGGAAAGGACGGCACACGTGAGGCAGAGGCAGGAGGATCACAAGTTTGAGGCCAGCAAGGGCTACATAGCAAAACTCACTCTCAAACTCAGCAACAGAGCAGGTACCATAGCATGTGAGACCCTGAGTTCCATCTCCAGCATCAGAACAACAAAGTTGATCCTCAAAAACTCTAAGAAGCTCTAAGAAGGCCTAGGAACCACCTGGTAAAGACAGCCAACTACTGTTGGCATCCCCCTAAGCTTCAGGGGATGGGGAGCCCAGTGGCCATGTCTGTACTTTCTGCCATCAGAAAGAAGGCCCTGTGCTGCTATGTGATACGTGGGGATCCCCAACTGACAAAATCAGAGACGGACAGGGAGCCACTAAACAACCACTACCCAGGTAAGAGTACAGATGTGAGTGGAACTTAAGCCCATTTGGAGGAGACAGGGATGCAGGGAAGATGTTCTTTTGGAAGACAGTATTTTTCTGGTTCTGGAGAGGGAAGCCAGTGCCTCAGACATGCTAGACAAGCACTCAGCACTGAGTCGCACCCCAGCTCTTTCTAAAGTGATTTTAAGTTATGAGGTACTCGACTACTAAGACAGCAGCAACACTATTGTCAATGATGAAAGCTTAGATGAGGCTCCATGGGAAAACCTTAGGGCTTGACAAAACTAAGAATTACACAAGCCCCAAACCACAAGGCCCTGGAGTGTACAACGAAGCTGCTAGCTAGGACGAAGGTGAGGCTGGGCTGAGGGGGGCCAGGGTGTTGCTGACTGGAGCTAATGCTCTGCACTGGGGAGCGTGTCTTACTCTCTGCAGTTTCATCTTGTTCTTCTCTGTGGAGCCTTTGACGAATCTCTTGGTAATCTGGAAGGAAAGACATCTATTTTAAAATATGGATTGTTTCAATCACTTTCTCCCTAGTGACTTCCATTTAGGCAGTCCCTGGAGAAACGGAAGGAGGGACTGGGAGGCACCTGCTGCTAAGAAGAATGTGTTTGTGAGGGAGCCAGTAACAGTGGCTCACACCTGTAATCCTTGCTACTTGGGAGACTGAAATTGGGAAGATGATGATTCAAAGTCAGCATGGGCAAAAAAAGGCTCATAAGACCTCATCTCAGTAGAAAAATGCTGGGCATGGTGGTGAGCACCTGTCACCCTAGCCACAGTGGGAAGCCTAAAACAGGAGGAGCACTGTCTAGGCTCAACTTGGCAAAAAGCAAGATCACATCTCCAAAATAACCAGAGCAATAAGGGCTGACGTCATGGCTCAAGTGGTAGAGCATCTGCCTCTTAAGAGGCAAAGCCCTGAGTTCAAACCCCACACTGCTAAAAAAAAAAAAGAAAAAAAAATCTTTTGTCAGGGGCTGAGATACCCTGAATCCCACCCATATCACTAACATGCAAGAAAACACGACTTTTTTTTTTTTTGAGCATGTGATTTGAACTAAAGGCCTCGCACTTGCTAGGCAAGCACTCTATCATTTGAGCTACTTCACCAGACATTTTTTGTATTGGATGGTTTTAAGACAGGGTCTCCCAAACTATTTGCTAGGGCTGGCTTTGAACCAGATCCTCCTGATCTCTGGCTCCTGGGTAGCTAGGATTATAGGCGTGAACTCCCAGTGCCCAGCTAAAACAAAACAAAACAAACAAGAACATCTTTATAAAACAAGAGGCACTACAGCCTTTCCCTAGTGACTTGTTTGTTCATGAATAGAACAAAAATGTCACAGACTGATAAACATGCACATACACACGTGTATCTGGGAGTAGATAAGAAGGGAGGCTGGGGACACAGATAAAGAATGACAAAAGCACAGTGCTGAGCCCATGAGCAACCAGGAAACCTCAGAAATGAAATGAAAGTGAAGAGCAATAGGGGAAGGTAGACTAGGACCTGCCTGTCCACAGCAGATGGAACTTGGAGCCACTGATTTGCCAATGTTCCCAGGAACTAACACTAAGGATTTTATGCAAAATTTTTAAGTAATGTCTAGAAATTGACACTGTATCAATCACATGAGACTTGTCTTTGGGCTATATTCCTGTGGGCCTCCAACTGATACTCTGCCTAATATAACTCTGTCTTTAAAAAAAACTTTTGCCATGTGCCGATGGCTGACACATGTAATCCTAGCTACTTAGGAGACTGAGCTCAGGAGAATGGATGTTCGAGGCTGGCCTGGGCAAATAGTTTGTGAGACTCCATCTCCAAAATAACCAGAGTGAAATGGACTGGAGCTGTGGGTTAAGGTAGAGCACCTGCTTTGCACATGTGAAGCTCTGAGTTCAAACTCCAGTCCCACAAAAAAAGAAAAATATTTTTGTGGTGCTGGGGATGGAACCCAGGGCCTCACGCATGCTAGGCAAGTACTCCTCACTGCTACACCTCCAGCCCATTTCTGCTTTTTACAATATGGAAAGCTCAGGGAAAAAGTGACCTTGCTGGAGCAGCAATCTGCTCTAGAAACTCTATGCGCTGGCTAGGGCACAAAGGTCTCTACCTCCTGGTTCCAAACTGAGTACGACCGTGAGGAATTACCAAGACTCCAGGCTCCACTCACTCACCTCTAGGCTAAAGGGCTCCAAGTGGAATGTGAACAAGTAGCTCAGGCTGTTGGCCTAAGTGGCCTCCCAGCAGTGCAAAGAGTTCTGACAGCCAAAGAGCTGACATGAAGACTGGTGGGAGAGTGGTGAGAACTGGGAAGAAAGAGCTCCCCAGCTTCCTTTAGACTTGGAGAGGCTGTGAAAACAGAGGCTGAAGATGAGTTGAAAAAGCACAAGCCCAGGTCCCTTTAAAGCGGACAAACAACTGGTTGACAAAACTAAGTTCTGGGAAATCTGAACCCCTAGTAAGGACCTCCTCACACAGAACTGAACTTGCAGACTGCCACACCCCAAAAGACAGCCTTCTCTCTTGGGGCTCTGAGTACTTTTTGGACTCAAACTAGCTTTAGGGACGGGCCAAGCCCAGACATGGGGAGGCGTGCCCCACAGTACTGGCAGAGCTCTACCGCCACTGCAATGGGGCCAGTGCTCCACCTCTGCTGGGCGTGTGGCGACACCAATACCAGTCTCAGGCACTTTTAGCAAACCCTGGTGAAAAGGCTTCAGTCTCTCCGGAATGCACTGTGCCTGGCAAGCCCACGGACTTCACCCCACACTAAAGGACTCAATGGCAGAATACATAAGTGGCTGCATCTCTGTTGTCTTTTATGCTCAAAAATTATAGAAGGGAATGAGATGGCCAATTTCCTGCTATCTGCTTGACTAGGATTGAGTGCTTACAGAGCTGGCTCTCAAGATGACGTGCAGATCCTGGCATGTTCGTCATCTGGAGCTCAGCCAAACAGCAACTGTCCATCCACCAGGGCCTGATGCAGTCTCTCAGAAGGAAGTTCAAACACAAAAAGCAATCACCCGAGGCGAGGCGGCAGAACAGATCTCACTGTGTCTGGGCATTAAAATTCCTGCCCTCTATCTCTGAGCTTATTGGCTCTGATTTTCTACATAAGGGCATCTCATTTCTAAGTCCAGGCAGGGAGCAGCGGGGAGGTTAGGGAAAGGCTGCTATGGACTGGCCAGCTGCAGAGAAACTTAATAGCAGGGGAGACAAGTGGAGGGGAAGAGATCAAATCCCAAACCAGTCCAAACATACTGCAGCGCGAAGTAGCACAAACAAACGCAGGCATGGCTGTGAGCTGGAAGAGTTCCTTCTATTAACAACAGCCTAAGGGGCATAGAGAAGGAAGGGACTGCACAACAATGACCTGTTTCCAAGGCCCAGATGGACACAACAGAAACATCCAAAGAGGAGATGACCACAGAAGCTGAAGGAGATCCACTCTACTGGAGTGTGACACAATAGTTCAAAGGAGTCACTCGAGCTGGGGGCATGGCTTAGTGCAAGGCCCTGAGTTCAAACTTCAGTATCACAAAAAAAAAAAAAAAAAGACCAATACCAAAGATGTCTGACAGTGTTGAGTGAAGAAGCAACAATTACATTATAAGGAAAAAGATGATACTATGTATTTCTGAGGCTCTTTCACACGCAGAGGACGCAGAAAACATAGGACGCAACCTCAAGGAACACTCAGGAGGGGTGGCGGACACTAATCCATCCATCCTTCCTTCACTTTTTGGGGGTGGTGCTGGGGTATGAACGGGGTCTCACGATATTGCCTGAGCCACTTCATCAGCCCTATTTTTTTTTTTTTTTTGAGATGAGGGTCTCACTATGCTACAGTCTTGAATTCCCAGACTCAAAGGGTTCTCTTATCTCAGTCTCCAGGGTTCTGGTATCACAAGCATGCACCACCATGCCTGGCTTGTTACTTTTTTACCTTCAGAATTTAATACTTACATAAAGTCATCACTCGGTATCTGCCTGATTTGTTCCAGAATCCCCATGGATAGCAAAATCCATGGATGCTCAAGTCTTTTATTTAAAACGACAAAGTATTTGCATAGAACCTGCATACATCCTCCCGAGGGTTTTACAGTATCTCCAGATGACTGGTAATACCTGATACAATGTAAATGCTGTGGACACAGTTGAAATACTATATTGCTTCTGGACAGAAACAATTTTTCTTGGGAATATTCCTGATCCATGATTGGCTGAATCCAAGAGTCAGGCACCTACAGACACAGAGGGCTGGCTGTAACCCCAGTTATCTGGAGAAAACATCCCTGCCACCTGGGCTCATTTGGCACAAAGGCAAGCTAACGATCCAGCATTACGAATGAATCACCACGTCATTTATGGAATAATAATCTTAAATCACCAATAAAATAGGCAAAATTACAGCTTTCAGTATAAAGGAACTTGAATACCAGTTCCTTTCCAACATGGTAAAAAGCTCTACCATAAAAAGAACTCTTCAGCTATTCAAGAGTCCCTTGAATTATCTAAAAGAGACTGTTCCTAAATCATTGTTTTTCTTTTTTTGGTGGCACTGGAGTTTCAACTGAGGGCCTCATGCTTACTAAGCAGGCACTCTTACTGCTGAGCCACTCCATCAGCCCTAAATCATTGCTTTTCAAAGTGATCAGTCTCCTTATCGCTGGAGCATTTAAAAAACAACAAAACAACCCTTAAACTCAGCAAGATGGGACAGCAGGACCTGAGTTATTATTACTTTTTCTTTGGCAGTACTGGGATTTGAACTCAGGGCCTCACTCTTGTTAGGCAGGTATTCTGTCACTTGAGTCACTCCACCAGTCCTTTAAACTATTTGCCTGAGCTGGCTTGGAACCTGGATGGATCCTCCTCATCCTTCTGGGAAGGGAAAGTGGAAAACAAAAGCTTTCCCCAAAGTGGACCACACAGCACGGAACAGTATTAGTTAGATACCAAAGAAGTTGAAATCCACAATTAAGAAATTCACAAAAAACTGTATGCACATGTGAATGAAAGAAATTTAAAAAAAAAAAAAAAAAAGAAATTCACAGTCAAGTGTGGTAATCCCACACAAAATTCCAGCATTTTGGAGGCAGAGGGAGGAGGATCACAAGTTTGAGGCCATCCTTGGGTGACATAAGAAGACTCTGTTTCAAAAGCCTTGCCAAAGTTGGATGCCAGTGGCTCACACCTACAAACAATTCTAGCTACATGGGAGGCTGAGATTGAGAGAATCAAGGTTCAAGACCAGCCTGGACAAATGGATTGTGAGATCCCATCTCCCAAATTAACCAGAGTAAGATGGACTGGAGGAGTGGCTCAAGCTATTGAGTGCCTGTTTTGCAAGCACAAAACCCCGAGTTCAAACCCCAGTTCCAGTACAAAAAAGAAAGCCTTGTTAGGCATGGTGACTCAAACCGGTAATTCCAGCTACTTGGGAGACGGCAGACATAAGGAGAGTAGCAGTTCAAGGCCAGCTCAGGCAAAAATTCAGGAGACTGCATCTCAACTAATGGCTACGTGCGGTGGTATGAGCCTGTCATCTCAGCTACTCAGGGAAGCACAAATAGGAGGATTGCAGTCCAGACTATGTGGAGATCCTCCCTCCATGGTGCAGTGGCTCAAGTGGTAGAGCGTCTGCCCAGCAAGTATGAGGCCCTGAGTTCAAACACCAATACAGCCAAATAAAAAAATTTTAAAAATTCAGAACAGTTGGCCCCATTATCTGCAGGTTCCACATTTGTAGATGTAGTATGTTTGTACTAAACATATAAACTATTATTTTTTTGGTGCCACTAGGGCTTGAACTCACAGCTTTGCGCTTGCAAGCAGGCGATCTACCACTTGAGCCACACCTCCAGTTCACTTTGCTGTAGTTATTTTGGAGATGCGGTCTCATGGACTATTTGCCTAGGTTGGCCTCAAACCTCAGTCCTCCTGATGATCTTAGCCTCCCAAGTAGCTAGGATTACAAGCGTGAACCATGGGCACCCAGACAAACCTTGTTCGTTATTCCTTAGGCAATACAGCATAACCAGTATTTATATAGTGTTACATTACATTTTTGTGAGTCACCTAGTGATGATTTAAAGTATTCAGAAGGATATGTGTAGGCTGTGTGCAAATATTATTCAGTGTCTGTATACAAGGGACTTGTGTATTGGGAGATTTCAGTATCCATGAGGGTCCTGGAGCCAGTCAGTCCCAAGGAGACTGAGAGACAACTGATCTGAAAAGGTATGGAGACAACTTAAAAGGTGTGTGTGTAACTGAGGTGGCCTGCATCTCCCAGTGAGGCTCTCCAGGCCTTCTGTATCACATCAGCCAGATGTGCCCAACATCAGGGGGTGCTACTTCCACCCTTACAGTGAGGCCCACTGTGAGTGGCTCTGGCAATTTTTCACCGTAGGCTGTGGGGCATTTACAAATTACTTAAAAAGTTATAATACTACTACTTTCTAGGGCAATCTAAAACTTTCTGAGTGTGTATTCAGAATATCTATCATCATGGGGCTGGTGGAGTAGCTCAAACAGTAGAGCCACTGCCTAGCAAGTGTGAGGTCCTCAGTTCAAACCCCAGTACCGCCCAAAACAAAAACACAACACAGAATATCTACCATTGTAAATGTGGGATTTCCTCAATTTAGACTATCTGTTGCACATACTCTGTTGTTCTATAAACATTTGCACTGTGGACAGAAGTAAAACTGCTTCATGACAACGCTCAAGTAACTATGTGACTTCACTCTGAATATAAAAAAGAACTTAACGAAAACATGCCCGTGTCCTGGTCTCCATGCAGACTGGCTGCAATTCATCACATGACAAAGCAGTTCTGCAAAGTGGGAGGAGAGCCTGAAAGAAAATCAAGGGACAAGATGGCTGACAGCAAGAGAGACCAAGATTCTGATATGAGGATTTCAGGAACAGCTTAGGTAGAGGCTTAAAAAATGTATATCCCAAAGACCGGCTATGTTCCATACCCAGCACTAAAATAAAGTGTATCCTGGTCTACTGCACTTAAACGTCAAAGTTGTCAGCTATGGTGGCACATACATATAGCCCAGCACTAGGGAGGCTGAAGCAGGAGAATGGAGAGTTAGTTGAAGGCCAGCCTGGGCTACATAGGGACACTCCATTTGAGAAGAGAAGAGAAGAGAGAAAAAAGAAAAGAAAATTTTAAATAGTCCTTTAGAGATCAGAATTCAAAAAGCAATACTGGTGGTCTACAGTCTGATTAAGCAGGAACAGTAGAGATTAAATGATCTATCCTAGGTCCAATCTTATAAAAAGACCTAACATGAACAACACTGGGGCACAGGTCAAGCGAAAGAGTGCAAGGTCCTGGGTTCAACCCCTAGTACCACAAAAAGCCAAACAAAAGTTACAAATCCAAATGATACATGTTGGAATTCTGGATTGATTTTTCTAAGTTTTACCCATGAGACCCTAAGGATAGGTGAGCATAAATACATTCACCCTTGTCAGAAAACAATAAAGGCTGAGCATCCTTGATACGGCCATCCAAAACTCCAAATTCTCCCAAATTGGAACTTCCTGTGCACCAAGATGGCACAAGTGGAAAATTCCACACATGACCTCGTGAGACTAGTCTCAGTGAAAATGCAGGTGCACTAAAGTCAGTGTGTAAAATTACTATCAGGCTATATGCAGAAGGAAGATCTGGGAGTGCAGCTCAGTAGTAGGGCAATTGCCTAGTATGCATGAGGACCTGGGTTCCATCCCCAGGCACCACAAAAGAGATATATATACAAAATATACATGAGTTTTGTGTTTAGACTTGGGTCACGTTCCTAAAATATCTCATTACATATACACAGCTATTCCAATCCAAAACAAAGCACTTCTGATCCCAAGGGTTTCCAATAAGAGATGTTCAAAGTGTGAAAGAAACAGTTTGTCTTTGGGCAATACTGGTGATTGAACTCAGGCCCTCTATCCCTTGAGCCATTCCACCAGCCCTGTTGGCTTTTTGTTTCTTTGTTTTTGAGCCAGGGTCTCATTATGTAGCCCAGGCTGGCCTGGAAGCAGCTATGTAGTACAAGGTGTTCCTGAACTCAAAATTCTCCTGCCTTGGCTTCCAGATTACAGGCGTGTACCACCACATCCAATTAGAAACATACATTTTGAAGGTCACTCTCTGGGATTCTCTACAATGGTGCCAGGTTTCTCATTCTTCTCTTCCTGTCTCTCCACATGAGGTTTCAAGATGGTGGCCACACTGCCAAGACCAACTCTACAGAATTCTCTATTTTACTTTCCCACTGCCTCCCTACCAATACCCTAAGAAACATACATCAGGACAGGGGAAGTAAAAGAGTGTGAAGTGAGGGGAGGCAGAATGAGTAATACCCAAATGGCTATGCTAACAATCACCATTAATTAGGTGTCAATGACAAAGCCACATCATTCATGCAAGACACTCAACCACAATGCATATAGAACCTCATACTTTTGAGTCAAAGTCTCACTGTGTAGCCCAAGCTGGTCTCCAAGTCTAGATCCTACTGCCTCATTTCCTCACTGCTGGGATTACAGGCACGTAAATTCATACCCAGCTTACTTTATGGTTTTTGATCTCAAAAAGAATTATGCACTGTTAGAAAGTCACTGGTTTGTGGCCCTGCTCACTGACCACTAACCACATGGGTGACCTGGTCAGAATGGAAGGTACCTTAACACCCAATAGCACCAGAAGCTAGTTTTCCAAGGGAGGTACTCACTCTGCAGATGGGTGTGGAAGGGGAGGGACTGGTCCTGGCACCACACTGTTTCTCGGAAGCAGATGGTCCCTCGGGAGAGCTGGTAGTCGAGGAGGAGCTCAGAGATGAGTGACTAAGGATAGAGTCATCTTCAGGGCAGGGTTCCAACACCCCGCTCTCTGAGGTCATGCTCATGTCCAGGGGCATCCTGGGAGGAGATGCGGCTCCAGGAAGCTTCAGAGCCAGGATGTCCTGCAAGACCACCATGGGTACCTTGCCCTTGAACAGGATCCCCCCGGCTTCACTCCAGCTGTCCTGCTCCTTGCTGGGGCATGTTCTCAGACCCTCTGTCAGCTCAGGGCAACTCTGTGGTGAGCTTTCCTGGGAGCTGCCCTTTCTGTCTGTGTCTCCTAGGCTACCATGCTCCTTTATCCTGCAAGGAATGTCTGAAAGGGTCTCTCCAGGAATCACCAACTCCTCGTTGTGGATGGCGTTTACCTTTGATAGCCCCTGCTCATTTTCACCTTCTTCCCTGACCCCGTTAACAGTCTCCCTGGAGAAGGAGGCTTCAGGATGTAGTTCCTTGTGGTCCACAGTACTGTCTGGCTGGTCACTTGAGTCCTCTGTCAAATCAATGATGACCACATCATTCTGGCCAATGCTGGTTTCGATTCTACTTCTCAGAAAGTTATCTAAGGGACCCTTCCCATTGACAAGTTTTGGTCTGAAGTCTAGGTCGGAATTCACATGACAGTCATTCTCCAAGTTGTCCAAAGAGGGTTCCAGATTGGGGACTTTTTCCATAGCTGCGTTCTGAGAGCGTCTCATGTCATCTAGCTCATCCTCGGCTTTCTGCTTGGGGATGAGATTCAGGCGCTTGAATGGCAGGCGGGCTGAAACAAAGGAGAGGAGGCAGTCCTTTCAGTGAGAATGTGGGAACAGTGATCAATACATTAACTATCCACCTTGCTGGGCTTTGGGGAAAACTTTTTCAAATGGGACTATTGGAGTGTGGCTCAGTGGTAGAATACTTGCCTATCATGCTTAAGGCCCTGTGTTTGACAGCCAATGCCCCACAAAAATTAAAAAATTAACTAATTAAGAAAATGGGGCTGTAGGACTGAGTGCCTACCACAAGGTGGTGGGGAGCTATTTCCACTTTTCTGTTGTTCACCTTTGCAATATCCTAATTTAAAAAAAAAAAAAAAAAGCCAGGTATGGTTGCTTATACTTGTGATCCTAGCACTCAGGAGGCTGAAGCACAAAGATCACAAATTCAAGGCTGGTCTGAGCTACGTAGTGAGACCCTGTCCCCCTAAAAATAAATAAATAAAAATGAAATCAAATACATAAAAGCCAAAAACAAGCCGGAGATGCCTCAGTGGTAGAGCACTTTCTTAGCATCATAGGTGCTGGGTTCCATCACCAGCACTGCAAAAAACAAACAAAAACAACCAGAAAAAAAACCGAGATTTCAGCAGGGATACTACCGGAATTGTCTGATCTGTTCAAGATCCAATAAAAATCCTAAATTTATTTATAGTGGGTAGAAATTCCAATTGAAGGTAAGCACAGCTGGTTCTGAAGGAATATGCAGTGTATTTGTCGGAAGATATCTTTTTTTTTTTTTTGGTGGGACTGGGGTTTGAATTCAGGGCTTTGTACTTGCAAAGCAGGTGCTCTACAACTTAAGCCTTGCCTCCAGTCCATTTCGCTATGGTTACTTTGGAGATGGGGGGTTTCTCAAACTTATGTGCCTGGGCTGGCCTTGAACCGAGATTCTCCCAAGTAGCTAGGATTACAGGCATGAGCCAGCAAAGCCCGGCTGAAGATTTCTTGATGGCCCTCACACCACACTTTGACAAATGTTCTCATCAATGTAACAGTTGCTCTCCTGGCCCTACAAGGCTTCAGACAGGCTATAAGAGACACAGTGGCACCTCAGGGGAGTGAGATAATTCCAATGAGAACAGCCCCTCCCACCAAGTCAAAGTCATTTACCTTAGCACCAAAACACCTCTTAAAGCTATATTGTAAGAGATCTAACAAATATCTTCATTATTTATACCTTACCAGTTTATGAAACAGGGTGCCCTAGGTTCTATGACTTTGCCCTTAAGTCTTTACCTCGTGGACAGCTGTCTTGAACAGAATTTCAACAAATGCCAAGCTGCCTATAAAAACTCACAGGAGGGCAGCTGCTACAGACAAACCAGATGGACCAACAGAGTTTGGCACCTGGAAAGTACAGTTTTCATACAATCCAGACAGGCATGTGGTCTAAGAGCAAGTACACTCCCTTTCCACACAAGAGGACTGGGGACATTAACCTTCCTGTACAATGGAGGTTCTCAACTGGGGCAGTTCTGTCCCCAGTGGATACCTGGCATTGTCTGGAGAGGTTTCTAGGTGTCACAACTTGGAGGAAGCCACTGGCATCTAGTGGAAAGAGTCCAGGGATGTTTCTAAACTCCCTGTAATATGCAGGACCACCCCCCATGAGGGAAAAAAGAAACGTCACAAAAAGATCAGTTGTGCTAAGGTAGAGAAACCCTGCCATAGAAGTCCTGCTGCTCCCAAGGGAAGAACATTATAGAAAAATGTGATTCCCAGCTTCCAGGTACAGGCTAAAGAACCCAAATCCCAAAAGCTCCAAAATCTTTTTTTTTGGGCTATACTGGGTTTGAACTCAGGTCTTTTCACTTTCTAGGCAGGTGCTCTACCACTTGAGCGACACCTCCAATTCTTTTGCTTTAATTATTTTTCAGATAGAGTCTTGAGCTTTTTGCCTGGGCCAGCTTTGGACAGTGATCATCCTACCTACAGCCTCCTGTGAAGCTGGGATTATAGATATACACCACCACATTGAGATGGGGTTCTGCTATCTTTTGGCCTGGGCTGGCCTTGAACTGTGACCCTCCTGATCTTCATCTCCCAAGTAGCATAACAGGTATGAGCCACCTTACCAGTCCTCTACTCTTTGAACACCAAAATGAAAATTCTATTTCTGACCTTGTATAACCAATCGCAGTCAAAATGCAGGCACATTAAAAACATTGTACCAGTCCAGGGTACCTGAGTAGTAGAGCACTTGCCCAGCACGTGCAAGGTCCTGGGTTCTATCCCCAGTGCCGCAAAATTAAAACAAAAATATCTACAATATTACCATCAGGTTATGTGGATAAGGTATATATGAAAAAAAAAAATTTCTTACTTACAGTTGCGCCCCATCCCTAAGATAGCTCAAACACAGATACTCTAAAATAAGAAAAAAATCTGCAACCTGAAACACTTTTGGTACCAAACACTTTTGGATAAGGAACGCTCAACCTGTAGAGAGAACGACTGTTTTTTCCTCTCCAACCCTTTGATGCTCCACTGGGGAACCATGAGGAGACCATGAAGGGTATAAATCCGGAACAATTATGTAACCCATGCTCAAAGTTACCTTGTATTAGCCTCTTCACTGGAAAAGCTGGTCTGTCCTTGCAGTCCATGGCTGTGAATAAAAATGTCAAAGGACAAATTACTAAGTGTTGGAAATAATTAAGCTACAATAATTACCTACAAGATAACCCTTCCATATATGGCAAACATTTTTGATTGGTATGATGGGGGAGAGCTGAAGGGGTGCTACTCACCTCTAGTTGGTAGAAGCCAGGGCTACTTCTAAATATCACACAATGAAAAGCCCCCTCAACGAAGAATTATTTGGCTCAAAATGTTGTTAAGCAGTTCTCCCTTATATACAGCCATGCCTACTTTTATTTTCTCTGTGGCATTCTCTCTGACACTTTTGTATTTATTATGTCTCCCCCATAAAAGCCAGTTCTATGACAACAGCAACTTGCTTCGTGCTGTGCCTGCAGCACCAGCCCCCAAGCTCAGGCCTGACATACACCGGAAAGGCAGTAATACAATAACCAGAGCAATGAAGAACAGAATGAGGAAAGACAGACATAAAAGAGGACATTGAATTATCTATGTCCTCATTAATGTGACCCCCGAAACATTCTCTTTCAACCCAACCCCCACACCACCACCAAATGTATAGGATTAGAAAAGGATTCATTTTCTTTTTAAAGAGAGCACATGAAGAGAACACAAGCTGTGGGGCCAGTGTTATCAAACAAGTGCTATCAAAACAAGTAAGGGAGAATATTATCCCCTACACACACACACACACACACACACACACACACCCAAGAAAAATATCTAGTAATATCAAAACTGATGCAGAAATGGTCATAAATAGAACCCAATGTTTGAATAAATATCTTTAAGTAGTTAGGTTAAGTTTAGAAGCTCACACCTGCTAGGCAATCTGTCTTAGAAAAATCTAATTTAGTTATTTTGGGGAAATCTACATACATTTTTTTAAAAGCTACATGAAAATCAAACTTGGGCTTTCTGAAAAAAACTCAGCTGTCCACAGTTGAAACTGCCCACTAAACCCCCAGCTCCCACCTAAGCTTGGCAAATAAGAAAAGGTACCCAGCAGGTTTATTTCCTTTCTACCTATTTCTTGAAAATGAAAACAACAATCTCAAGTTTCCAGTTATCAAAAATAAATAAATAAATAAAAATGAACACCCCCCCCAACTGATGGATACACAATCTTTAGCCATTTACACTTATTTTCGGGACTACAAGGATTTATTTGCATGGCTCTGAGTCACCAGCTTCCATGCAAGGGAAACAGACACAACCTGAGTCCAGAAGCAGCCTCAGGTGGATATGAACAAGGGATCTCTTCCAGAGATCCAAAGTACATATGCAACTCATACTTGTGAATGTAGAGAATTACCAAATGGTCTTTATTCTGAGATCACACCCTTCCTAATGTTACTCGGCACTAAAATATCATTTCTTTTTATGATATTATGATCATGGCAAATGGTGTTTGGATTCTTTGTTTTAATCACACCTCCTGACTTGGTGAAATCAAATGATCACAGACAGCTCTTTGACAGCCTGTCTTCCCAATTTTATTTATACTAATTGTATGCCTGTGAAATTTCAAAGTCAGAGTGGTTGTTCTCCCCAGGACTACTTGGGGGCATTGCTGATTGTTCAAACTGTAAGGGGGGGGGGTGTTGCTGCTGGCATGGAATGGGTAGAGGTCAGGGATACTGCTCAGCACCCTATAATGCCAAGGTCAGCCCCAAATAGCACCAGTGCTGAGATTTGAGAAACCCTGGACTAGATTACTTGATGTCCCTTCCAATACATCATTCATTCATCCAGCACATACTCATCTGGCACCTAGGAAACGCCCAGGACTGCGCCAAGAACTGGGGGTGCAACACGGAGTCAAGCAGGGGAGAGGGGGCCTTGGATCACTACCCCGTTTTGGGAGGCCTGCCTTGTGCTAGGAAGACCCCCTCTGAGGTACAGATTGGATAAAGATATGTGCCCATCAGGCAGAAGCAAGAAGAACGCAGAGTACCAGCTAGCTCCCTGGCCATCCCCACCTTCCAAACCTCTCACCTGGGCTTGCCCTGACCCGCAGAGACAGCTGCTGCGGTCTCCCGAGCTCAGGCGACCTCGGGCCTCAGTTTCCCCAACCACTGCAATATCCAATTTGCTGAAGGGACACAAATGACCTCGCTAACCTGCAAAGCTGGCCCTTACGCCTCCCTGTGCCTTAGTTTCCCCTCTCGGACCCACCGACCCGTCACCGTCACTCAAAGGACCCTGGAAGGACAAAGTGACGCAAAAGCACCGGAAGAAAAAAGGAAAATAATATGTATACGGTCGAGGCTGCACAATGTCAAGGAGGGCGGCCTTCGGCTCGCAGGGCCTCTGCTCCGGACCGCAAGAACCCGGACACCGAACTCACGGACCATAGCAGGAGGCCCCGGGCCCGGAGGCCCGACCACCCGCAACGGCCGCCAAGGCCCGCACAGGCCGCGCCGCCCCTTCCCCTTAGCACGAACCGGAACCGACCTGTGGTCTCTCCCCTGGGGCCAGGCACCCCGCACTCCGGCTCCTCCAGCATCGCTCCGACGGCGGTTCGAGCTCCCCTCAGGCGGCGGAGGCGCGGGCTCAGCACAGGCGGCCGCTGCTGCTCGCCCTCCCGCCCGAGCCGCAGTTGCCGCGGCCGCCGCGCTCGTATTTGGCGGGAACCGCGGCGACCCCCGTAGCCCGCGCGCTGATTGGGCGAGCTCGTATCACGTGACAGTCCGCCTCGGGACGACCGAAGCGCCGGAACTTCCTCGCGAGAGCTGTGGCTTTCATTCCTCCAGTGGCTTCCCCATTGATATTCCCGCGGCGGGGGAAAGGGCTCCCTTCCAGCGGCTCATCATTGGCTGCGAACACAAGCCCTGCGAATGGGGATAAGAGATGTCAATCTGAGAGTTCGGCACTACGATTGGCTGAGCGCGTGGGATAAAGGGCTACGTTGTTACGCCACGAGCCAAGCCAGTCACAGCCTGGAACTCCGACTGTAGACGGGTACTCTCAAATTTTGAGTTTCTTGTAATTATATACTGATTGACTATAGTAACTGCAATCAAAATTATGAGCTGCTTTTTTTTCGACGGTACTAGAGTTTGAACTCAGGGCATGAGGCGCTCTACCACTCGAGCCCCGTCCCCAGCCTTTTGTTGCCTTAATTGTTTTGCACTTAAGGTCTTCCTTCTGCTTTTTAGCCTGTGCGGCCTCCGACCGCCTACCTACCCCTCCCGCGTAGTTGGGATTACAGATGTATGACACAGCGCCTGGCCCCAAAATTGGTTATTGTTTTCTACACTAACAATAACCTCCGAGAAGAGCTTCAGGAGTATTTGACGTGCAGTAAATCAAAGCAAATGAATGAAACGGATATTTCAGCTTCAATGGTCAGGATTTTTGCACATGCCTGTTTCCTCTGCTGGCAGCCCTTTTCTTATCTATTTCTACCAACTCTCAGCACTTAGGTCGACACGCCAAGAAACATATCTCCCCCTTTATCAAGATCAAGTGCCTACTTTTATTTATTTATTTATTTGTTTTTTGCGTTACTGGGGCTTGAACTCGGGCCTACACCTCGAGCCACTCCACCAGTCCTTTTTTTGTGAAGGGATTTTTTTCGAGATAGGGTCTCGTGGAACTATTTGCCTGGGCTGGCTTCGAACCTCGATCCTCCTGATCTCTGCCTCCTGAGTAGCTGGGATTACAGGGGTGAGCCACTGGCGCCGGACAATGCACTTCTTGACGATATCTGTGGCTGTTTATTAGGGGGTTATTTGACTAGTCATATTAATTAATTGACAAATAATGATTGTTTTTGCCATCAGATCAATGAAGACAAGAATCCTTCATCACTAGGACCTGTCAATGATTGATAAAAAAGCAAGGGTTCAACAACTATTTATCTCCACCGCTTGAGCCACACCTCCAGTCCATTTTGCTTTAATTTTATGGAGGGGGGTGGTCTTGCAAACTATTTGCTCAGGCTGGTCTCGAACTACGATCCTCCTGACTTCAGCCTCCCAAATAGCTAGGATTACAAGTGTGAGCCACCATGTCCAATAAGGAAGTCACTTCATTACTCATTACTCAGGTTCTTAGTTTCCCTGTCCGATCCATGAGGATGTTTTCCGTCTCTGACACTTTGGCATTCTGTAATGATCATACTTCAGGCTGAGTATCAGAATTACTTGGGGGCTCTTTTGAACTATTCATAATTCAAAAAAGAGGAAAAAATCAAGCTCTTCATAATTCAAATGATTCCTAATGGTTTCATCAATATCTTGGAGAGTGAGGTTGGAGCATAACTATTTGGAAGCAATTCTTTGAACTCCTTTTTTTTTTTTGGCAGCACTGGGGTTTGAACTCAGGGCCTCATGCTTGCTAGGCAAGTGCTTCACTGCTTGAGCCACCCTGCCAGCCCAATCCACTACTTTCTATTAGGTCATTTGGAAACATCCAGCAATCTTGTGCTTCAGAAAATGACTCAAACCTGTCACCAAGTTCAACATTGAAGTTCCAAGCACTTTCGTTGTAGCCATTTTCTTGTTGCTGTTTTCGACAGTACTGTTTTGTTTTGATGGTGATACAGGGTTTGAACTCAGGGCCTTGTACTTGCTAGGCAGGCTATCACTTGAGCCACGCCCCCAGCCATTGTTCCTCTGTTTGGATTCATTTACTCATCTGTATTCATTATTAATTTCCAATTTATCCATAACAGTTGATACAAAATTCAGTATCAATAAACATGTATCAACCTAGGGAGGCTAAAAGAGGTGACATTCCAAGCAGAGTTCTCTTTATGCCCAAAGGATGGAAGAGAGATTGGGGGAGAAGGAGCGAAAGAGAAAGGGCGCTAGCAAAGTCCCATAGGCAACAGAAATCATGAATTACAGGAGAGAAAAAGTCATCAGAACAGTTGACGAAGGCCTGCTATGCAGTTTGTAGGACATGTTAGGAAGTGTGGAGTGTATCATATGTGCCTTAAGTTGACTCTGAGTAGGGGACGACTGATGTGAATTTTGTTCTGGAGGTATCTTTCTGACTGCCTTGTAGAGGATTAAGTGGAGGGGAACCTGAAAGTTAGTGGAATATGATCAAGGTGACACGCAGATGTGTGAGTTGGGCAACTGAATAGATGAACACAGGTCATGGTGGGAATGGGGACTGAACACACAAAGGAATTGGGTTTCGTTGAGATGAGCAAACGGGTATCTGGAGGATTGGAATTCTGAGCTCCACTTTCATCTGCCCCTTTGCTTTCCCAGACTAGAGACAGGCAGGGTTCAGCAGCTTTCCTGAGACTTTAGGCCTACTTCCTGGACTCCAGGGGCCGCTGCAGCCTCTATGGCCTCTCTAGGCTCCGCCCGCTCCACTCGTTGGCGGCGGCGGATCTACCCCATCTCTCGCTCTCACCACAGACGATCTGCGCGTGCTCCTCCCGGCCAGCAGAGGGCGCGCGTGCGCAGACTGGGCCGGCAGGGCGCGCGCGCGCGCGGTGGGAGGGGGCGGGGGGCCGGCACCGGAAGTGTGCGGTTGCCATGTAATATCCTGGCCGCGCGGGCGCGCGAGCGGGTGAGGCGGCGCCGGGGTGGGAGCTTAGCTGGCGAGCGGGTGGCGGAGGCGGCGCTGACTGGGGCAGTTGAGGCGCGAGGGCGGTCGGCGACTCCCGGGAGCCTGTGGCTTGCACGGGACTGGCGGTTCGCTCGGTCCGGGCGAGAGGCCCAACGGCGGGAGGCAGCATGTCGGTGGCGGGGCTGAAGAAGCAGTTCTACAAGGCGAGCCAGGTGAGGGAGCGGAGGCTGAGGCGGGGGGAGCCCATGCTGTCCGGAGTGGGGAGTCGGGCCCGGCCCTGGCTCGGGAACAGGACCCACAGGACCGACATGGCGGCGTTGGCGCGTGTCCCTGCCGGGTGGGGGACAATCGAAGACAGACGGGGATCTGCGAGGTGGCCCAGGACCTGGGGGCTCCAGTCTGCCCGGGAAGGGTGCACAGAGCCCCTGGGAGGAGGAGAGGTGCCCTAGGGGCTGGCCAGGGACGTGGTCCCTCTACCCCCTCCGTCCCTCCCTTTAAGGGCGGGGTGGGGGACGAGAAGGGGCAGAAGCAGTTCCGAGGTTGTCGACTCAGGTCCCTGGCCATCCAGCCCAGGGGGAGGAAAACCTGCGTCTGGAGCAATTGTTTTCAAAATCCTCTCGATGGATACGGTACAAAGTTGAAAGGGTAGTTAAAAGTCAGTTTTCTCTCCCCATCCTTGAGGCATGGAGCCCCATCCCTAGAGACAGGGACTGTCGCCGACTCACGTCCCTTTCCTTTTAAAAATCTGTATGCCTTTCCTTTAAAAGCACAGGCGCACGGTGTGATAGCGTATTGGAGGTGATTCTGTGTACTGTGTGTGTGTGTTTTCCTTAAATGTGTGTTGGAAGTCACAGCTGGAGTTGGAATTCCCCACCGTTGCTCTGTTGACATTTGGGAATGGATTGTTCTCTAGGTTGGGCGTCCTGGGTACTGTGGCTGTGGAGTAGCCTTCCTGGCCTTGAACTCTCCCGGGTTTAAGTAATCCTCCCACCTTAGCCTTCCAAGTGCTGGAAAGACAGGCCACCACCATGCTCAGAACTTCTGCACTGGAGCAAACTCTTAAGAGTTTCTTGGTTTTTTTTGTTTTTGTTTTTGAGACAAGTGCTCTGTTGCCCAGATTGGCCACGAATTCCTGTGCTCAACTGATGCTCCTGCCTCAAGTTCCCAATAGCTGAATAGCAGGTAGAGGCCACCTTGTGGGGTTGGATCTTTGATGTTGAGATTGTTTACCTAACTTTCTGCTACAAACAACACCACAGTGAAGAGCCAGTGAATATCACTGCTCACAGGTGGGGTGGTTTTATAGGAAAAATTCCCAGAAGTGGAATGCTAAATCCAAGACTAGTGCATTTTACATGGGACAAAGAGAGCTTTAGGGAAGTCCACGACCTGCTGCTTATAAATCTGGGGAAAGCTGTGGATCCACTGAACAATTTTTTTTGTTGTTGTTTGCAAGTTTTTTGGGGGCAGTATTGGGGTTTGAACTCAGGGCCTGTGCTTGCTAAGCAGGTGCTCTTCCTCTTGAGCCACACCTCCAGCCCTTTTTGGCTTTAGTTATTTTTCAGATAAGGTCTTGAGCACCGCGCCTCCCTCCCCCGGGCTGACCTGGACTGTGATCCTACTACTTAGATCTCCCTCCTGCATAGTTGGAACCACAGGTGTGCACCACCATGATCAACTTTTTTGTTGAGTTGGAACCTTTATGCCCCGGATGGCCAACTCCCAAAGTAGTGTGGATTACAGGCATGAGCCACTGCAGCCAACTACAATTTAGTTTATAATTTCAGTTCCAAGAAGCCCCAGATACCTTGATTCTTATTGGCCTGTGCATTGTAGGTAAGGATTTGGATGTGGAGTTTGTGCAGATAGATTCTACAGAGTGATGAGCAACAGTCTTAGGAATTGTTTCGCCATGCTAGCAAGCAAGGCTCTTACCATGATTTGGAAGGGGCCCAGTGAGAGGAAAGAGAAATGAGTTCCCAGTAACAAGCAGCTGGTGTCTTTTGCCCCAGAGGGACAAAAGGTAATGACCCTAGTAATTGTCTAAGGATAGATATTTGGGGTCTATCTAGACAGCAGGTGATGCTAAACCCTGGGGGAAAGAGTGATTTAATCCAGAGGAATTTGAGGATCACTGTAAAATGCTGCTTTGCCCCGGCAGGATGGAATTAAGTGGGTTAGGCCTTATCCTGAAGGCAGGAGGTCCCTTCTGCAGGACAGATGTCTCCTGTACCATATGGTTCCCTCATGAAGAGGTCTCTGGAGGCCCCCACCTCCACCTCCAGCTATCAGAGCCCACTGGTGGCCCACATGATCCCTAGCAGACACTTTGCCAAAGGAACCTGGTCAGCCTTTCGGGCCAGCCACCAGAACCTTTCTGTGTCTGGGCCTATGGTTAGATCTGTGAAGCGCACCTGGAAACCTGGAAAGTGCAGCCCAGTATAAGCTGGTGTAGGATCAGTTTACTGTTACCATATTCCAAGGCCCTGTCCCAAAGAATGACTATAATGGTCACTGCCTTCCAGTCAACTGTGTGATGAGCTGTGCTGTCAGGAATCACCCTGGCTGTGTTCCATCATCTTCTGCCAGAGTTTCCACAGCTCTCCAGCTCTCACTTGTTCATCTGACTGTGTCTGTCTGTCTTTGTGTGTGCTGTGTCTCTTCTTTTCAGTGATGCATCCTTGGTCCTCGCCAGAACCCTCAGAACACAGTTGCTTATTGAAATGAGAAACCTCTTCTAAGCCCAGCAGTCAAGGCTGAGGCAGGAGGATCAAGAGTTCTAGGACAGAAGCTGGGTGCTGGTAACTCATACCTGTAATCCTAACTGCTTGGAAAGAAGAGATTAGAAGAATCCAAGTTCGAAGTCTGCCTGGGAAAATAGTTTGAGACCCTGTCTCAAAACTACCCGATACAAAAAAGGGTTGGCAAAGTGGGTCAAGTGGTAGAACGCTTGCCTAGCAAGTATGGGTAATTCAAACCCCAGTACCACGAAAATAAAAAAAAAAAAAGAAAAAAGACTTCCCAAGATAGCCTGGGCTGCATAGTGAGACCCTGTCTCAGAAGACAAACAAAAGCAAAAAAAGGAAAAGTAAGACACCATGACCAGGCAGCTCACTGTAAACCAGAAGTCTCAGCTGGCATCACTGATAAGGCCTGAGAAATAAATGGGGGCACTTTTCCTCCTATTGGACAGTGGGTCTCACCTAGTGCCAGTCTTCCCTTTAGGGGACATTGACAATGTCTGAGACTATTCTTGGTTGTCACAGGCTGGTGGGTTGCTGCTGGGATCTAGTAGGTAGTAGGTTGAGGTTGGGGATATGCTCAGCCCCCTCCCTTGCACACAGCAGACTTCCTACCCCAAGAGCTACCTGGCCCCAAAGGTGAGCTACAGAGCTCACTGTTAATGGTAAGCCCTTCTTAGGGAAGGTGCCTGGTGTTCCTTGTTTTCAGACCATAGCTGGCCAGGTACACATGGGTGGACATGCACATGAAACTCATCCAGACCCTCACCCAAGTCTGTGGCCCCTGCCCCGTGTCTTTTGGAGCCTGGTATTTTCAAGACCTGGTATTTTCGAATTACTGATCTCTTCTCATCTCCCCTGGCCCTTTCCTGCTCCTGCATCTGACGTGTCTGAGACAGTGGTGGAGAGGGTCCTGAACACCCACAGTCTCCCCCCACCAAGCGACCCTTGATATCAGCAGTGCCTATCGGACTTGGGAATCCCTGCCTGCCAGTATGGTTTCTGAATTGATCAACAGAAGCCAGCAGGTGAGGCGCTGATACTGACTCAAAGTCTGGAGCCTCTTAAGAGTGGGCAGTGACAGGTAGCACATTGCCTGGCAAAGCCTGTCAGGTGGCTTTCAGAATCACTTGGGCAAGGGCCTCAAACCGGAAGTTTGCGTGGTTTTACTTTTTACGGGGTAGGAACATCAGATCAATGCAGAGGTGAGTGATACAAGGTCCCTTGGCTCTTGGCCTTGTCACCCACTCCTGGGTATTTGTTCGTGCCCATGTAGAATTGGGGTTCTGAGAGCATTTCTGAGGCACTGAGAAAGTCTACAGATACAGATGAGAAAAGCCCACAGCAGGATGCAGGCTCAGTTGACTTCTCAGTGTGGTGTGTTTGGGTGATGTGACTTCCAGCCTGAGCTGCTGTCTGGTTTCCTGATTGTTCTTGTGGCAGGGTGGTGTGGAGATTGCAGAGTGTAACTAGGGATAGCACAGGCAACTGCCTGGAATGCTGGTCTGACCTTTCTCTTTTTTTCTTTTTTTTTTTTTCTTGCCTGGAGGAGGGAGAGAATTCGAAAGGAAAAACTGGTTAGCTTGAGGTAGGAGGAAAATTCATAACAGCCACATCCCATGACTTACTTTTTGGTGGTGCTAGGGATGGAACCCAGGGCCTCTCACATGCTAGGCAAGCTCTACCACTGAGTCACACCCTAGCCCCTCTCTTGTAGCTTTGAAGTATGTTGGTTGCTTCCCTAGACTTAGGGTCTGTGCCTGAGAAGCCTCTCCTGTGACAGGCATGGGGTAAGGAGAGGGCTGCATACTGGGTGCCCTGGGCCTTCACCTATGAGAAAGGCAGGAGGGGCATGTGGCTGCTGTCTTAGAATGTCCCCAGTGTAGCTTGCTCTGACTGCCTTTTCACTTTTTTTTTTTTCTCTTTCCTGTGTCGGTGCTGGGATTCGAACTCAGAGCCTACACCTTGAGCCATTCCACCAGCTCTTTTTTGTGATGGGTTTTTCAAGATAGGGTCTTGAGAACTTGAAGCCTGGGCTGGCTTCAAACCACAGTCCTCGTGATCTCTGCTTTCTGAGTAGCTAGGATTGTAGACATGAGCCACTGGTACCTCACTTACCCTTCCTTCCTCTTTCCCTCCTTCCCTCCCTTCCTCATTCTCTCCCTCCCTCCCTCCTTCCTACTCTCCCCCTCTCTCCCTCTCTCCCTCCCGCTCTCCTCATTCATCTTTCCTTCCTTCCTTCTTTTGCTAGGGATCAAACTCAGGGCAGCAAGTGCTACTTTTCCTTCTCTTTTCATTTCTCTTCTTTTGTGGTGTTAGGAAGGAGCCTAGGATCTTGCATGTGCTAGGCAATTGCTCCATAGCTGAGCTACACCCCTTGCCCCATTCTGATTTCTGCCACGTGTGACTGCTGTACATTAGGCCATGTACAGCAAAAGCCAAAAGTCTGCCTGTGACTCAGAATCCTGTGT